TAACAAATGCAGGAACAAAGATTTTTCAAAAAAATAGTTTTCCCATCAATATTGTGTAAAATACACCATGTTAAAAAGCCTAGCATTGAAAACGATGCGAAAATATACTTTTATTTTATTCTGAATCAAATCAGTAACTTAAGATAAGAGAAATTCCTTAGAAGTGACTAAAGCAAATCAGAGCATAAAAGACTGTATGATGCAGATCGCAAACAAAATGCACCAATGAGTAATACTCATTGAATATTGGCAGGACTGTGATAAGCAAAAAAGAAGCATATACCCAGGTCGAACATTACGATGATCTGATACGATCGTTTATGGCATGATGCAAAACGACCGTAATACGGTGCATACCAAACCAAACGGCCGTGTACAACGCAAGTTGATCGACCTGGGTAACTTGGCCAATGTATGAGTAATTGTATACAAAAATGATAGATGCCGTTGTCATCAAGATATATGTGAATACTTAGGTCAATTGAAGTGAGTACAACATGTAAGTCTAAGAAATGTTGCTCACTTAAGCTAAAGATAGTGAACCAATGAAATTACGAATCCTCGTTTTGCCATCATCCAATCATCGCTCTCTATCTCTATATCAATGGAATGAAACAGGCATTGTGAATTCATATACCCAGGAGAATGATTCCGATAGTAAGATCCTATCGGATTGGTGTCAAAACCTTACCGGATATAGTATGGATTTCATTATACCGAACGTTAGGGAAGTTAGCACAAAATTCGAGTTCTTCCAACCCGGTTTCGCCTATATGGTTGTGTTGAATTTCATTTTCGTTGTGTTGGATGCAGAATTTTGCTCTGAATCGAATGGTGTAATTTTTAAAGAGGGTTGCNTGGCGTGGGGCTGGAATATAGATTTGGAGGGAGGACTTGGGTGAGACCAGAAATTTTTTGATTGATGACCCCATACAAGTTTAGCATCATTCGATGCAGAATTTCATTCTGAATTCAACACAACCATTTTCAGATTCAACACAGCTAAAGCAGCGAATCCGGGCTGGAATTACTTCTACAAGATTTTCAGAAAAAGCAGTACTTCCAGGTAAAGTGCCAGATTTTGATCGGCAACCCCCTTTAAAAATTACGCCATTCGATTCAGCGCAAAATTCTGCATCCAACACAACGAAAATGAAATTCAACACAACCATACAGGCGAAACCGGGCTGGAAAAACTCGAATCTTGTGCTAACTTCCCCAACGTTTATACCGACGAAATCCTATCGGTAGTCGGATGTGTGACCTACAATTGGAACCCTAGTGTTGGAATCCGATAGATTCCACTGTCTGAATTTAACGGAATCCAACACAAGCATTCGACCCATGTGTTTTGTTGGCACTATACCCTCATTGATTGATGATTAAGAAAACGTTTTTTTCCGTCGGATCCGTTAGTAGGTCCGTGACCAGGAATCTGATTGGATTTTGTCGGCTTGTCGAATCTCATGAGATCCGTTAGGATTCGCTGTGGGATTCATTCACCTGGGTATCGTTTGGATTGATGATTCTTCAGCGGCAATAATTTAGAAATTAAAGAGTAGAACTGCTACAAATATCATGTTAGATTTTTATCAAAAATCAATGAATAATTTATTCGGACTTTCGATCAGATACATTTATCATCATCAGGAATACAGAAAAGTGAAAAAATTACAATAATATACAGCCCATGTTGCGAATACCGGATCACTTTTTGCGGTAAACTGTGGTATTTATCCTTCCTGCGGTAAATTACACTGATATGGAAGCCGGTAACCGCACCGGTAAAACCTGCGATTTTTTTGTGCATGTTTATCACATGTAAAACTGAAAAAAGGGTGTTTAAAATAAACTTAATTGATGATTTGGAACACTTTTTTTGTCCAAGATTATGGACGAACCGGTTTACCGAGGTAAATTCGGATAAACTTTCCCTGATGGCAGCTTGTAAGCGGACCGGTAAAACCGCGGTTAACCGCCGATTTTCATGCGGTTTTTATGACATGCTCAAGAAAAACATTCCGACCGTCGGAACGGGCATCTAAAAAGGCCTGAAACGACTATAAAACGGTATAATAAGGCATTAATTTTCACCGTATTTCGCCGTAATCCGTCAGCTCGTTCTACGGACCGTTTTATAGCCGTTTCAGGGCGTTTACGCACCGTTTTTTTGGACATGGGTGGGAAGGAATAAAAACAAAAATGATTAGATGATCAATGGAAGTAATTGATCTTGATTGAGTTTGTAGCAATTCTTTGATAGATGCAGTGACTCAATGTTTCAGTGAACACCGATGTTGGTGTGGTCAATGTTCCGAACTTCAGTGCTTCAGTGAGCACTGATTGAATTTTTCGGTATTCCCAGTGAGGTCGGTGTCAGTGAAGTCAGTGTGCAGTGACGCCGATGGCAGTGCAGTCAGTGCTACAGTGACCACAGTGTCGGTATAGTCGGTGGTCAGTAAACCGGGTGTGGGCGTGACGCTCGCCTGCTTTAGGAATTTACTGATATCGCGCCCCTTCCCACTTTGAGAGATACAAAATACTGATACTACGAAATCTTAGTGATTTAACAACGTGTAAGAATATGATAGCGAAAATCTTCTAAATAAATGCTTTTTCATTTCATTTTGTTCTTTGTCTCACAAAAATATTGATGTGAAAGCATTTGCGTCCCCCTTCTCCTGCTGCTGTTGGTGGTTCCGTATGCTTCTAGTGTCAATCATCATACCCAGGAGATTCAATCCGATCAGTGGATCCGATCGTTTCCGGCACCGGATCCTATGGATTCCGTTGCTTTTCGGTCGACTCCGTTGAATTCCGGCGATTTCCTAACTAACGGATCCCGGTCCGGGTTCCGCCGGAAAAATTCCGTTATGTTCCGCAAAATTTCGACCCGGAATTCATCGGAAATCGACGGAACCGATGGGAATCGATCGGAAATGGTCCGACGAAATCTGGACCGGAATCCGTTAGTTAGGAAATCGTCGGAATTCAGCGGAACTGATCGGTTCCGACCGATTCCGACGTACCCTGATTCTCCTGGGTAACCACGTAATAATCCATATGGAACAGCATTGTATCCATCACCACATTGCAACATTTTACTAAAACATTTATTAGGTATTCGAATAGATTCTTGTCATGTTATGAACTTTGACTACGGTAAACGATGTCTTTTAATACAAAGAGATGACATTCTATAATCTTTTTTATTCAATTATGCCTCATATAAACAATAAAGAATTAAATAATGTTGAAGATTGTATTTCATAAATAATTATTTAGATTCTTCAAGAAGTCGAAACTTTCGTACAGATTCGTTTTTTTGGCACGATTTTCACTTAATAATAGCAAAAATCTTAAACAAAAACAGTCGAATAATTAAAATTATTGATTAAAAAGGGCGGGGACTGTTTTGGTGCGATTTCGGTCCAACTGAAAAGTTATGGTACTCCCTCATGAAATTTTCACTAATTGTAGAGCTCGGCGCTACTAGCTATTCCCACAAGTTTCAGCTTGGTTGGTTAAAATTTAATCTTGATTTCAAAGTTAGCCATGTACGCTATATTGGAACTTGGAAGGGTCAAAGAGTACCTCATTTTAGGAATGCTATGCCATAATTGAAGAAATTATTTAATAACGATTTGATAGAGAGTTTAGTTCTCCACAAAACTATAGAAATAACTGTAACTAAAGTTGATGAGCAGTTTATTAAAATTTTCGAATACTGCCAGACCAGAGGTCTCACTTAGTCAGACCTGGCTGACAAAAAGCAGTCCATGGACTATATACCTTGGCCCGGCCCAACCCATGAACCACTCATATAATTGTAACTTTTTCGAACAGATACTTTGCCTGGCATGCTAGTGGAAGTAATTTATTTTCATTATCTATTCGTTTATTTCGTAAGGTAGATTGCAACCTACTATGAATAATGAATAACTCCAAAGCGCTATGGACTTGAGAAATGATTTTATCTTTGTTACGAAATCCTACTCCAATTCCAATTCCAAGGCAGATATTCGTTTTCCTGTGACTTTGATTCTAACTGTGGGAAACTGCGAAATCTTTTAACTATTCCATCGTACGATTAAACATTTTGAGCAAAATAAAGTCGCATTAAACACCTTAAAATGTATAAATCTTATCGAAAAAATTATTTTTTTGTTGAAGAAAAGTAAGTGTTCGTGTTATCACCTTCAGAGTTGTTGCTTGCTTTTCTAAACATCATACATTGTAGAATGCACAAGAAAAAATATTTTTTATACCCCAGGTCGATCAACTTGTGTCGTACACGGCCGTTTGGTATACACCGTATTACGGTCGTTTGGCATCGTGCCATATACGATCGTATACAGTCGAATACTGCAATATCCGACCACATTACGGCCGTTAGTAACCGTTTACGACACGGCGAAATACGGCCGTAATACGGTGCATGCCAAAACGTCGAATTACGGCGATTTACGGTCGGAAACGTTATAAAACGGTAGTAAACGTTGCCGTATACGGCCGTTTACGATCGTATCAGGTCACCGTAATGTTCGACCTGGGACCTAAAGAAGTGTTTTTTTTATTGATTTCAAAAGTCTGAGACGTTTCTCATCGAAACAACTTAGAAATAATGTTGAAAACAGTTGTACCAATATAAATCACATTGTTACCCATTTGACTAATGTCTTTAAGTCAGTGTTTCAATAGATCCTTTGAGTATGAATATCAGGATTGTCAGATCAAAAACTTGAACTTGAGAATATTTTTACAAACTCAGAAAAATTCAGAAAAAGCAATATATGATTAATTATTGTTCATTATTTTTTAACAAGGTTGTAGGACATCCTTTACTGGGTCTTTTCAAGTGGTCTAACCTTTATGTTTATACATATTTTAACTGGAGAAGAAACAAATTGCAATTCACGCCCACACCCACACCCACACCCTAGAGGAAGCTGAAAAACTAAATCAAGAATAGAAAAAATATTGTCTCAAACATGAATCCATCATCCGAGAGCATTAAGATCAACTTCTAATTTATTGGCTCGTAGTCGAGCAGCTTCAGTTCGTGATTTGATAACTGGAATAAACAATATCCCAATGATTAGAATAGCTGCTGGGCATGTTATTCGCCATTCAATGGCGTCGATATCGTCGTCTGGATGTGCCTTATATGATTCTACAGTACTTGGAAAAGCACGAAATGCGCCTTTCTTCACTTGACATTGTAGCACTGCTATCATACGTTGATCATTGTGAGAAAATGTCACAGCATACACTGGATCTGAACAGTAATGAATACTAGGACTAACAAATATTGCATTAGCGAAATCTTCAATACCGAAAGCTTCATCTCCTCGTGCAATATGATTGTCAGGTGGGCAAACACGAAAACCATTAGAGACGATTGTACTTGGCATTACCAGACCATCCATGAGTATCGATCGAATAACATTGATAGACGTACCATGATAAGCAGTGTGAGGAAAATTTTTCGGATCATAATCACATATCTTCAGATATTGACATTTTACTGGAGTTTGACGTAATTGAAACTTTTGCCCAACAGCAGCTTGAATGAACATGTCTGGTGGAAGGCATAGTGCGTCAGAAAATATTTCCACATGACGAACCAAAGCATACAAACCACCGATACGAGATAAGCGGTTATGTTGATTGCTGTAGGAAAACCAATAGGCAGAATTTGGTAACCACGTATATAATTTCACATTTTTTTCATTATTGACTGTCACTATTGGCATATCATCTAACTTATCAGTCTTATTAGTATAACTCATTTGGAATAAACAAACACATTCAGGCAGATGGAAATGTTTGACATCTGGTTCAAATATGTATTTTACTTCAATCGAAGTGTTTGTTTTGGCACAACCAGACGCAAAAGTGAATGATAAATTTTTAATTGTGCAAGTTTGTACCTCACTCGATGCTGCTTTTATTTGAAACAGTGCATCTTCCCCTTTTGATTCAAATATGCCGTGAAAAGTACGTAAGTTTAGTTTTGGAAGTTCATCTCTTTGTGTATAACCACTATTCATATAGCGAGGAGAATCATAAGTAATGAGACATATAGGCAAATCTACGAATTTCGAGCTTACACAACGAGCACGACACACCGCTGATATCAATGTTGTATTTTCATTCTCAAAAGTTAATGGACTTCTTGCTATTGAGAACCATCGATATTTACCACGATATGGATCTGGAATAGCTGTTATGAGATCATTTATTGTTGCATCACAATGTAATTGCACTTTTATAATTGGATCAAATCCAGAAGTCCTACCATCACCATACAAATGTACAGGAATGTATTTGTCAACTGCTAAATTATTTTGATATTCTTTTAAAATTTTTTTAATTTTTTCACTGCTAGCTTCCTCCAATGCTGTAGCATCGTATTGATTCCTAATACTAAGATCAGCACCTCTAGAGATCAATAGCTCGACTGTGGATATATGTCCATGAAAAGCAGCACCATGTAATGGTGTACTACGTTTACCAGGTATTTGTACATTAATGTTAGCACCTTTGTCTAAAAGAACTTTTGCAACATTTGTTTTACCAAAATGACATGCAAGATAGAGTAAACTTGTACCCTGGCCATCGACAGCATCACGTTTATTGCCATCAAAATGATACTGAAACCACCAATCAACACCATGAATTGCCATTTGAAACATATTCTGTTCTCGCATTGATCGAAACAAGTTGGTAATTCTTTTACCTCTAGTTATGCCTTCTTGTTCAGCTGTCATACCCCATTTATTGATTAGAGTAGAGTTTGCTCCTTGATTGAGAAGATATTCAACAATCGATTCATGTCCACCATAGGCAGCAAGATGTAGAGCTGAATTTAAATTGATGTCAACAATATCGAGTTTAGCTGAACGTTCTTCAATGAGCCATTTAGCAAGTTCGAAATAACCTTTTTTACATGCACACTGAAGTAATGTCTGTCGTTGAGTATGATATTGTGTATCAATATGTTCTCGAATATTCTGGATGTTGCTTTTGAACCAAGCAAGTTGATTAGTCGCTGCTTGAATAAAAGGCTTTTGTTTTAATTCAGCAAAAACGTTGTTAACCTCATCATCGTAAGCTTCGTCTTCAGGCATGTTTCCATGATCATTTTCTAAATGATAATTGGCTCCACATTCTAATAGACAGCGAACTATTTCAGGATGCCCATAGAATGCAGCCACATGTAAAGCTGTGCTACCAGTTCGCTGTGGTAAATCTGGATCCGCACCTTGTTCTATTAAACTGTATACACCTTCAACATTACAAGCACGTGCTGCACAATACAGCGGCGTATGACCCGTTACCGAATCTTGTGCATTAATTTCTTTTAATTTCATATTTTCCAACCGTTGCTTCAATTCTGATGCAAGATCAGGTTCTGCTGCTAACTGTTGCAGTGAATATTTTGATTTATGTAAATCAAAAATCCATTTTTGTTGATCATTATATAGCTGTCGTTTATCGTGATCGGATAATGTTTCATAGGCACGACAAATTTTTCGGAATTGCTCCGCTGTAATCGTACGATTTTCAGGAGATTTCTGTCGATCTGCTTTTAATTGATGAATAAGGTTACGATAAGCATCCCTCAATTGAAAATCGTTACAAGTTTTGTCCACTCCGAGAATTCTATATGGTGTGACAGCTGATGAAGTCATACTTTTCAGTACTCTTCTTTTTTTTATCCAAGTGTGTATGTCTGTCGATGAATAAAAATGCAGCCACTTTCTTCAGTTTGTTTTTTTACTTCCTACAAACACCGTTTCTTTCTTGGTAGAGATTTTGTTCCATACACGTGTTTTTCTTTTCGTCTACATACAACTACGATAATGTGCATTAGTATAAGAAGGGATGATTTACCAAGAATTTTATCTTTAAATTTAACCATACATATTTGTTAGCACGATTTTTATTATTCTTGCTTATCTATAATCACTATTACGTAGACAACCATAACATCCAGTAAAATACTGTAACTAGTACTTAGCTTAGATCGTTTAGCGCTAGCAGATTTTGTTTTCACATGAATTTGTTCCATTGAATCTAAATCTATAAAATAATGCAAATAAATATTGATGATTATTTGCTACTGTTTCGATTTGATACCGGTATATTGCTGAAACACTATAACAATTCACGTTTAGAAAACAATCTTCTACTGGTTAATCGTAATTTCTAGCATTTGCATTTGTATAAGATAGTATTTTCATATGACAGCCCTTTTAATGTCATATCTATGTTGCTATTAACAATTTGACTAGGATATTTCTTGTATAAGTAGAATGATGAAAAGTTGAACTGAAAATCAATAAAACAAATCTTATTTGAAAAAGGAAAAGTATACTTGAAGGATAAAAATAGAATATCCGTGGAATTGGGTTTCTAATCAGAAAGCGAATTCCAGCTGTAAATACATTGTACAGTTCATAAATGCAAACAAGGTCCCAGTAGCAATCAATATTTTGTCAGTATTATTAAAACGAGAAGAATAAGAGATATATGTTTACTATTTTCGGATTGTGATACAATTTAGCGAAGTCCAATGAATGTAAAGATGCATAATTATTTCGTCACACATATCTTCTGTGTAATGGATATGTATTTCTCTTTCGGAATAACAAGTATATCATTTTCTTGAGTGGTTTTCATATTAAATTTGTGTAAATGTTGTCGTCTAATGAATTCTCAAATCTACTTCTGAATGGGATTGATGTCTGATTGATATCAGCTGGGGCTTTTTGTCTACTTACTATTTTCCATCTGATGATTAAATTTTTAGAAATAACAGGATAGAATATTAATTAAAAAACGGAACTCATATAATTGTGTCCAGAGTTATCGATGTGTATCGGTATATGGAAACATAAAATGTCTCGTTAGATATCTTAACGACAAAAACATTTGACTATCTATACTACTATTCACCTCAATAAAGAGTTTTGAGTTGTTGTGAATATAAAAAAACGCATTGTAGAGCGACTCCATAGACTTTCTAATGATATCTATCTTTCATCGTGATATGAGAAGGTCAATATGAGAATTAATTTGATAAATAAGATCTTGCTTTTCATACGTTCCCATCAGAAAGATAATATGATATTTATTATTACACCAGTTGATCCAAAGGGTCTATCACTTGGATCAAGACGATCATTCTATCTAGCTGGAGATTTTAGATGAAGAAACTCCCTGGCATTCAAAGAAGAATGAGGAAAGTATCATCTTGCATAAGGAAGATTAATTTCCTGTTAGATAAATAAAATAGAAAGAATCGTTTAATATCGAAAGACAACTTGGAGCAGTCACTTATTTGTCTTGAAAGTAGTGAGCTCTATAGTCATATTCTTTGACTATTCAATATTGTAAGCAGTTTAACTTTTATTGAGTAATCTCATGTGGTATGCAGCTTCTGTGTTGAGCAATAGACTGAACGTATGAAGATTAACTTGCCAGTTTAAATTTGAATGCAGTCTCATCAGACTCTATGATATGATTAAAAAGATGAGGCTCATTGTCAACAAGTGATCAGAATATCTCGTCAAATTCGAGCTATCGATCAAAATTGTCCTCATTGGTTTCGTGCATCAACCACCTCGAAATATTAGGCTTGTGAATCTAATGGAATTTTAAACACAATGAATAGAAAGTTGTTCTTGCAATATTCAACCATAAACTCTATGACGAATCGATGTGTCGTAGGCTTTTTTGTGCCAAAATAGAGGATAATTTATTTATGCTACTTTGGCTAGTAGCTGATATTCCCCTGTCGGATGGATAAATGTTGAACACAGAGCTAGTTTTAAAAAAATTAAATTTCTACTTTGGTTATCATCAGTCGATTGTGAGGCTCTTAATCTTACTCCATTTCCTTGTACTAAATTTATTCAACTTCAATAGAATACTCACAAGTCGATAGGTCCACTTTCCTATACACAACTTGTAATTTGCACTAAGTTAATATCGCTTCATGATTTATATCGAAACTGAAATTAGGGACTATGCTCTGGAAAACAAATTCGCTTCCCAGAAAACTCTAAGAGGGTGGCTGAGACCTGGGAAACCCTGATAAATTACTTACAATAATCTCTTGAGTATACTGATCTCAAAAATAATAAAAAGTTTTCGATTTCGCGACGTAGTTTTCTCTTATATTTTCCATGAACTCAGAGATCTTGTTAGTTCTCATCTGAGAAACATAAGTAGCCATTCGAATGAGACTGAAACGAATCTCTAACATAAAAAGGAACTAGTTTATGTTTTTAATATTAATTTTAATTACAGTTTACGATTCCAATTAGGTTGAATTGAAGGTAAAATGAGTGACGTGTTTGAACTTATGAGAATCTCTAAAGTTTATGGGCGAAGAAGATAGAAAGCGAAATGTTAACACTAAAACTTTATTGTTGAAAAATGTATGCATCTATTATCTGTATCGTTCTGTGAAACATTCTGAACATATTCAAAAAAAAAGCTGAAACCCTTTGGTGTATCAATGAGAACTTCGGGAATCGATTTTATTTTCCCATCGTACTTTTTCCAGATGAAGGATTCGCGACGAGAACCTTTTTTCTGATAATTTAAAAAAATTGAAATTATTTTTACACCAAATATTTTATTTCTGTTGAGCGTTATGCATAGCTTGTGATAAATAGCTAATCTCTATGTAGTATGCATGATGAAAAATATTAAACTATAGTCGCACGATCTCGATTTTACTCAGAGTTCAACTGATTTGGTTTCTTGCAAACAAAACGTGGAATCTTGATATTTTGATTATATGTAGCATTCATTAATTTTTGTTTTTGAATAAAACTTTTCAAGAAAAGTTGACATATACTTATAGAACAGATCAAGATTCAATCTAGACATTTTGGAGCGTTCTGTCATGTGAAAACAAAATAGTACAAGATACATTTTGATTGCAGTACGGCTGTCTGTTTAAGTCAATAAATTCATTTTATAGATCGTTCGATTTTAGTTTAAAGCACTATTTTCACTAGTTTTGCAAGTGTTCTAGAAGAAAGCCGTCTAGAAATGTTACTCTAAAAATGATTTTAGAAACATGATTTTCTTTTCAATTCTATATTCGCTTGGTTCCACTATGAATTGAATTTCTTTTAACTGTATTTATAATAGTTCACTGAATTCGCCATTCGGAACGAAACGTCACAAAAAATATCAATACCGAAACAAATAGAAAACGGAAAATGACTGGTAATAATGTATGTTTTTGCTTACACGGCAATGTTTAATACAGGATAGAGGTAGGTTTTCGTGTGGTATCCTATTTTTAAATTTAAATTTTATAAATACGTTCACAATCAATAACGTAGTTGGATTACGAGTAGAATTTTTCGAAATAATCGACTACTAAATCTATTATGTTGAAGATAATCCATGATTCGAATGCAACTAAATACAGTGTTGATGGATATACCACTTTAAAAACAAGGCTAAAATCGTAGCGTTTCAATTTCGTCAACAAGAAATGTATTTAATAGTGGGCGAAAAGTGTGGGATTAACTTAACCCTTTCCAGCCGGCTCCCAGAAGCGACATAGTTAAAACTCTTCTTCTGCGTATATTTGTTTTCGTGCCATAGAGATAGCAAAAAACTATTTCTTAAAATCGAACGGTGCTTCTATGTTGAATGGCTGCATGTTTTCATTTGACAACAGCCGGCCGTAAAGGGTCAAAACTTTGAAAAATTCATTTGTCGTTTTCGATCATCGAAATTCACTATTGTGCGTTCCTTTCATTTAATTATTCAAGAAAAAGTGCAAAAAATATATACGATACACCTGGGCAGTTTCTACGCGATTCAAATCGACTTTTGTACGAAAACTTTGACATAATTTGAACTTAAGGAGAGAGTAGATGTATGGGTTTTTGTGTTAGTTGGCATCAGGATAATTATTCTTGTAGATCCTTTATTTCTCTACATCCGTGCCGATACGTAAATTAAATATCCATTTCCATACCAGTTATCGAGAGCTACAATACTATCATGCTGTTTTTTTTTCATAGAAAATTCCATTGAAAGCTAGGAAAAGCTATATAAATCCACCATATATATTTTGTATGCTTTGTTCTTGTATGAATAAATGAAAAAACGAAAAATAGCCAATAACGATGATCGAAAACGAAAAATGATTTTTCAAAAATTTTGACCCCTCACGGCTGGCTGTTGCCACTGGGCAACATCCATAGCTCTTATTGTCAGTACTCATTGAATCATCTCTTTGAGTGATACAATATACAATAGATCAAGGAGGAGAAATTTACCACTAGTGACCTGTGGGATTGAATGATGGAGGGTACCATAAGAACATCTATTATGATTCAGTTGTTCTTTAGGAGTATTCAGGAGGACTTCGGTAATTTCCTCAGCTGAAAGTTTTTGTTTTGTTTCATGGGCTATGAGTGTGTTCTAAAATATCTTGTAGTAATTATTGAACTATTGATTCACTATCTATCCACAGTATAGCTAGACATTTCTTAAAATATCGACACAATGTTGCCAAATGACAGCATCCGCCCGTAAAGGATTAAATAGTTTAACAGTCTTTCGACGTCATAAAACTCGATCAATTTTAGTAGTGACTGACGATTAAGCGACTATTTCATCGGTATATTACGATTAACCGTTCAAAATTATTGAAAAGCCTCACAAAACAACAAAATAATCCTAAATTAATTAATGAGCGTGACAATTTCTTATTTTCATAGAATAAAAATATCTATTACTTTAACTGAACACATAATTGGTATGGCTACACGTTCACCTGGAAAAATAAGCGATAGTAAAGATAATTGTTTTTCATCGGTTTAATCCCACATCATATGTGGACAAGAGGTAGTTACATAAAGAGTAATATACTAGTTTAAAATAATGAAAATTTAGCAGTATATTTTAGGCTAGATTTTAACTAGAAGTTGTAAAAATCTAAAAGGTTTCTTTAAAATCACTACTTATATCATTTGCTAATAGGTAAAAACAGCAATTTTTTAGCTAACCAATACAATACACTGTTTTCATATTAATTACGTGTGAAACAGACATATGTGGAACAAAAGAATATTTCATACAGTACTTTTAACATAACTATTCTCGTTGTAAATACACAACATATTTGAATGGAAATATAGCATTTGATGCGTTGAATTTATTATTCCATTTCAAAGTTTTCATTTTAATAATCTGAGTGTAATCCAATGTTATCATTCTTATTTTATTTTTGTCGCGTGTTCGATAGTTGTTCTCAAAATCCGTTGTATAGTGCTTGCTGGCGGCACCTATCAGATTGTTTTTTGACATATTTTTGAGGTCTGTTACTTGACACTTTTAAGTTGCCAATGGTGGCTGATGTCTGCTGTATAGATAATGTTGCAATTCGATTCTCTTATGGTGTTTGTTGTTTCTATTGAGTGATTGGCAGCAGTAATGCTTCGCTCCTCAAATAGTGTTCGAGGTCAACATCAGTCCACATCAAGTATTTATGACTACAAAACACTCAATGAAATGGTAATGAGAACAACAAATACGAGCACATCAAATGAACAATCAGTAATAGACAATCATGAACCGAATAAATATATTCAACCAGTGAAAACGTCTCTTGCTGATGAATCTTTATGTGTTTCTTTACAGTCAATGTTAAGTACTACTATATCCTTATGTGAAGTGATCATTGAAGGCAACTGGAGATTTCGAGCATATGAAGATGATCAGTTTAGATTTAAATCAATGGGTATTGATAATTTAGTTTATATATGTCATGATATCATGAACAAAACACTTGGAATGATTAAGTTAAAACAACAAAATCAACGAATATCGTCATCAAGTTGTAAACCATGGCCAATAGTAAATGTGGATAATTTTGAAAAATTGACAGATGTAGATCGTGCTATTCTTAATCGTGCTCATGTATATGCTCTAATGACAATTATCTTTGAAGCAACATCGTCAAGTATCTCAATGTCTCAACAAATTTGTTATAAAGATGAAGTTGTCGAACATATCAATAATGAACATAGTGTTTCTAAATCTCATAATTACCCTAAAGTATCCTATGAAACTGCTTTCCGACATCTGATTCATACACCTGACAATCAACTTCTTCAAGTAGCTCTTCATGCATCTCTTATAACCGGTCATAGTCGAATGGAGTTACAAGAATTAGGTGAAAAATTAGGTGTCAAACGACATCATTTTGATATGGGTTCAATAAAAGATTCAACCAAAACTTTTCAAGACCTAATAAAATTATTACGTGAACAAAAATTAAAACGAGAACGCGAACAACAATACGTTGATACTAATAAATTACCGTATAAGCCTAAAAAAAAACGAGGTCTAAGCGCGAATGTTTCAGGCACGAAGTTTGCTGTTGGTAAGCTATTTTAATTTAGATTTTCACGATTTGTTTGTTTATTAAAATAACATAAAAAGAAACCCTGAAAACGTCAACGTCATTCTCGAATACATAAATTAAAACAACAGAAGAGGTTTGATTTCAAATCATGGATTCTCAAAACCATCATTATAGACTATCATCATTATTTTGAGAATAACTCTGATCATAAAAAATATCAATTATTTTATATAAAATATTGTTTCTTCACGTTAAAAGATACCATTCTCGTATTGATTGTTGGCGCCTTAATTCATGTCAAATTATAGTTGGAAAAAAATATTCAAAATATTAAGTTGGTTTACGACTAAAATGTAATTTCATGATTCTATTTTGAAAGATGCATGAACATTGTGTAATCAAACTAGTCTGAATCGATATAGTTTCTATCATATAAGAGAAAACAATTGAGATTTTGTAGATAGCAATTTCTTTTACTTATTTACGAAGTCGTTAAAGTCTATAGTGATTATAGAATATTTTGAGTATTGTGTTGTTATCTAAGCGTGATAATTTTTTAAAGTTCAACCTATCTAATCATATGTTAGAAGATAATTATGAATCGATTGAATTCATAAATCCTAATAGAAAGTTAATTAAAATATTAATTCCAATTTTTTTATCATTTCGTCGTATTTTAATTAATAAAATAAATGATTCATTCGATCATTGATACGAAAAACGTTCTTGACATATATACTGAGAACGTTTTCTAGTTCATTACATTTATAATACGAACGGCTGAAATTGATAAATGAATCATGATATTTTATTGTATTTCTAAACAATCAATTTTGAACAATATAGAAACTCTTTTATTTGATATCATTTTTCTTTTTGATTTAGTTCGTCAAGCTGCTGATGTATACGGCTTTTCTCTAAGTTCCGATGGTGATACTACTTCTAATCTATTGTGGCACGATACATTAATATCAATGGATATTGTATCGGCACTAAAACCCTACCAAAAAGTAAATCATTTTCCAACCATGAGTGAAATTTCACGTAAAGATTCATTAGCTAGAAACTTTGACAAGTATAATTGCAATGAATTTATTTTCTATTGATTTAAAAATCAAATTTATTATAGATTATCACGAACTCTACCCGATGAATATAACTTTACGCCTAAAACGTGGATATTACCAAATGAATACAATTCATGGTATTCATATGCTTCAAGTAAACCAAAAAAAGATCAATGTACTTATATTCTTAAACCAAATAATGGTGCCATGGGACACGGGTGAGATTTTTTTTCTTTTTAATTTCATTTTTAAATAAAAATAATTATTTAATAGTATTCAAGTTTTTTGTGATTATGAACGAATTCAACCAATGGATAACTATGTGATTCAAGAATATATTCGAGAACCTTATCTTATCGATGGTTTTAAATTCGGTATAAAAATATTTATTTGTCTTTTTGTTATATTAATATTTACAATGTTAAATTTTTCTCTTTTAATAAATAAGATCTTCGAATTTATGCATTATTGACATCATGCGACCCACTTCGTGTATTTATTTTTAATAATGGTCTTGTTCGTATGAGTACAGAAAAATATGAAACACCTAATCGAAAAAATGCTGTATTTGATTTTACTGATTTGTTTTTTTGCAAAAATTAATTTTCTGTTTTCTATTTTCTAGTCTCATCTTTTCATGCATTTAACAAATTATTCCGTAAACAAATACAATGTTGATTATGAAATTAGTGCATCAAATGCTAATGGAGAAAATACAGGCAGTAAACGTTCACTTAAATTTTTATTTGAATATTTACGATCTCAAAATCAAGATGCAAATACACTTTGGAGAGATATACAAGTAAATCTAATTAAATATCTATTGAAAAAAGAAAGTATTAAAAAAACTAAAATACCGTTTGTTTTTAAAGAATATTATATTGAAAACAGTTTTTCTTGCTCAACCACATTTATTTGCTGCTTATCGAATGTGTCGTCCCGGCGCTTCACCTTCAAGTGAAAGTGTTTGTTTTGAAATACTTGGTTTTGACATATTAGTTGATCGCAACTTAAAACCATGGGTACTTGAAGTATGTACTGCACAAATTTTCATTTACTAATTCAAGAATTAAAAAAACATAGGTAAATCGTTGTCCAAGTTTTGGTACAAATGAACAAATCGATTTTGATATAAAAATGAAACTGTTACTTGATACATTTGAATTACTTCGTTTTCGAACATCAGACAGAAAAAAGAGTCTCGCCATTGAAAAAGCTGAAGCACAACGTCGTTTATATTCAAATATTGGTAAAACTAGTCGTTTATTAGATGATGCATCACTAATTCTTTCCAATGGAACCTATCGGGATTTTCGAACTCGACAAAAAAAACTTGCTGATGTGGTATGTTTAAAAACGAAAAAGGATATTCTTGAAATCTTTAGAAAATTATTATTTTCGACAGAAGGAAAAATTATATCTTCTTCAACGTGAAACAGCTCGTGAAACATTTGAAAACCGTCATTTAGGAAGTTTTATACGTTTATTTCCTGTTGAAGATAGTATTCGAATGAGTGAATTAATGATCGTATTAACAAAGTGTTTCGATGTGTTATATGCAAATAGAAAGGATTTATCATGGAGTACGAAATATTATAATCGATTTAAAGAAGAAGAATTATTAGAACAATTGACAGAACTTGAAGATCTTGATCAAAGTGATCAAAAACGAAACCCTCGTTTAGCATTTGTAAGTTGTTTTCATTTTGATTGGAAGAAAAAAGACATTTTTTGTTTTCATGATGAAACTAAAAGATCGATGAGAAAAAAATTAAAAAATAAATAAATTGTACTCATCGTCCTTTCAGAGTGCACCAAGTAGCAAAAGTTCTTTTTCATCATGGTCAGCTATAAGCTTTACCGAAGTAAGTTTCTATTTATTGTTGCACTAGTTGTTGTCGCAATTTTATCATTCTGTCACTTTTTGTTTTTGCTTACCATTTGTATATCAATAATCATCATTAGCTCACTATATCATTGATTTTCCTTTTCCATCATATTGTTTTGTATCATAAATGTATTTCGATAATCTGCACAAACTGTTTATATCTTTTCATATCAATTTTGTCTTCTTAATATAGGTATCAAATAATAGTCTTCCAATAGATCGTGCATCTCCGTCAGCCAGTTTTGTATCCGAATTGACTGACGATGACGATGAACATAATCATCAAGATCGATCAAGTTCACCTCAACCATCTGATTTCGTTAATAAAACCACATCATCAACAAATACTATTACAACCAATGGTTCCTTATTGAGACGATATACACCACAATCACGAACAAATGTTCTTCGTACAACACCAATATCGCCATTAATTCTTCGAAAACAACGACAATCTTCAATTATTCCTACAAATATTCTTCAACGACCAAACTTACAATCACAAGCAAGTCCATCGGATATAAAAACAAATCGAGCCATTGAAAAGAAAAGTTATTCAACATCATCAAGTCAAAATGCCGATCGTCCAACTCAACAGTCTCGATTAACAACTCGAGTAATAAATAGTCAAACTCAAATGGTTACATTCACCACAATAACGCAAACTGGTAGAAAACAACAAAGTAGTATGACACCATCGATTGGTCGATCAACATCATTCAATACTCCTAAAGTTAGAACAAATTTTCTTGCGTAAAAAAAAATGAAAAATTGATGTCTATTTTAGGAATTACAAATCAATGATGATCAATTAAATCATCTTTATCAATCAACACTTGAACAAATGCATCAATTGTGTATTCGGTATCCCAATAAATCTGATGATGAAACACGACGAATTTGTAATGAAATTGTTGAAAACTGGAATAAATATCGTTCGTTAATAGGAGAATTTTGGTTATCTAAATTAGATACAAAAAAAAGACAAGCAATTATAAGAATTGTTTGGAATAATGTTCAACAAATAATGAAGCAACTATGGACGGTGGATCACTATATTGAACAATTATCATTAAGTAAACATTTAGCTAAATTAGAACAACGCTTATTAGCCAACAGTGGTCAATACTTATGGGATATTTGTCAAAATAGATATAAGTATGTAATAAAAAGATAAATAAATAAGCAAATTTAAGCTCTCGTTATTTAAGTTCGTGGGGATCATCATTAGTAACAAGTACAAATCGTGTATCTCCAATTGAATTAGCGTGTTGTAATCGTTTTATTGAATTGTGTAAACAAGCTTTGTTTATTGTTTATCGTTATTCAGTTGATGAAAAGATCAAAAAACAACAAGAGCATCAATCACAAGGATCAACGATAATGGCTATTTCATAGATATGTGAAATTATTTTTCTAGATATTGTCAGTTCTATTTTTCCGGTGGTCGATTTTTCTTAAAAATTTTTTTATAATTTAAACATTGCATGCAAATCATTTTCATTTATTTCAAAAATTTTAACGAAGAAAATTTTTTTGATCGTATAGAATTGAATGAAAGCCTTTAAAATTCATAGAAAGACTAGGACTCAAACTTTATTGAGCTTGGCTGAATACATAAACATGTTAAATGCATAAAATTTATTTGAAGTGATAGCAAAGAATCTTTAGTAATACAACAATTTCGCAAATATTACTCGTTGAAAACAGAATTAGTCTTAAGTCAACAGACGGACTTCATATGCCAAAATACTTAAAATAAGATTTTTTAATCATAGGATTTCTTTTCTGAATAAAAAATTATAGATCTAATAAATCGAAGATTCATTGTGACTGTCTTTCGTAGTGGTTGATCTAGTTTTTATATAATAATTAATTCATTGTCTAGAGCTTTCGACTCAATTCTAGGAGCCATTTTCAATATAAAAAGATATTTATGTTCTTAAGTTGATTTCATTGAATAAGTTGAAAATGACTCCTGGAATTGAGTCGAACGCTCTAGACAATGAATTAATTATTATATAAAAACTAGATCAATCCCTACGAAAGACAGTCAAAATGAATCTTCGATTTGTTCGATTTATAATTTTTTATACCAAAGTACTTGTTGATATTGTCAAATTTTTGAATAATGACATTGCCAATAAAAGAGATTATCTCAATCTTACTCGTCTATGGATATTTGGTTACTAGAAATCAATCAATCTTGTAATCATTTTTTCATGTTCGTCTTTCTATTATTATGTATGCGGATAAAAAAGATTACTCATAATATTTTCAATATCAAATTTTGTCGAGCTAAATTTTATAACTATTTAAAAGACGACATAGAAAAATTTTAAAAACTGAAGTTTATAAGCTTTTTAAATGAAATTAGAACACAAAAATCATATAGAAAAGAATGTATCTAAAGATTCTTACAAGATAACAATAATAAAATGTGTATCAGCAAAACAGCCGGTAATAAACTCTTAAAAACAGTACAAATATATTTCAATAGTACAATCAAAGTCTATTTTTTATACAAACCAAATATATTAATTTAAGTTGAGTATGTCGAAAAATAATAGTTCTCACCTGACTAAACGTATTGAAAACAATAGAATAGGCACAATTCGTGATAACTATGAAACAGAATTCGTGTTTTTTTTTACTAATACGAAGTTAATTGAAATACTATGTTTGGACACAATTTAAATATCAACATCAATTTCACAGTAGCTCATGATTGGATTGATTTGAAAAATAAAGGTTTGAATAGTAAAATACGAATAAGTAATCACACGAAAATACCGAATTTAATTCGCCAGCTTATCATAAAATAATCACCATTATAGAATTGACCAGTTGATTTTTAATAACATTACACTTTGCTCATAGTTTATCACTTGACATACAGTGTCCCATAAGTCAATGCTATTTTTTTCCATTGTATGCCAAAGTTTTCTTCACTTGAAATATAATTTCATATTAAAAAAGTATAATTTCCGCTACGTTAACCTAATCAAACAACTAAAATTGATGATATAAACATTTATCGATAACTCGTTTTTCGATATTATCCTAAAATATGTTGTACTCATTCAGTTATTGTAATTTATGATATAATCTTCATATAATATAGACTTATGTAGTTTAATTGAAGTCATGAAGCGTATCGTACTTGAACTGTCCTTTGGTTTTTTCTCATCGCTCAAATCGAAAGTTAACGAAAAAAAAGGAACATGTATTATAATCGGTTACCGTTCAATTAATATTCACCTTGAATATCTGTCGACTGAGCGATGATAGAAACTTCATTTTTCGTAGGTTTTATTACATAAATATTCACGTATTTCATTCATTTAATATATATTGACCAAATATACAAGCACGTACAATGTTTGAACATCATCATCATCATGCTGATCAATATATTCTTTCAAGTTTATGTCCATTCTCTTGTTCGATTGTTACTACTGCACTTCGTATTGGTGGAATATTAGATCCTGAATTTTTACTTCAATGTCAAATAACGGATAAAAAACTACAAAAAAAAATCGATGGATTAAAACAAATTCCATTGAAATATGAACCATTATCATCCATATTTGATTATCAAGAAGAGCTTTTTCTCGATATGGATTTACCATATAAAAGAAAATTTTATGATTCATGCGAATTTAAACAATATAATTCGTGGCTAAACGATCAAAATCATTGGAATATCATTCATACGTTTAATGATGATCTTATTATTTAGAGAAAATTTTCTGCTAGAATATGACCATTCAATATTGATTCGAATAAATTGTATCGTGTGTCTTCTTTTTCTTTTATTTACCTTGAAATACAGAAAGTTTAATCTTAGAAAGACAGAATGTATAATTAACGACTACATGTTTTTGAATAGACGATATCTTAAAGTTTTCTTTTCATGCTTTTTTTTCATACAAAATAATGTGATACGGTTGAGTAAACATTACATTTTATTTAGTCTCTATCGATTCTTTTTTGCTTCAAATAACATCGTCACACATATCATCATTCAAACAAACCACAAAATACATCATGTCGTTGAATGAGCTCGTGGATATGTATAATCGAAAGTTGAATTCTAGTGGTAGCAGATCAACAATGGCAACTGACCCATCGCATCATACACCTCAATCAACATTTACAATGAATACCGGATTTGAATCTGTAGCTGATACAGCAAATTCCATGAGTTATAATAACAATAATTATGCCTTTACCGATAATGCAGCATCAGCATTATTATTTGAGGCTGATTCCTATCGTTTTCAATTAAATGATCGGGTACTTGCTGGTGACACAGTTCGACCACCTCCGCATAATCAACCACGTGTTGAACGCATTAAATTTGCTGATAGAGTTGTCTTTTCAACTGATACAGAAGTTGAAGATGATGAACATAATGAAGAATATACAACAAGATATCCTGATGTTAAACCTCAATTGAACATAATAAATGCTCAACAAGCACACATACCACCTATTGATATGTATACAAATCCAGGAGACCAAGTTCAACGTTTAATACAACAAGGAAAATTGAAAAATTTGCATGGGTAAAGAAAATCATCATTTTTGTTGTACAAACAAAAACAAACATTTTTCCTCTTTAGATATATAAAATATCCATATAATTATATTGAGCCTCCATGGCATTTCTCTCCATTAGACGAGCAACAAGGCCATGTCAATCTAAATCCACCACGATCTCATTTAACAGCTCAAGATATTGAATCGAATACCATTGATGATTTCGATACAATTCAATTACCTTACGGTGTTCCTCAAGATATTGTTTCTCAAGATCGCTATGAATCGATTCCATTACCTAAAATGGTTTATGAGAATTTTGTTCCATTAATTGCAACACGTAGAATCGTTTGTCGTCGGCAAACATCAGAACATGTTTCTGGCGAAGCATCTTTTCAACAATATCCAAATCATTCTGGCATGGTTTCAAAATTATCTGAAGTTGAAGAAATGACATTTAAAGTTTAGATCATTAACAACTTATTTTATTTGTCGAACTTTTCCTAAAAACCTATTTTCTTCTTTTGCGATACACTCAATAGGTAAAAGCAATTCATTTATCATATTTCTCAATGGTTTTGCACATTCCTCAGCTTGAATGGAAAATAATATTTGATTAAGTATAGTTAAGTAACAGAAAGTTTCTAATAAGTTCCATTCGTCATCTGTTAATAACATTTCTCTTTCATTTTGATAAACAAATAAAAATTCTCTTGCATATTCAAAATTAAATATTGATCCAGTTCCACACCATAAACATAAAGTAATAGCTAAATCAATAAGCAATGGTCCAATATACATATCATCGAAATCGAGTACAGCAGCAATTTTATTTTCATCAAGAGAAAATAGAACATTATCATCATGAATATCAGCATGAATATAACCAATAGGTAAATTGTTGACAAGATTCTTTTCAAAAATATCCTGCTCATCTGTATCACTAATTAAAGGAATCGATTTCGTATGTTGATCAGTTATTATACGTATTCTTTTGTAAAGATCTGGATGTTCTTTTTGAAATTGTTCACAAGAATGAACAAGGTCATATTTAATATTTGTAAATTTAACTGAACATCGATTTGATGAAATCAATTTTAACTTTTTCGTCCTGATATTTGAATGCATTCGACCAAGAAATCGACTGATTTCTAATGTTTGCCATAATTGGCGAACCGGTGTTTCAGGTGTATCTAAATATTTGATGCCATGAATAAATGGAAAGAGAACACAATAATTTTCATTGTCAAATGTAAAAATTCCAGGTGGATCAATCATAGGTGCAACAGGCAGGTTAAGTTCGTTGTATATGTACGTAATAAAATCTAATTCGAATTTAATATTTTCAAAAGATATATTTCTTAATGTCCCTGGAAGGTATATACGAAGAATATAGGTTTTATCATCGGGTGTAGTAGTGAATTTCATTGTTATATTGGTCCATCCATTTGTTAATCGTTCGATAGGTGATGTAAGTTCACCTAAAGAATATTTTGTTAAGATTTCAGCAATTTGATCAGCACTAACAATGCTATTATTCATTGCTTCTCAAATATCTTGAGTCTTTTACGATAAAAATGTAGCGATAAAATATTATTTTTTTATCCAATATTTGCTAATATTATCAATACTATTTTTTTACTGTAGACACAAGCTTTATCTTCACGTTATGTTTTGCAGGTGTGAAAATTACATCAATACGTGTAGTGGCTATATCAGAATTTAAAAACCACTCCGTTATCAGGCACAACTTTTTTCCTACTTCTGGACTGTAAAATATTGCATTTTTCACTTGATACTAACGGCATCTATCAAAGCAGATCGAGATACAATACAATACAATTATAAGTAAATATATTAATTTATCCGTGAATAACAAACTAAAAACTGACTTAAAGAAGAATTTTCGTATTTTTGAAACAGGATTAAATAATTATTTATTGGCTCGATGTTTAACTTTTTGTGCGTATTAAATGAGTCATTCTTCTTGTCTTTTTTAAAATCCTCTCTTTTCTCTCTCTTTCTATCAAGCACGCGCTTTTCAACAATCAATCGATTCAATGACAAGCACAGATGATGCTTATCAATCTTCAATGGATGGCTCGATCTCAGACATATTTCGTAAACGTAGTTCAAGTAGAAATCGAAAAGCAACTTTAACAAGCACAGAAAATACTACGAAACGAACACTTCTAACTAAACGTACAGACAAGCAGTGTAAAACGGTACAACAGCGCGTTGTTACACGTTCGTCACAAAAATCTTCTGCAATCTCTACGCTTGATGACACTGATAATTCATTCATGTCAAATATTAATACTGGCTTCTCTCAATTCGTTAATCCGAAAAAACGACAACGTGATGATAAAAAAATGAAAACTATGAAAAGATCCAAAAGTAATATATTCATTCTTCTGTCTATATGAATATTTTCTTTTTTCTTTTTTCTTTTTTTAGTTACTACATATGCTGATGAAAATCAATCGCCGAATGATGAAATTCACGATATAGAACAAGTAAAACTTATTTATGAAACTTCAGGTATAAATAAGTAAAAGTTGACATTGGTAATAAATTTCATTTGTTTTTAGATGGTCGTACGAATCTTGCTCGAGCTGCAGCAACAAATGCACAAATTGTAGCTAATAGAAATATATTAAACATCCGTCAACCAATAGTAACAAATACAACTTATAATTTAAATGATCATAATCACATTATCGATGATACTCTAACAGATACTTTGATTATTCCAGATACAATCGTTGATAACGATACACAACATAATGATAGTTCTTGGCAAAGAGAAATCGATCGACTGATGAGAAAACTCGAAGAACCATCATCTACTGCTAGATCACGAACACAAATAATAGAAACCCAAACAGAAGAAGAGATTCTTGAGCCAATTTATCTATCTCAAACAAGAAAAACTCAACTACGACCAATTCAAACAATAAAAAACATTACTCAATCAGAAATTAATCAACAAAAACAAATTCAAACAACGACAATCACTGAAACAGGTGAAATTGGAATACAAACTGAAAATAATCTAAATTCATCATCTATTCACGAATGTTGTCAAGATGTTTCTATGTGTCCTTGTGTACTTGTAAGTTAAATAAGAAATTACCGAATGATTTATTCTTTTTATTCTTTTAAGCGATACAGTAAATTAGAACGTCTATTTATGGAAAAAATGTCTCGATTTATCAGCATTGTTCCAACTCTACCGAATTCAGATCAACAAGTTATAATACCAGAAACTCGTCCAAAGCGTCGAATCGTGCAAAGTTATTCTCGATTCCGAAGATTCCGTGCTCGTCGAAAAGCTCATGATCGTATGATTATACCATCTATATCTAATAGCGAATCAACAATTATCGAAGAAATTTCAGATGAAGTACGATATTCATATGACTTTATTAATTAAATAATTGAAACAAAACGATCTCAGACGCTACAGATTCGAAAACTAGTTTATGATGATTGATCATAGGAGAAAGAATTCATTCAAATTAGTAGATCATTGTTGATAAAGAATTCGTTTTTAATAAAAACTATCGAAACAGTTGCTTTTTTTAAAACTATTTCAGACAGAAAAGTATTCTAGAAAATATGGTTTTGTGAAGTGACTCTAAAACTCAATTGGAAATTAAGATTCAAAGCGTATGAAGGTACCAATTTTTCATATGAATTGTTTGTACTAGTTTATTCTTATAGAATGAAAATGGTTTTATACATTGTTTCGAAACTTTTTCACTTGAGAATTAATAAAAATAAAGTTCAAGAAGTTGAAAATGATCATATTGACCATTGTTACATCTAGTTTTTGTTCATTGTCTCCAGTGAACATCTAGAAGTTGCAGTCTGACCACTAAGTTAATAAGATTACGAAGTCGATTGTTAATTATTATATTTGAACTTTCTTTTAGGTAACAACAGAATCAGATAATCAACCCAAAGACAACGTTAAAATTACACAAGAAATGAATCAATCTATTCCTTCCACTGCTACTGTTTATCCCAGAGAAAATATAGTTTCAACGACAATAACAATAGAAAAAAATCCTCAGTCGATTGATGATTTATCTTCAATTGAAAAACTCGATGCAACTGAAATAGTTGATCATACATCAACTCTTTTAATCTCATCAACTGCTAATACATGTTCAACTGCTCGTCGCTTAGTTTTAACAACATCATCACTCGACGAAAATCAAAAAGTAAATTTTGAAATTTAAATATTTTTTCTTCTAGAGAAATTTTCCGATTGCTTTTCTTTTTAGTCTCGATTTCGTTTATTTATCACTCGTTTTTGTATACCAACAAGTTCAACAGTTGATTCAACAACAACTCATGTTATTGTTAATGACAATTCTTCTCTTATTTGTCCATTAACTGGAAAAATTATTCAAGGAATAGGTCGCCATTTATTTATTGTTTCACATCGTTGGTTAAATGAATGTTTATCACAAGAATCAATTGTTGATGAACGTCCATATGAGATTCGTGGTGATACAAGTCTAGGATCTGATCATGGTGGAATGCGTCGATCACGTTTAACACCTTCCTATTTACTTGATAAATATTCCATATGTTTACGATGTTCATCAAGTGATTGTGCACCATTGCAAACACTTGAACAAGTTCAAGAATTAGTTGAATTATGTGGAGCAAAATTAGTTCAAAATTTTAGTGAAATAAAAATAATCGACAAAGAAAGACAAATGGTTCTTGTTCTTGGTATTAATGGATTTTCTGGTGGAGAAAAAAAACGCAAAGCACTTTTAGATACATGTCAACAATTTAATGTTAGATGTGTGAACATTCATTGGTTACTCATTTCAATTGCTAAATTTGACATACAACCATTTGAAAATTATGATATTAATCCACTTTAATTATTTCATCTTTTTTTCGTCGTTCTTATTCGTAAACGAGGTTCAATCTATTTAGATTAGTTATGATAAATTCAATTAGTTTTGTTTTTTTTGTGAAAAAGAAAAGAATTTATTTATTTTTTGACTCGGAGATACGAATTGATACAACATTGTGTTAAGATAATTTGCCAGATATTCATATTTTGAAATAAAAGAAATTTACTAGGAAAATATTTTGTTTTATTTTTGAATGTTGCTTCTAGATTTCTTTCTTTTTATCTTTTAGACAAAATTTGAACATGGATGCCGCCATTGAGCAGTATGCTCCAACTGAAACTCACAATGATACCCCAACAGTATCTTTATCTTTACCATATAGTATTCATCCATCTTGTCTTCATATGCAAGTACGATCCGGTTCAAAAGCAAAAAATTTAGTTCAATTTGCTATACGAAAATTAGCTCCATCTGATCAGAATTCAACGCATATAGAACAAATAACGTGGAATGCATTTGGCGATGGTATATCAAAAGCAATAGCATGTGCTGAAATGATGAAACGACGTTCTACAGTAGATTTCTATGAATATGTTCAAATTGGTTATAAACGTATTGAGCAAATTTGGCAACCAGTTAATTTAGATGTTGAATTAGATACATTAAAAGTGAATAAAGATATTCCAGCTATTTGTATTCTTCTTTCAAAGATTCCTTTGCCGAATTTAACTGCAGGAGAGAATTAATTGTTTTAGATAAACGAATAAAAAAAATATTGAATATTGCTTTTCTTTAATTATGTCCAGTGGAGCACTCGTATTCGATGTTATATTCTCATGTTTGATAACGCTTATTTTTCTCTATCGATGTGGAAATTATCGTCGACAGCATCCATTAACAACAGCAGCTGTTTTTATTTCATGGTTTTTTTCTGTTCTGTTTATTTTTCTTTTACCATTGGATATTTCACTAGTAATTATTTATCTTATTAAACAAAGCATAATTATCAATGTGAAGTTACTACCATGATGGATTCAAATTGATAAAAAAATTGTTTGATATTCAACTTCTATAGATTGGTTAGAGATGAGGATCAGCGAAGAGATCGGTTTGGTTTTTGTATTCTAACTTAGTTTTATCAATTTCAAACTTTCAAAATTCTTAATAATAAGACTACCTTGCATTCTCTGAAATCCATCATGCTAACTTCAGATTGATGAAATATTTCCATAAAAACGTTTGATCTTTTCTATTTAGGCTGCTTATCGAGAATGTACTAGATATAAATCATCAACAGAATCAACGATTAATACTGATAATTTAAATCAAGTAAACATTTCTATTGTAATTATTTTATGAGTATTAATAAAAACATCATTATAGAATAATTCAATCACAGATTCATGTCCTCGTCCATGGTCTTATGTAGATCCACAATCTTACGGAGTTCTATGGCGCATTATTTATTGGACATCCCAATTGCTGACTTGGTAAAAAATAAAACTTGAAAATAAAATAAACAAACGAAGTTGTTTTAATTTTGACTTTGTTAAGGCTAGTTTTACCATTTATGCAATCAATCTGTCAAACAGGTTAGTTTAGTTATTGATGGTTAATTTATTTAGATATTATTTGCTTTGCGAAATTTTTTCAGGTGAATTTTATTTAAAAGGAAAAATTCGATATGCATTGAGATCAAATTTATTTTATTATGGAACACTTTTACTGATATTTGGAGTTCTTGTTATTTATGTCGCAATTAATTATAATTTAAACGCATCAAATTTTAAGGTAATTAATCAAAGAGAATATTTTATTTTTTGAAAAGAAAAATTTTTCATTGAAGTTTTTTCGGCTGAAATAATCTTTAATTGATTCTTGCTAGAATATACTATTATTTGTTTTTCAACTTAAATTAATGTTCCATGTATCGACTATGAATTCTATAGTATATTCAGGATAGATACATCAAATGAGATTGGGATTTGAGATCGGACGTACTTTTTAATCATTACTTTGCAAGAAAATGTTAAGATTTAGAAATAATCAAGGTTCTTTATATGCATTAAACAAATTGCTCAATGAAGGGGAGTTGAAAGATACTTATGTGAAGTTTTTTTATTTTAAAACAACATTTATTTCCTGTAAAACCGAGAAAAATATGCATTTTCTCTGTATACACACTTTAGGAATCTAATAGATTTTCTGAAATCATCATCATTTATCAAATCTAAACAATAAACCTTATTGCGTATCGTATTAGAATCCTATTGAAATCATACTGAAAGGTCTTTTTTTTACATGTTTCATATAGTATTAAAAGATCTATTTAAAATTTTGAGTATAAATAATTTCCGCCTGAAAAAAGTTTAAAGAACATCTTTATCTATGATTACTCATCGTAATTAGTAAAAGTATAACCGATGATCGACACTATATATCAGTGATGAGACCATTGATTGTTGCGTCGATTCATTTCTAATGCTTTCAATGGAAAGTTTTCATTATCGATTGTATCATTCGTTGATCCTAAAACTGAATTTTGTCAAAAGTTACACCATTAATAATAGTTCGATCTATTATAGGTAACTGTTATCGCAGCAAGTACAACTTGGGGTCTTTTTCTTCTTGTATTAATGCTTGGCTATGGTCTTGTTCAAGTACCATTAAATGTCTATAATCATTCTCGAACATCTTATATGCTTTCTCATATTCAATTCAAATTATCTCAACTTTATAATGAAAAAATTGATATTGAAGAACGTTTAGAATCTCTTGTTGATGAAGTATCAAAATTGTGTCTTGAAATAAAATATAATGATCCGCTACGACCTTGTTTGGAACAAATTGTTAAAATAATTCCTGAACAATATGCAAATCGGGTGAAATTAACGATGGACGATTATGAAGATTATAGAATAACATCGAATAATTTAACTGATTTACCAACAGAAACAAGATTAATTAAATTACATAGACTGCTTAAAAAGAATAAACATATTCATCATCGAGTACAAGCTTCGTGGATTCATATGATTCATGAAGCTTTTTATTTAGAAGATATTCTAAATAATGAAAACAATACGAATCATTCATTCGTAAAGCAAAGTCCACTTCCAAGATCATGGTTAAGACAAAAAATGTTTGATGAACATCCGATATTAGGTAAAACAAAAAAAGGAACTTCTTACAATAATCCGGATCTTTTTGTTTACTGGTACTACTGCTATTTCAGTAAACTGCCAGCGGAATTTCTAGTTTTCAAGCATACGAGTTGGAAATAAAAAGTAGTGCACGCCCTTTTTTTACGTCAATTGTATAGAGCAAAACAAGGCACTGTCATATGCTCAGTTGCACTCAATATATTGAAAGAGTAAGATCAAAGTGAGGATTAGAATTATGAGTCATCAGTTTGCACTATGGTTCTCTTTGAATAGTCTAGAAGTTATTTTGAAAAGACTAGAGCATTTTTTAAGAGATCTCAACGAATCACGAGAAGAAAAGAACACTATTGTACCTCGCTTTTTGAATGTTTTATATCGTTCATTGATTTACTAAATACTTTGAAATAATATTATTTGTACTTTCGACAGGTTACAGCACCGTTCTTGAGTTTTTAACATTTCAAACGGATAGTTAATTCTAACTAAAACAATTTCCGTGTTTCCGATAATAGGTAACTTCGTTCACCTTTGTTAAACTAGTATCTCTTATAAATATTATTGATCTATCATCGAGGTTTTATATATGTACCTTGTCAAGTCTCCGTTTCTCTCTCTCTATCGACCTGAATTTTTAGCGTTGCTACTTGAGTATTCTAATATTCTATTTGTTTTTTCGATCAATTCTTTGAATGAAATGAAATATTCTATTTTGTTAGAGTGGTATACGTTTTGTCTTATACGCCCATTGGCTCTTCGTATGGTTGGCATAGTTTTAGGTGGTATATCAATAGTAGTTATTTGGTCTGAAATGACGTTTTTCAGTGCAAAACCAGTATTATCCATATTTGCTCAGTGTGTTAATGCAGCTCGGCGTCATTATGATTATTTCACAATCGAAGTAAGATTAAACTTAACAGCATGCATTCGTTTATTTTAATAAAAATAAATCACTTTTATAGGTATTTTGCTGTTTAAGCATTGCTTACTTATGTTTATGTGCATACTATACAATATTCCGTATTCGTATATTCAATTACTTTTATTTATCACTTTATCATTTAACTGATGAAAACAGCTTGATTTTTGCTGCAACATTTTTATGTCGTTTAACAGCTCCACTTAGTTACAATTTTCTTGGGATGATACATATGGATCAAGCAATTACAAAACAAACTGATCGAGAAGAAACTGTTTTTACAACGGTAATTGAAATAAATGTATGAAAAGAATTATATTTTTTTTTCTGCTAAATTTAGATCATGGGTAGAATGAATGTTATTCCAATAATTTCAAAAGGTTTTAATTTTTATTTTCCTATGTTAATATGTATATTATGTGTTGGAACATATTTTCGACTTGGTTCTCGATGTTTACATATATTTGGTGTTCGACAGTTTTTTGATGATGATGAGATATCGGCTGAATATATTGAAGATGGAAAAAATTTAATGAAAAGAGGTAAAATTATTTTCATCTTCTTTTATTGTAATTTTTATTTCGAAAAAACAATTTAGAACGAAGAAACTACGGTGGTAATGAAACCCTGTCAACAATGGCAAATACAACAACAGCTACTCAACGACATGATCGGAGAAAAGAATTAGAAGAAAAATATGGGCTTCGATCAACAACGCCAGATTTCACAACATCGACATCACGAGATGATCGCTTATTAGATTTGAGATCAGGTTAGAATTTTATTTTTGAGATAGTGTTTCACGATCAATTTCTCGTTATAGAAACTCGCCAATTAAGACCACTCACAAGTTCGGATGAACCATTGATAACTGTCAATAATAATCAAACAGTTTCTTCGAATACAACAGTACTGCAAGGTAAAAAATCTGTAACAATTCTTTCTGTCCTAGTAGAACTAAAACAAGTTTAGAATTTTGTTTACTACTACTATTGAGATTCTTTCGAAAAACGTGATTTTTTTTCACCTACTGAATTTTGACAAAGAGAGAAAACTATAGTATTAGCTGTCGTTTTATCCTGTGAGCGACACTAACGCGTGAGGATAATTGAAAGAAAATTTACTTACCTGCGAATAAAAGTCAGCAAAACATAACTGATTTTATATTGTTTTCTTTTGGAATTACACACAACTGATTATTAAGTATAAGAATTTTAATCGAATAATTGAATTTATCATACTTTCTTCTGACTGGAACTTACAATGTTCGAATTCACAAGATGATTGAAAATTAGGAGAAAATAGGTTTATGGGCTTTTGCTTTTGTATGTTCAATTTTGGAAGATTTGTTTTTCATAAGTAACCCTGAAAATTAACCAATGAATGTTTCCATCGATTCAAAAATATCAACCTTCATATGTCTTTACTATCTATGCAAAATATTGCATCTTCTCTCGTTTTAATCTGCTCGAATCTATTAATATTTATTCAATATTTTAATAATTTTAGGATCTTCTCGCCGAATAGCTCCGCCTACAGACATATTTAATGACGTTTAAAATAACTTTTTTGTTGTCAATGTATAATATAATATGATCTACTAAAATTATCTTGATTATTTATAGATGTTGTATTTTTTATTTATATTGTTTAATTAGTCATTAACGAATTCTCGACCATTTTAACATTTAGTGTTAATCATTTTCGTCATTACAGAAAGTTGTTTTATTTATTTCATGTTGTATTTATCATTTAAGATGAGTAATCCAGAAGATAATCAAACAAATAATAATTTAAGTGAATTACGTGCTGATGTTGCTGCGACAACAGATGTTTTGAAAGTAACAGTTGAAAAATTAGTTCAACGCGGAGATAATTTAGATGCATTAAATAATCGAGCTGAAACTTTGAATTCAACATCATATCATTTTCGTGGTACCGCAAGACGAGTCAATCGACGTATGAGATGGCAAAATTATAAATTAACCATTTTTATTAGTAAGTTTTTATCTAAAATTGCACATTAAATTTATTTAGTTTTATTCTAGTCTTCGTTGTCGTCTGTGTAATTGCGTTCATTATATTGATGGCTCTTCATCCATGGAAAACATGATCTAATAATGATGACTATATAAAATAGTTTTGTACATATGAAGTTGAATATAGTGAGATTGTTAACTATAGTTTTTAACTCTGATCCTTTTTCTATGATCTATTATATTTATAATAACACTTTATATATTGTAAATACATGTATTCAACAAAACAAAAAAAGATTTCACAACTAATGGTTGAAGCTAAAAGAAAATGATGATAGTATTGAATAAGTTAGTGTGAGAATCTTGTCATTTTCTAGAAAAAGAAAAACACATTCAACCGATATTTCAGAAGTTTGTTTTTCGGATGTTGAATATATTCAAGACTAAAAAATGCTGATGATCATGGTCATTTATTATGTTAACTGTACTACAAATTTTGTTGGATAAAAAATTGTTGATTTCGTTTCATGATTACTGTTATTGACAATGAATTTTTGAAATCATTATCACTTATATTTTCAGCATAATTGATCATATAGTTTCTTGTTCGTCGTTTCTTTAATCATAAACATTGTTTTTTTTGTAAAAACCAGTTGATGGTTTGATCGTGTATTGAAAATTTCTCATAGTTAATACGTTATTAAGCTACATCAATACGGAATGAATGTTGAAGACGTATTGAAGTAAACTATATGACGCTTTTTAGTTATTTTTCAATATTGTGTCTGACACCTACTACGATTCATATGGTAGATCCAAGCTTTTTATGTACTAAAAAGCCTTACCGGATTTATCATAAAATGTTTAGGATCTTATTGAAAAGTCCTAATAAATCCCTAAAAGATAAAACTCAGCTGTTGTTGCATTCTTCGAGCTTTGCAAAGTTTATCTTTTTCTCGCCAGTTGATTGACTTTATAGAAAAAAGTTAAATCTTACTATGTACAATAAACGTATCATTCATCTATATTCTTATTTGTGATTGTAGATCAAAAGATAAAAACGTAAGAGTTTTATGAATCAAAGACCCAAAATCAATCAAATCGAACACAGATGCCTTATAAATGTCTCAGATGAATTGCACACATGTAGATGGAAATAATACTAATTTAGAAGTTATAACTAGGCCTCTCCGGTTGTTGCAGATCGAAATATTTGTTTCGAATATGTAATCAAATGATGAATTCATGCTCTAGAGTTTGATTATTTTTTAAAAAGTTTAGTAGCTCTTTTTATGACTGCTTAGTGACAAACTTATAGTAGTCTTTTGTTATCATAAGTTTCATAATAAAAACATAGATCAGATACAAACGAGCATGCACCTCAGAAATTCAATATCATTTAAAAGGCAAGAAATACTTCTTCGTTTATCATTTTATTAATTTTTCTTATATTGGAAAAGAAAAAAAATCTGAGCTTTCGAGGTGTTTCAAAGGTCGTTATCTCTACACGTCGATTCTTATTCATTGTGTGTGATAACGGTGTATGAAACACATCGAACATACACATTGTTTCTTGTTAATACAAGAAAAAAAGAATAAAATGATAACCGCATTAGTACTGCTTGCCTTTTCATCATTTAATTATATTCCGTTGAGCGAAGTTACTATTTCAATGTTATAATGTCATTAAAAAATCATGTAGAGAGAAATATGTCAAGTTGCTTTTTCGCATTCGTATCAGATGTACTAATATGTACCAGATGCGTCCACAGGGCAGGGTAGGGCAGTGTAGGATTATACTTCTATGCCCAGAAAACTCCACACAATATTTAAAATAGTTTTCTGTAGAAATAATTTCTATCTAGAGACAAGAATTCAGTTTGACATTCAGTCGTTCAAATTATCACCAATTCTATGCTTTGATTAGCAAAAGCTACCACACTAGATTATTGTCTGGTGAAATTCTAACGAAAGAACAAAGTAGATAGACTCTAAAGCACTGACTAGACTTGCATATTGGTGAAAAGTAGACTGTTCAATCATGTTGAAATGTTATATGAATATCATTCATCTGCTGCCTTAGACTATATAAGTCTAATGATATAATGACTGATATTGGTCCGAACCAAAATGAGTAGCCTATAGACAGTTCTTGTCTGAAGAATACTTTTTTAATTTTGAATACGATTTTATTATTCTAAACCTTTTGGAGTGAACAATAAACGAAGCTTCCGTTGATGAAATAAGCCAGCATGGAGAAAACAGAGAAAAACAACTCGAATATTAACTGTTTGAAAATCTTCTTTTCAAAAATGATCTTGACACGAGCATTGCCCGTTTGGATAGAAATGATGAATACGATTGGCATCGCGTATGAATATCAAACATTGGGGGATGTGAGCAATCAACTTAATGGCTACATCTATAACGATAAATGGACTCAATAAAGAAATAAAGACACAACTAATCAACTTACGACAGTCGCCGCAAGTCACTAAGTTGTTCACAATTTGAATACGAGTTGGAAGTGGTCGTTGAATCAAGTTGAAAGCAATGGCAATTCGTTCACTATGTGCACATAATACTGGTTTGGACGTCTCATTATCTTTTAATGGTCGTGTTATTCAAGATGCATCAGATTTATAGTCATGTGCGATCAATTCTGCTTGTAATTTATTTAATTCAGTATAAATTTCTGATGAACAGGAGCGTGATTGATCAAGCGCTCGAAATGTCTGCTAATAAAAATTTATTCTTTTCATATTGTTGTTTAAGATTGATTAAACTTACGAAGACTTTTCCATTGATGACAGTCCATAATTGACCAACAGCTTTTTTGGTGTCTGGTTGATTTAGTTTCATTCGTACGTTTGTTGCGTTCGATGTATTACCACTTAATACGTGCGTATTAGCAAGAAGAACTACAGCCGATGTCAGAACATTTTTTGCATCGAGAAAATTTGACTCCATACGATCGAAAATCTTCTGTGATAATGAAGCATCTTTCATTACGCGTAGATAAAAGCAGTGACACTGAATAAATTAGAATATATTGGTATCTTTGCATATCAATAAATAGGAGAAGAAAAAACAACAACTTACTATACATTGGAATAGTTGGAGAATTATATCTTTTGAATTCTTCAATAAATTTTTGTGCTTGATCAAAATCAAAAACACGACTAATTGTATCAACCTGTACAAAAGGAGATTAAACAAATAAATTCGAAAGTACACAATATATTTTAACATTGTAGTAAGAATTTGCTCTGTTCTTTGATTAATTGGAATCGTTTCAAAGATTTCACGAGCTTCATTAACAAGTCCTGAATGCGAGCAAGCATTTAATGTACATACATCGATACAGTTATCCAGCACAGTCGCTGGAACTTTATGAAAAAATTGAACAGATTACAAAACCCATACCATTTAAACCATGTGCGTTAACTCAAATATAAAATAAATAGCAATTAGAATAAAGAAAAACAATATCCATTGCCAAATTAGGTGATGTATCATGATTAACGAAATGGTACACATGCTTTTCTAGAATATGTGATGATGTATTGAATAACATGGAATTAAATAAAAATTTCAATACTTTGTGTTTATATACTTATTGTAATCTAGTCCTTATTGTTCTAAAATATTTCATGTAGTTAAAATACATGGAAAGAAATAGTGTGCAGGTGTTTTACTGTCTCTTTCACGAAGAATTTAATATTCTTGAATCTTACGTAGACAAGTAATAATCAAAAACTTAGGCGACGTAGATGGTTTCTTTATTGTAAGTAACGATGAAAATTAGAATCATAGAAAATTGAGAACCATCTATAACTTGAGTGAATCAAGCTTCAAAACAGCCCAGGTAGACTGATCCGACAGGAACCTGGAAATATCCTACAATCCGATGCAACTCTATTGGATTCCGGGTCGAGGAATCGATGTCGGATCCTCAGTGTCGGAATCCTATGAACGTCCGATGACATACAACGGTTTTTCCTTGGAATTCATAGGAATCCGACACTGAGGATCCGACATCGATGCCTCGACCCGGAATCCAACGATAATTCTGTAAGAGCTGACAGGGTCCGATAAAATTCTATTGGATTCCAGTCGGATCGGATGGGTTTCGATAGGTGCCTACTGTCGGATTGTTCGACCTGGGTTTCCGTAACTCGAAGATCTATTTTTTCCTTCTAAGACTTTTAAAGGTATCTGAGATCAGTCCAGAAACATATTCAGCTTTTCGGAATCAGTCTGGAATAGAGGTGCCAATTTACTGTTTATTTATTTTAAATTCAAGTTTCTATGAATTTTATTCTAAAATAAATTTAATTTTCCCTTATCTCACAACGTATACTTAAATTGAATTTAGCTTTTGAGAAATTTAGTTTATATTAAATTTAAATTCGTAAAAATTTTTTTTCGATTTAATAAATTTTTCTCAATTTAACTTCATCACTCCTAGTCTGGAAACCTATTTAAGTTTTGGAATGCTCAGAAGTCTATTTCGTTGGTTTCCTAGAAAACGATTTTTATTTAGAGTCTAACCTACTTTATGAGATATTTTTATTTCTTTATCATATGATTTACTTGATCACATATTGCGAAAGATAACTGATTTATATATTATTAGCACAAAACTTGAGAATAAAGAGACCAAGATTGATTTACTTTGCTTTCCATTCTGTGATCAGCCATCAGAAAGGTTCGTCACCAATGATTGTTCATTCAATTAGATTTGAAAGTATTGGCAAGATAAAACCTCGTAATACAGGGAAATCTAACATAAAATGTACATATATAAGTGTATACCGATTATTAGAATTGATTCTGCATGTCTACATGATTGTTTATTTTATGAAAATTTATGGCGGGGATAATTCGGGGATTTACCTTATTCCGCCCCGCCCCGTTTCGGTCTCTGGTAGTGACACATAACTAGAATTTCCAGAGTGGTTGTGCGAACAGCTCTGGCAGTTGAGAATCTCTAAACTTTGGTTGACAGAAAAAATGTCGGCAGTAAAATGTCGAAAAAACGAAAAAGTAAAAATATCGACAGTAAAAATGTCGAAAACTGAGTAGGGATTCATGAAAAACATTTTCCGATAGGTGTAAACTCGGTTATTACACGTTGCTTTATTTGTTCACGAGTTTTTTTTTTGATTTGAAGAGATTCATGATTTGCTGGGTGTCCATGGCCAGTTTTACCACCAGAGAAATAATTCTGATCTATATCAGTATGAACATATACGCCACAATCTTTAACCACACACACATACAATCTTTTTTATTGGACCTTTTTTGTTGCATTTGTATATGCATTGATTTAATATTAAAAGAGGTTGTCCCTTATTCGAAGTAATGAAATTAAAATCGCTGTTGATGCTGAGTGTCAATTCCGTGGCGGCTTCCATATGTATATTTATCACTCGAATAATGAATAATTGAAGAATAATTTTCCTATCCTTTTCTATTACATGGTACTAAGCTACCAATGTCTGATAGACCAATGATAGATTTAAACGAACATTAGTCGCCATCGATCCTACAATAATAACATATTCATCGAATATCTTTCAAAACACTCCTTCTTTTAGAAGTTTTTATTTTATTTTTATAAATTTCTTTCGACATTTTTACTGTCGACCAAAGTTGAGTTTACCGTAGTTGAGCGGTGTCCAACCATACACCACCTTGCTTGCGCAACTAGTTATTAGTTTTTACAGTTAATGGAATGTACTACTTGAAATTCTCTAACAACAATTTTAGTTTTGTTAAAGTTTAGCACATGTAAGTGTATATTTTCATATCAGGATAATAAGTGACAATCAATGCTGATGTAAAAATTTACCTGTGTGGTACCAGTTTCATTAATTTGAGCACATTGAACATCTAATTTTACTTCCATGAAACTCTTTCTAACTCTTAACAGCTTTTCTATATCAGTGTTAACATCTAAACTGAATGGTTGTATCCTTTTAATTTTCCTAAACTACTATAGTATCATAGCTAACTGATTGAACAACGAGTTGAAATTCATATACAATGTGTCTAGTGTTTGGTAGAATACCGGGCAAGTAAGAAGATCTCGAGAAAAAAAGCATCTAGGATAATTTTTCATTGAACTTAAGAAATCAATTCAGTCAAGAAATCAGTCTTTTTAAAGAAGAAACGCAAACGCATATACAGCTTTTTTATCATTGATGCCAACATTTTTATTTATTTCTAACTTTCAACGTAAAACAAACTGATTTCAATACACGATGAATTGCAGAAGTACAGCATTAGTACCTGTTACAGCAATAATACAACTTGGAAAATCAAGTTGGATGATCTTTTTGTGTTGCAACTGTGTTCGAGTATCCTACTCGAATCACTTCTAACAACTTCTCGAGTGTTACCAACGGTGGTTTTTCAGCAAAATTTTCTCGATTTCCCTTACGTACATTGATGTAAGAATTGAATCTAATTATATTAAGAAATATTTTTGAAAACATTTCCTGTAATAATTCGCTGACGTTTCTGTCATTTGAGCTCCTCATTGAGCTATGTCACCTGCAAACTGAATAAGCTCGTGAAGAAAACAATTATTAGATCTAAAAAAAACGACTTGTTATTTTGAGAGCTATCCTTTTTTGTTTGGCGCTCGTCTGTATAATGACTTGTGAAAATAGTGTTAACACGATCCATATAATTGTTCGAAACGAATCTTTTGAATTATCATCCTCTCTTTTTTGTCAATTTCTGGAATATTCATCATATTCCGATTTAAATGATGCTAAACTAAATAATCAACATCACATACATCTAAATATCGACCCATACATTTTTCAAGCCTATCTAATTTACATCCAATCTGGCTGTTTTATTCGACCTGATCATTTAGCTCAAGAAGATTTAATTAATGGATTGCGAATATGTGGTGCACCTTCCAATTTAGTTGAATACTATGAACATCGTGATCTAACATTAAGTCTTACTTCACATGCATATTCGTGTCGGCCTATTCGTACAAACATAAGAAGCCGACAAAAATGGTTCAATCTATTTATTTTAAGCGGATTTTTTATTGCTGGATGTTGTTTAACTATTGATTTGTATCGGCAAATGTTAATATTAAACAAAAATTATTATGAAGAAACATCTCAATACTTAATTATTATGATATATTGTATTGATGGTATTTTATTTCTATACTCGTGTTCATATGGAATTTCAAAATTTGTCTTAACTAACTATGACAAAAAAGAACTAGGAAAAGATCCATATTTCATAACTCATGTAATTTCATGTTTGGGTAAATAATTCAATTGAAATAGTGGCTATCGATAAAAAATAATTTTTAGGCATTCTATGCTATTTTATTAGTCAACGTCCAATTACTAATGTTTATTTATCGAATTGGAATTCAGTTTGGACACTGATTCATCTCTGTCGAACTATTCGTATAGCACAATTAGGTTGTCGTTTAATTGATATTCGATGGTGTCTATATGCTATTACTAAATGCTTCTGGATATTGTTAGAAACAATTATCGGACTTTTTTGGATTTTAATTTTTTCAGGTTCTATGTTATTCACTATGGATATGATAGAAAGACATCAACAATACAAAAATAATTGGTTGACAATTCTCTCGGTCCATGAAACTTTATATGCAATAGGCTATCGAAACGACTCGCCAAATGGATTTTTAACACGTCTATGGACGATGATTAGTATTTATCTCATGTCATCAATAGTACAAATACTTTTATGGTGGTTTCAAACAAAAGTTACGATTCAATGGACAATTTTATTAGATAAGAAAAAGTAAAAAGAATATGATAAATAAAACATGTAAAAAAAATGAAGTATTTTCTTCACTTGATCTTTGAGAGTTTAGATTAATATTAATCTAATCAACTTTTAGTTCAAAAACTCCAACTCACATTGTACAGAAAATATATTTAATTTATGTCAAAACTAATCATTAAACATAGAAAGTCTTTCAATCATATTTAATGCAATAATCTTGATAAAAGGAATTCGTTTTTTTTTAGGAAATTCAAATTCGTAATATTCAATTTTAATGTGTGTATAATTATTGATTAAAATAATCAGAATGTATTTTAATGAAAATCAAAGCAAACATTCTCGAAGTTAAATACAGTGAAAGATAGTCAACTCTAAACTCTATTGAATTATACAATTATCAAGTTATTTTACAGTGCTCCATCGAATAAAATTATACAGAAAAACAGCATATAGTTGTTTGTTATTTTGGTGCTATCTACTACTTAAATTTTTCAAATAAATCATCAACTATATGAATCAATCGAAACAAGACATTTGATTTCCGTAATACAATAGAATAACATTGAATTCATCTGTTAGTCAATGAAAATGATTGAAAGTACCAAAAAGTTAAATGGCTTTTTAACGTTTTAAAAATTCAAAATAATTTATATTTTCCATAAAGAACTCGTAATTTTAGTCATCATCGATGCATTCATTCTTTTAGCATACACACGCAATGCTTTTGTTCATTTAAAGTAATTACGGAAAGGTGTGCGTGCACATTTGAAATTTAATGCATCTAAGTAGTATTTGTCGCGTCATTCAAGACGTTAGAATATAGTGTCAGTGCTGATAATGATTTGTGCATGTTGACTAATCCGTACGGTACCAAATGACAGGAAATAGAACAGGAACAAGATTTGTTCATTATATGAATTGAAATATACATGCTTTATAGCTGTTCATTTTAAGAATACTCTTTTTTTTCTTCCCTATAAATGATGCAAGTATAATAAAGAGTTCATTTAGCTACGGTTTCTTCTTTTGTGATTGTGAAAACAATAAAAAACAAAAAGACTAGTTCACAATATGCCCTTTTTTCTACTTTCCTTTAACAAACATATAGCGACTACTCTATTGGATTGCAGCATCGAAAGGTTACCCGTACTTCCTGTCTATAGTCACACTTTCATTTTCCAGTTTTTTTTCTTTGATAAAGCCCCGTGAGTGCAATTATTTTTATATAAAAAAAAAAAAGAAAAAGTCGAAGAAGACAAAGCACAGTCGTCGCCCATAGCGATATTTTGAAGAAAAAGAAATGAGCTGTTCGACCGTAAAAAACTGACGTCTTTATCTCATCTTCCTGTCAACACCTTTTTTTCTTCATCATTTTAGATTCATTCATGTGCATTCTACTTTTTTCTTTTCATTGTTCTCTTACTAGAGAACATACAAAGAGCAGGAAAAAAAGTTAAAAGTTGAACTCAAGAAGCAAAGAAGAATTATATTAGACATTAGAGAAAAAAGTCGCTGGTGAAGATTATCACAGAAAGCATACAAAGGCCCGCTGAAAAGAATAAGAAGAGTAACTCATTATTGTGAATGGGCGATAAATATGAAATGAGTTAAATTCTATGAGTCGATTAATAGAAAGTTAATTGTTATTATATTACTTCAAAAAAAGTAAGTTTTTCCAGAATATTTCATGCATTGATGTAAAAACAGTGCGTAAAGTTTATTTGCTCTTCAAGCATTCAGTTTGTTCACTTAGTAATATGATCAAATCATCTATATCCTTTCGCTGAACATTAATTATACTTGAATACATTGAAATCTCATTCCCTTTGTGTCTATAGGTGGTCTGTTTTATCTTAATTTTCTTTCTTTCTTTCGTCTTGTTAAACAGAAAAAAAAGTGATGCTGAAAAAAAATTCACTCCTCCGCACACATGTTGTCGCTAAGTACACGTAAACGAGAATAGTTGTTGTGAAAGATAAATTGACTGACTGGCTACGAAGGAACACAAGCAGAACGGAAGAAACTTCTTTTTTTTCTTTTTTTTTGACTACATCTCACACAACACATTTTATTTCAAAGTCAAACAAAATTTCATAGTGCAGTTGCATGTTGTATGTAGAGTCTTGACAACAACACCATCTTGATCATATTCTCAGCATAATGATGGACATTCAACAGGTGAGAATAGAACTAAGCATGTTAGGATTTCGATTATTTTAGAAAGATAAACAAAAACTTGTTAATGAGACTTGAAATTCATCTTAGATTCATTATGAAGAGTCTCTATGAAATCTATTGATTTTAAGAATTTAAACAGAAAATTTCTTCTTAAAATAACAATAGAAATGAAAACAGGAGAGGTCTCTTTGTATAATGGACTAGTATTGTTTCATTTTGAATTGACTAATGGAAAGTGGATCCTTCTTTTTCATATAGTGCTGCTCTTTCAAGTACCTGAGAGAGACAGAGCTAGAAAGTAATGTTAGAGGCAATGTCTATTGTCTTCTTTAAGAGTGTAAACAAAGTCTTCTCTCTTTTCATTTTTAACATGAAAAGATACATCAAAAATGAGAGAAAGGTGTTATTCTTTCACAGAACGTATGAGATGCTAATTAGGATGAAAAAAAAATCATATAAGAACAGTTGTTTATTTTAATTAACTCACCTGTTCAACATCATCTATCATTAGTCGAATGATTGTCAAAGAAACGCTTCAATTAGTATCGCTGTAATGATTTTCAAATAAGATAATGAACATCATCGTCTTTTATTACTCTATCGCATCATTCCATTTCGTCTACTGACCCACCTACATACGCATTATTTCTCCGAAAGATAAAGGTACTCTTTTTTTTGATGTTGTCAAGTGTACTGGCCAAAAGATAAGGCACAAGTGGCATCTTGTCATCATGATCATATATCTATGGATATATATACGCACGATAAAGTGTGTCTATCAAATACTCAACTTGTTTTATTTCATTTCTAGAATTATTGTCATGCGCTTCGTCTTTATTGATCGTCATGTTAATAATGGCGACAATAATTCATCGAGCAATGAAACAACATTATATTGATAATAAAGTCACTTTTCCTATTTCAAAAGGTATCAAACGATTACGAGATTATCAAGAGCAAAAGCAATTAATAAAATGTGATCGATCATTAGAACATCGAAAAAAAGTTCAAAGAATTAATGAAAAAGAAGAAGAACAACATCAACAATATCATTGTCAAGTTTATCTAAAATTATTTCCATCAACATTAAAATGTTCAGTTGATGTTATTGTTGAATCAATAAATAAGCAAACGAATAACAGTGATGATATTGATTCAATTTTAATAGCAAAAACTCGAATACCAAAAACAATTAAGCCAGGTTTGATTCAAAATAAATTATTTCTATTCTAAATTGAACATAATTTGTTTTCTTTTTCTTTTTCTTTTTCTTTTTAAAGGAGTTATACGTGTTCGTCTGGTGTCGTCGTTATTTAGTGCCGATATTGATGTACATGAAGAACCATCTCTGATTAAACTTGAAACAATCAGAAATCAACCTTATCATAATCATTTTGATAAACAATTTGCTCTTATATTAAAAGTAAATTTAATCTTAATCTTATTATGAATCAAATAAATATCTTTGAAAATATTTTATTTATTAGAACAGTCGAATCGGCCCAGGCGCTATTGGTAAATTATTTATTGAATCGTTAGATCCATCAAACGGGTCATATACGAATAATCCACCTATTTTTGAACTCAATCTTAATATGGCATCGGAATATGGAATTCTTTTGACTTCATCACATCAGGTAGCCATCCGCTGTATGTTTAATGAAGTTGAAATGAGCAATCAGACTTTTGTATTACTCTTTCTCCGATTGATATGAGAAACCGTGTGAAAGAATGATGATCATGTGTCAATATACGTATGGAACGAAAATGAGAATTGAAGCTGTATCAATAAGACTATATATAGGGAGAATGAAAAATAAAAAAGAAGAAGAAAAATATATGTTATTTGCATAATTTATTGCTAAAGAAATCAAACTGTTGAATCCAGGTAGTGTGATAGGAGAAAGGAAAAAATAGAGAAGAGAAAAGAAAAGATTGTATTAGATGATGCATGAATAAAATTGAAAAGACTATTGGACAAGTTCAAAAGTGTTGAAATATAATAGAAATGAATTTGTTATGTATTTTATTAAAAGAAATTCAAACGTCATTTTGAAGAGCTTTTTGTTTTATATGTTTACATAAGAATATTTGATCTATTGAACCGGAAAAACAATATTGCCTAAAGGAATAAACATATCATTTAATTCTCATTTAGAAAAGTGACAATAATGCAATTTATACTTCTTTACAATGTGGTTGTATTCTTTCTTCGGATCAATCTTGCTTAAGTATCAGTGACAAATGCAATGTAAGGAATATTTATTATTGCTTTTAATTATATATCTGTTTATTTTTAGTTGACATTAAACGATATGAAACTTATTCATCGTCTATCTGAACCTCTCCGTTGTTCATGGAAATCAATTGGTCGCGAATTATCTCCTTGTTTTTCTGAAATTGATTTAGATGATTTCAATCAAAGATATTTTCTATCCGACGGAAATCAAGAATGTACTTATCAACTATTACGAGAATGGTACATACGTGATCCTCATCAAGCAAATATTCGCTATTTACTAACTCGATTAAAACTTCCTTTTCACCTTATTATGACAATTCACAACGATGTTGTGAAAACATTTTCTTCTTTCTAAGATAGACAATTTATATGAGCATACTTAATGCATTCCAATCAGTCTGTGTACAGTGTTTTTTAATTTTTTGTTGTTGTTGTTGTAATTTGAGGCTTTTGAACTGTTTTTAATCTGTTTGCGTGTGTGTGTGTGTGTGCGAGTTTTACTGTTTTTCCTTGTCGCTAGCCGTCCAAAGGTGCCAGCCGATTGTAACAAAGAAAAAAAGTGACCATATGGCCATTTTTTTGTACAAAAAGTCTTTTTCTTTTACATGTGTGTGGGTTTTTTTTCTTTTTCAGTTCATTGTTTATCTAAAGTTTAAAAATACTATAGAAAAAATAAATAAACATGTTTGGACAAAAATTTTATGAATGAAAATGTTTTTGACCTTGTGGACGATTATATCAAAAATATTTTCATTTGGTACACTATAATTTATCTCTGATTCAGCACAGCTGAAATAAGATAAAGTTCGATATATATTATTCTTAAATACACGTGAAGGGTGCGTGTATGTCTGTGCATGTAGTAGTGACATGGTTTGGACGTATGTGTTCTCTTTGTACGGACGTCTACTCACATCTACACTTCACTGGCTTTCAAAGCAAAATTTTAGTTCATAATAAATAAAAAGTGAATCTTTTTTGATATAAGCAGATGAGTAATTGAGAAATTCTACTAAACCAATGATCATGCATACGGTAAGAAAACTCAAGAAATAGCGTCAAATTTCTATCTTCGAATAACATTGTTCGACAGGATATGAACATAATTCTGTTATGTCGATTCAATTTCAAGTCTTTTGAAGATATTTTTCCAGAAGATAAAGTTTTATGAATACATATTTTTTACATAAAAATCTTTTCCATTCAACGTTTATCAAGACATATGTCGATGGATATCTCTTGTGTGCTACGAGACATAGATGTAAATATTGCAGGAAGAATTTCTCTACTCGTATCCCTTAGCTGGTTATAATTTCAATGGTAATGATTGAAAGAAGGAGAATTTTCAATAAGTTTCTTGTTGCCTACTTTTAGATACATGTGATTCATTGAAAAAGATGACTTCATAAACCAGAAAAATTAAAACCATTTAGTACGAAACTTTTATATGAAAAAGAGAGACGATTTTCTGTGTCCAGTGACGAGTTACAGACACTGAAGTTTCATTTTTATATTGAAATCCCTTTTTTCTCAAATTAAAGCACACTTTCAGCTTAGGGCTTCTTTGGATTCGGATCAAGCTGGATTTTTGAACGATCCTTACGATCAAGCTTCACTGACGAATAAATATACGATGATTAGTGTTAATAGTTTTGATGTACTATTGCAACTAGAATATACAACATCTTCACTAAACACACTCCGATATGACTCATATTCCTATTAGTACTACGGCATTAAATATTGATTAAGATTGCAAAATTTCAAGTTAAATATAATATTTCTTACCTAGAACAAAATGAGCTAGCTTGATATGCCGATAAATTACTCAAAACAAGATGTGCTTTTACCCAAAAATGCAAGCATTAATTCATCTGATATCTGTAACATCCATTTTTTGTTTCATAGTTAGTATGCGCTGAAAAATGTTCGCTCTTTCCTCGATGCTGTAGATAGTAAGAAGTAGGAGAAACTGTGGAACATTCACTACTGTTGTACTAAAAGTATTTTTTGAAACATATCGATATCTTACATTTATATTTCGCAGAATGAAATAATATCAGTTTGTTGCTTCAGTATGTCATTTGTATTGAACATTTAATAATCGAAATCGGCTAAGAGACGTTATTTTTGTGTAATAATGCGCATGTGAGTACAGATGTGGGATATGGAAGTGGATATAAAATCAGACTGTGACAGTAGAGGTCTGCGGTTCCACATTTTGTGGAATCGGGAACCGAACTGGAACCGTAGAAAAAATTACTCCGGAACCGCTAAAGGAACCGTGGAACCATTTCTTTTATATAATCACTTACATCAAGTTTTTTCTCAAGCTACTACCCAGGTCGATGATTCCGGTCTCCAGACCCTTCCGGAACCGGTCTGGAAACGGCTTTTTTCCAGCGATTTCCCACCGATTTCCTAGTCGTTCCCACCGGATCCTGCAGGGAAAACAATAGGAAGTGGAAGCAGTATTCCATCCGGAAAAACCGTACCCTGAACCCTCAACTTCCTCGCAAATCCAGTCATAGGAAACTCTAAGGAACATACAGTGATCCTAGAGGAACAGGGAGGAGGAAATCAGGAATGCCAGCGGAAACATTCACATCAAAAACGGAAACGCAAAGGATACTGATGCGATAAACCGGAAGCATAATGGAAAGCACGATTCTGCATCCTGAAACAAATATGAAAGATCTACGAAGATCACTAGAGATCTTTATTGTGACTACCTTATTTATAAGGTATTTCTGTGATTAGAAGATCCAAATTGGTAGAAAATCATATTCTAAGATCTTTTCACGGAGAAACGCTGCAATTCGAGCTTGATTTAAGCTCGAAATCGTGATTTTACTAATGCAGATATTCGAAGATGATTTGTTCTATTTACCTTAATTAGATGATATTCTGCTGATGGAGAGTACGACACTGATTGTAAATGTTGCTCAAGGAAGATTTATAACAAGTCCAAAGTACTATGTCGATTCTTGTTTTTAATTATCATCGATTAATATTAGAAATGGGGTTGGAATGATTTTGAGAAAGTTTTGGTATAAAAAAAAGTATGCGAAGCGTTACCTGTGACTTACCTGAACAGATGTGTTGCGCCTCTGGGGTTGGAACTTTGCATGCTCAATCATGTGGATAGATTGGTGATCTTCAGGGTGATCATGTATCGCTAGGTCAGTTGGAAGAGTCTCAGCCAGACTTGAAGGCACTTTACTAGTAGCTGCATGCACGAGTGATTGAACTTGTAGTGTCGAACACGCATATATATATAGGTGAAGGTCGGCTTCTATGGAGCCTGAAGACTGTTTTAGTATTTCAATACTTTTTTTTGAGCGCTCTCGTTTTTGACATATCTAACTCGGTTGGATTCGGAGAGAATGGACTTTCTCAGGGGTGCTGGCTTAGCATTTGTATTTAGAACATACTAATACTTTTTTCATTAGTATTAAAATAATATATTAATACTTTTGTATTAGTATTAGGAGTATTAGTTAACACCTTCGTATTAGTATTTAAATAACTATTAATATAATACTAATACCTATTGTGATTATGTAGCGTCTTATCAATATATCAATTTAGAGTTAGAGTTACTGTCAGTTTCTATTTATTGAGATTTTGTTTCTAACATTTATTTAAGAAAAATATTGTATTTGTATCTGGCTGCGATAGATCTGCATGGATATTTTCTTCAGAGACGACAATTTCTTTTATCAAATATTGATTTTGATTAATGGAAAGTCCATTCTGAGAGTCTTTTAGGGTGTGAGCATCATATATCACGCACATTCTATATGATAAATGGCGAAGTAAATAATTATATTTTCGTGAAAGATGTACTACAGGTTTTTTTAAATTTATCCTAACTATGAATATTTAAATATTTATCAAACAAGTAACGCGGCGCAAGCGCCGTTAACCCTCTACTGAAAGGATTTTACTAGCTTAGCCTGGCGTGGGTGTGGGTGTTTGTATCAATGAAGCCCTGAACAACGCCCTCAAACCCACACCCGCCATCTAGTTTCCCGCCGTACGATTTGGACCTGGATATTGAAAAAGAAACGATTCGCAACTCATGTCAGGCGTGATTCTATACTGATCTTGAGGCGGAGATACAAATTTTGTGGTCACCTACCTCAGCAAGCATGGCCAATACCCACATATTATATATCATAACCACACTTTGATAGATAAACGGTTCCACGGTTCCTTATAGTAAATTTGATACGATTCCCAGGACAAACATTCCGGCCACCGGATCCCGTAGGATACTCCAGGGAATATGCTGAAAAGTCACCATATCCTGCAGTAAAACACGGGAAATCGCTGGAACATGGAAGTAGCATTCTGGTAAAAAATACGGCCGGACTTTTCCGGAGAATTTCTGCCAAGTTCCAGTGCTTTCCGGCAGGAATTGAGCGGAAATCACCGGAAAAACTGCAAAGAATTCCCAACTGGAATACTGCTTCCACAAAATCAACGGAACTACCCGGAACCGGCCGTTTCCAAGCCGGACTGTTCGACCTGGGTTGTACTTCTATTTTTGGGTCATTTCAAACAGAATGTCTAAAAAAATGTCGATGAAAGATCTCCATCATTTAAAGAAGCAAACAAAAACAGAAACCGACCTAATAAAAAACAAAGGTATGAACTCTATAGAGAGTACTAAAATTAAACGACTCCAACGTTTCAAAAGAAGTATATTTGAATGCATCTTGCAGTCATTAAATTGTATAAATTTAACAATACATTTTTTTGTCATTTCATCTTATGAATCTTTTTCGTAAACCACTCAGGTAGAGAAGAAACAGTGATGATACTACCAAAGAGAGTTTTTCATATTTTGGGTTTGGATGTGAGAGCATGAATGGAAGTGGGTTCTCGCCTCATAGCGAACCAGAAATTTCAGATTAAGAATTGATTAGATGTTATTGATTCAAATTTTATTCGCAAAAAATGGCTTTAATGTAAAAACAGAGTGCGCATTGTTTTATTATAAAGAAATAAGTTCTCTGTAAAAAATAAGTTAAAAATAATTCCTAAATCCACCAAAGAAAGCATATAAAAGTTACACATTGATTATGTATCACCAAATTATATATTTCAAAATTTCATTTATACTTATTTTGAATTAATGTGCAAGTTCAATAGCATTTGTTCATCCGGTCATTTTTTTAAATAATTATATAGAAAGATATTTAAAAATGATTAAATATCCAATAAAAGTTAAGTCGCTTAATGTTGCTATACAGTTAACAATTAATGTAATACAAAACCATATACTTGCTTTTGCATAATTTTGTTTTCTTTTTAGTTCATTTGTGCGAATAGAACATCCAATAGCTATGAGGCCTAAAATAACCGAACCGAATATTACATTTAAGTAAGACCATATAAACCATTCTCGAAGTGATTTAATCGCTTTATGATCGCTAGGTTCATTTATACATTCTGTTACACTGTGATTATCTAATAATTGATCATCATCGTCCACACTTTGAGTTTTATATTTCACTTCAGTATTTTAAAATATACGAGTCAGTTGTGATGTTCTACACTTCTACTCATAAACCTAAAAAATGCTCTATCCCGTTGAAGTCAGATTATTTATCGGATAAATACAAGAACGGAAACGAGTATATAAATATGTCATTATTTCCGTAAGCGTCCACAAAATCACAAAAAAAATATAAATGGATGCCACGAATAAATATAGTGCATAAACCAAAGAAAAAAAAGAGAAAAAAAGTCATTATTACTACGTGCTCTTATCGCGATTCTATTTGAACAAATTTTTTTTAATGCAAAAATAACGTCAAAATATATACTCTAGATTTTGAAAGACAATAAATATTCAGAATATAAAAACTATTTGAATGTCTAGATATCAAAAGAAGTATTTCGTCAACATTTTTTCAAACAAAGTAAAAATTCGTAAAAAAAAACATATACCGAAATAAAATTATATAGTTTTTTATGTAAGAGATTTTAGCCTTAGAGAATTCAGTGGCTCTATGATATTTTTTCAAATTTATGAACTTAAAAAGGCACGTAATTATGACATAGTATGACCAGAGCGTATATCTTGATGCATATAATGTATTGCTTTAAAAAAACGTAGTAGCTATTAAACAGTTAGTTCAAGAAATGAGTAAATTAACTCAAAATTTTATGAACACGAAACTTGCTAGTCTAGATCAGATATAGAAATGGTAAACAAATCTTTTTTCTATTGCGTCAATCCTATATACGGATTTTACCGTTCCGACATTGAAGAAAATGTTTATGATGCTGTAGTTACTATTCTTCTAGTTCGACTACCAATCAATCGATATGAATAGTTTAGCATGAAAGTTGTTTAATAAAAAATCTGATTAAATGTTCTTGAATCATGAACTTCACGCTCATTAAGATAATATTAATACAGTAATTTATTATGTTATTGAAGCAAATTTTAACATAAAGTAGTGATCGGAAAGAACCCTTTGACGAGTTGTCTTTTTTGTGGGTGTAGTAATTCGAATTAACCATGATATTCTTTATAGACCTGTCTATTATGAATAGCCATTTCTAACAGCAAAAAGTAGCCTTTGTTATGGATATGCATAGATTCTACATAGAAGAGAATAATGTAAAAATGTATGAGATATAATCATTGCAGATCAAGATGAATATTCATAGATAATGATATCAATGATCAATAGTCAATAACTATTTTTACAGGTGACGCCCAGCTTTCCTATCTTAAATCTTAATCTGATGTTTAAGATCGTTCTAAATATGATATTCTAGAAGTTCATAATTAAAGGTATGCGTGCAGGTGGGAGATGAGACGAAGTGTATAATACCTAATAACGGAAAGATCTCTTCGGATTATCCAATAGCAAGGTTGATACTGATTATCTGATTATTCAATTTCATGCTATCGCAGCACGAATTTCCTCTTCATATCCATATATTTTTACTACAAGGTACTCCCTATTGGTATCATCAATATTTATTGATTGTATGGATGTTTCTTTTTCTATTTTACGATTCTCGAAATAGTTGATGGAAAAGTAGTTGAAACGAAAGAAAAATTGGAATCAAAATCAAAATTTTTTCTCAATCAATTGGAATCTATTAAAATAACTTTATCAATCATTAGAAACGACAGCTTTTTGGCATTTTTTTGAAAATAATCGAAAATTTATTAATTAAAAATAAGAGAAATTGATTTAAATATTTAAAATATTATTGATGTGTATGTGTTCGAAACAAAAAAAAGCTAAATTAATAGTTTCATTACAGATAATGAACTTATTTAACAAATATCAATGAATAATATTATTATCTTTGATAAAAATCAATCTGCTCATATGTGCATCTATTATTCAACATTTGCTAAAGACAACACAAGACAAAGAACTTCATTATCTGACTGATCGGTGTGTATTTTCGACATAAAAAAAAACTCGATAAGATATATCTACAGACATGAAAAACAATTTTCTGAGAAATAAAACGCTGATAAAAATTGTTTGAGGTTCATTCATTTCGTTGATTATTTCGTGAATATGTACAAAAAAATACTGAAATTGAAATGAGTAATGTGAGATAAGAATAGTCGAATATTAATTTTGTCAAGAGTATTAAGTAAAAGCATCATTCACCTACTTGTTCAAATACGAACATTGAAAGACACGAATTACTTCGAGGCTTCTTTGATTTGTTTCTGTTATTCTTACAGGTAGTTCATTAAGGGCATAGCTATACATTATCGATAGGTCTTCTTTCTGTGTTCTACCATAAAAGGTCATTAAAAATGAAAAGAAAAGAAGAATACCGGGCAGATTCTTAGCGACGTTCATATAAAGGATTCATCAAACATAAAACGATTATTCGCCGAAAGCAAATACTACGTCTTATGTTCTGTTAATTGAAAAAACAGTCGATAAGTGATTGAATATGCAATGATGGAAACACAAACTTCTTCTGAAAATATAATAAAAAGACCATTTCATTTACAAGAACACGAAGAACTGACGATGGTTGAACAAGTGAAGCAGTCATTTGACTCTATTACAAGAAAAATCGACGAAGACAAAAACTTAATATTGGATAGACAAATCATAAAAGAAATTGTAGACTTAGCTATTCAATCAAATGAAAAACATTTATGTGATTCTAGTATTATCGATCATCGTGCCTTTTTTATTTTACGTGATTACTTTTTAAATCTTCTACAACGTTGGCGCTTCGGTGAAGTATTCGATGATACATCTTATTTTATTTTCGAATCTATTTCGAGTTTATTTCTAAAAATGTCGAGTCATATATCGAATGGAAATCTATCTACATTAAAAGAATTAATTTTTCATGAAACATTTCTCAATGAAATGAATCGATTTTTTGACGAATTATCGGTGAATGGTAAATATCTAGAAGATCATCAAATTAAAAGTATGGATAATTTATTGAGAACGATTCAACGTCTTGAAAGAATTAATTTCGATACTAAAAAAGATTATTTATTTGATAATATAGTTAAATGTATTTGTTCATCATCATTTATTGAAATATTTCTTCAATCTGTAAATCAAGACAATGAAGATGTAGGGCACAGATTTTTATTAAATACATGCACTGATTACATATATTCTCATTCAACTGATCAAAAACATAAACAAAGTTTAATTGACATTCGTCAAACACTTCTTCGTCCATTTACTCAATGGTTAATTCAGCAATCATCGTTGTTTCGCTTTTGGAATAATCGAATGCTTATTACTTTACGTCAGATTTGTTTCTTATTAACACTTAGTATTCAACTTAATCGATTGATTCTTCTTGATAAAGATATATTAGATGATTATTATCAAATAATTGATTCATTTGTTAATATTCTTTATTCAATAATTCAATCTGAGAATAAAACCAATAATAAATTATCGCAATCATTAATAGGAACAATAATACCAAATATATACACAATGACATTATCGAAACAATTAGAAAAATATATTCAAAATAAACATATTATTTCATTAATATTAAAATTAACTGATTTTGAAAATGATGAAATACAATTAAATGCATTTAAAATTCTTTCTTCAATTACAACGGAACAAGAAACAAAAAATATTGTTTATTCCAATACTATTGCAAGTCTTTTCATTAAATTTCTTAATAAAGTTATTGATGATTCAAATCAAACATTAAGATTTTATAATTTGCTTCGATCTCTCAAAAGTAAGTTTAGATAATTTTGAATTTATTCATTTCTGAATACATAAAAGAAGACAATTTGTATTAGGTTTAATTCAATATGATCAAATTACAGATGAACTGACAAAACAGAATGGCCTACCTTTAATAATGCGTTGTGCAACAGATAGTAAATTTAAACCTATTCAAGTACAACAACCTGCTTTAGAAATTCTTTTTATTCTTACATTTAATAACGAAGCTTATCAGCGTCTTAAATCATATTCTACGGAAATAAAACCATTTTTATCTTCATCTCATCAACGAATATCACAGGTTGCTGATATGATTTTGTGGAAACTAGAAAAAGAAGAACAAGCACTTACAAAACCGAATATTCAAGATAGAAATTATAAATATGATATTATTTTATCCTATTCACAATCTGATAAAGATTTATGTCTTCGCATTTATGATGAACTTATGAGTGATGATTTTCGAGTTTGGATTGATCAAGATGAAAATTTTACAATGACTATGAATGAAAAATGTGAAATCATTGACGAATGTGAATATTTTATAATGTGTGCATCAGAAACATATAAACAAAATGCATTTTGTCGATCTGAAGCATCTTTTGCATTTGAACGACAATTAAAAATAATTCCTATCATTGTTTTATCTAATTATCGTCCAGATGGTTGGTTGAATCGTATAATTAATGGGAAAATTCCAATTGATTTCACTAAACTTGGTTTTGAATTAGCAAAATCAAAATTAAAAAACGATATAGATCGTCAAAGAAAATTTACAAAAATGAAACAAATAAAAGATTCAATTTCAATAGATATTCCGGTAGATAGTTCACAAGACAAGTAAGAATTTTATTTTCAATTCTTTTCTTTTGTTTTAGTTAATATCTTGATTTAATTAAGTTACATTCCATCTCGAATTGATCAATGGACGAAAAATCATGTTAAATTATTTTTAATAGGAAAGAATTTAAATCCTCTTTTAGAAATATTTTCTGAAATGAATGGCAATCTTTTACACGAATTATATCTTATGTGTTTATCGAATAGAGAATCAATGTTTCATACATTAAAAACAGAAATTTCCACATTATATTCCAATAATCAACCATTAACACTTATTATCTATCTTCGTTTTCTGAATGAAATTCAAAAATATATTCCAACATTTGCTATTAATCAAAAATAATAAAAGAAAAAAGAAGTTTCAATCTTTACAAGAAAGTTTAACAATCAGAAAAGGAAAAATACTCATTTAAAGATTTTTCATTTTTTTTTCTTTGACATTGTATTGGCTGTATCCTGAAAATAAGAACTTGTTAATGTTGTTTCTCGTTTTCGTTTGAGACCATTGTTTACTGAATCGTCCGCTTCTTCTTCATCGAGTTTTGATGCAAATTGACACGTTATAGCTAAAAGTCTATCTAATTTGTACATATCATATTTTATAGTTGTCATTTCAACTGTTTTTCTTAACATTTCTTGTTTAGTTTTTGGCATTATTATTGCCATTTGTTTTAAAGCTTTTTCACTTAATATTGTCGAATATTTTATGTGATATTGTGATGATATTAATTTCATTTCATCTTTTAATTTCAATAGACATGAATCAACGAGACGATTACGTGTAGAATTGTTTGACATGACTGATGAAGCATTCGAATTTTCTTTTTTTGTACAAACTGATAAAGTTATTGGAGTAGAAAGCATATTTGTTTTTCCAACACGAATATAAGCGGTTACTGTACCATAGGCATCATTGATCGATATATCTTGATGAAGATAACCATCAAGTATTAATTTCGATAATAGACGTTCTAAACCTATAATTCAAACATTCTTTTTAGCGAAGAATATAAAAAAAATTAACAATTTTAGCTTCAACTTTAACGCCTGTGCACTCGAAGAAAACGATGATTAATCAGCAAAGTATTAATGGTAAATAAATTTCATATTATTAGAAAATATGCTCTTCGTAATCTATTTATCATTATACTTTCATAATGATATTCTTCGACAAGATTGTATATCACTTTAGAAAGTTTACAATCATAGAGCGAGAAATTCAAAATGTTTTTAATAAAAGATGAAACATTTTCTAGAAGACAAAACGATCATAATAAAAAAAATAGTATCGCAATTCACTAAATCATTTAAAAGATATATCATACAAATCTATAACTAATTAAATGCTAAAATTATATTGATTTCTTTTGCTGATATTCTGCAATGATCATGATTACAAATTATCAGTTCACTGATCAATCTGAATTCACGGTTGACCAATTTTATTTGTACCATAAAAAAATGATGAATCAGTTTATAATACTTAATAAGATAACATATCATCGCCTTAACGTTACAAAACTGCTAAAACATATTCTCATGGGTAAACAATAGACTATGTGGAGGTAACAGTTTGATTTATATTTGAAGTTCAGTAGTTAGATCTTAGCAATGGTATTAATCTTCTCGAAAGAAATATAAAATAAATAGCTGCAGGAAATGAGATATGAAACAAAATTTAGGCATTGTAAATAAGCCTAACCTTTTTTTGTTGCTTTTTCCTATGTGATTATCAATTGCTTTTCTTTGGAAAATTACAATGGAAATTACTTGTCAAATAGTCACTTGTAGAAAATTGATAGTATCTATTTAATAGAGAAGAGTCTCAAACAAATAGTATTTTTGTATAGTAAAGAAACAAGTATCTCTTTTAACAATGTATTTTAGACAAGAAAATTAAAGAAAAATAGTTGTCTAAACGATCCTTAGGAAATGATTTACTTAATAGTTAGTTTCAACATTTCTTGATAAGATGTTTACATATATTACAATTATCCATATAATAATAGAATTATCTCAATTAAAAACTACGGAATTGCATTCTATAAATATCTGTCAAACTCCTCAATAATCAGTGATAAACAGTATCTAAAACAACTCCAAATGAAACTGATCTGAAATCTAACATTCAAAACAATGTTGAAATGAAAAATAGAATTTATTTGAAATCGAAGGAAGATAAAGAACAAATATTTTACTATAAGGTTTCAGAAAGACTAGTAATTTAGCAGGTGTTTGCCAATCGTTTCTATGTCAAGAGTATTTAATTCTTAAAAGCATCATCTATTTTCAGAAGTCTTGGTAAAAAAAAAACTTTTAAAAAGGAAATCCATTACCGACGAATTATTCGTCGAAAAATTTGAGAATTTAAATACTCTAGTGGAGAATAATCTTGAGTTTCATTAAATTTGAAAAAATAAAATATTAGTTTTCTTGACTGAAAATTTATTTCCAAGCCTTAAATAGATTTGAAAATCGTCAAAAATTATATTTTGAATCCATATTCAGAAAACATTCCAACTTAATAGTTTTTAATTTAAGTCATATCTGATGACTTACTAAAAAATGAATCAAGACTTAGTCCTACGAAAATGCTCTCATTCAGTTTTTTCTTCTTCTTTTATAATCAAAATCTTAATTATCTAATTGATGATTTCTTTTTTTCTAAAGAAAAGAACAAACATACATACTATTTCTCGATACTTCTTCAGCAATATTAAATTGTTCTAATTTGTCAAGGCCAGCATCTATAATTGCTCTTTGTTTGCTGCCCTTTAAAATATCAATAACTTGATTAATAGTTGCTGATTTAAATTGTTTTGTTAGTTGATCAACCAATGAAATAACATGTTTAGCACATACTGTAAAATCAACTAATTTAGTTTCAGCAACATTACAGCAATTATCACAACGTGTTTCAGTATATTTTTTACATTGACTTGATAAATATTGTTCACCAAAATATTCAAGTAATAATGTTCGACGACAATCAACATTATTAAGGCAATATGCATAAACACAATGAAGATTGTGAATGCGAACTTTTTTTGCTTCGTTTGTGGCATTTGCTGATTGTTCAGCTAAAAATTAAGAAAGTCTTCTTGCTTCTATTTATTTCAAAAAAGCAACAATCTTATGTATACCCATAATTAAACGCTTTGTTTTAATGAAATCTTGATAACTGTAAAAGAGATAGCAATATGCTTGTTCACCATCACGACCAGCTCGACCAGATTCTTGATAATAACCCTTCAATGAACAAAAAAGAAATATTCATAATAGAAAGAAATGTTTTTTTTTGTTCCGTCATCAGACTTCAATTGACTTTGGCATTGATAAATGGATGACAAAACGAACATTTGGTTTATCAATGCCCATTCCAAAAGCAATGGTTGCACAAATTACCTTTTGAATAAAAAGTGAAGAGAAACTATTTTTTGAAAACTTCGCTTTCTCATTTTGTTTTTACTTGATACTCATCATTAGCCCATCTTGTTTGTACATCAGTTCTTTCTTGATCAATTAAACCTGCATGATAAGCTTGTGCTGTAACGCCAATATTTGTTAGATAAGCAGCACTTTTTTCACATTCAGCACGTGAGAAACAATAAACAATTCCACATAATCCAACAAATTGTTCACTTAAACATAACTGAGCTGTACGTGCTAATGCTCCATCAGTTTTTCCTTTAAGAAAACATTTATACACAAGATTAGATCGATTGAATGATTGAATAAATAATTTTGATATATGTCTATCAAGTTTCATTTGATGAAGCATATCACGTTGAACTCGTGGTGTTGCTGTTGCTGTCAGTAATATAAACGGTATACGAGGATATCGATCACGTAATATACCTTTAGTTATATCAAATTAATCACGATTATTGAAAACAAAGTCAAGTCAATATTTACCAATTTTAACATAATCAGGGCGAAAATCATGGCCTAGACTAAAGACATTAGCAAAAAAGAAAAGATTTTTATTTTATTTTAAATTTACCCCAATCAGATATACAATGTGCTTCATCAACAACAAATCGGGCTAAATTATTGTTGTCATAAAGATGTGAGAATAATTTATTTAATTGATCGCTTTGTCCAATTTTTTCTGGTGTAATATAAACAAGTTTAAGTTTAGGTTTTGGTGCATAACATTGTGCATAGATTGCAGAGACTTCAGCTGGAGTTCGATCACCAGTCAATGCAGCACATGGAATACCTAATGATAAAAGTTTTTGTGTTTGATCAAGAATTAATGAACGAAGTGGAGATACAACAAAAGTTATTCCTGGATCAAGAACAGCTGGTAATTGATAGCATAATGATTTACCACCACCTATTCAGAAAATACAAAATAAAATTTCTTTTATTTGTTACTTATAAATTAAAGATCTAAAAATTGTAAACTATAAGAAATAGATAAAAACGTGATCAAGAACTAAGCTCGACCTCTTGCATAGCATTCAACGAGATATGATCATTCTCAAACAAGTTATCATCAAACAAGTAAGTCTTGAACAGTTGTAGTTTATGAACTACTAATAAAGAATGATAGCCATTGTATTCACAGAAAAGTATTTGTGTGAAAAAATCCAACAAGAATACTTTTTTTTTCTACAGATAGAAATAATTATTTCTTCAAAATATGGAAAATAAATAAATCGTTTTCGAGACTACTCTCAAGTCTACAAAGTCATTCAATGAATGTCACATTGAGTTAAAGAAAATATTTTAGATAAGAAATTCTTCGTTTTTTTAATTTTTAATTTCGGAAGCATCTTGGCTACAGTGAGAAGTTTTAGAAAAGAGTTTTAAGTAGTTATCGGTCGATCATGGATCTCAATTCTTTTAAACTTCTCTTAATTCTACAGGAACCTATTCATCGTTATAATATTTATTCGAGTTCAGAGAGTCTGACATAAATCAATTTCTATACAACTGATATCGATCCGAAATAATAGATCATTTTTCAGTAAACCAAAAGAAATTCATTGAAAAATTTACACTCTTTTCGTTAAACGTCAATTGGTTCTCAAAATTTGTAAGAACGAAGTAATTCTAACCTATCCATGGATTTTATTTGCCTCATATTAACAATTCAATATGATCGTTTGGAGATATTTTTAATAAAAACAAAATTTAAAAAAAAGCAGATAGTAAACGAAATCAATTGTTATTTAGAATAGAATACTTAAACTATTGACGTGATTTTGAAAACAACACGATATTACCTGATATTTCTTCTAGGCAAAATAGTTCTGAATTATCGATTGTAATAGTCGCTAATAAAATCATCTACATAGTTCGGTGATATTTCTATCAATTATACTCATAATTGAACTGATTCGAACGAACATAAATCTTGTTGATGATGTTGTTTTTTTACGAATAGCAAGACCGAATAAAACTTTCAATAGTATTCTTCACTCTTTTCCGATTGTCACCAGGCGAATATGGTTGCTCTCATTTAATCAGAATCAACCAATCCATAGTATGATAAGTTTAAAATTGTATGCGAAAATTTAGGTTTGAAATGAAGCCTACGATTGATTCTCAATCATTGACTATCGATGCTCTTGAGTAAAATTTTACAAGTTCTTGCATACAATTTCAATTGTTTACCTGTTGGCATGAGAACGAAAAGATGATAACGTCTTTCAAGTGCACAATCAATAGCTTCTTTTTGATTTGATCGAAATTTTCTTAAACCAAATAAAGCATGAAAACGTTCTAACATTGTCTTTGTATGACTAAATTCTTTATCGCGATATTCTGGCCCATCATCATGTACATCAGCTGATATCCATGTTGCTTTATCACATTGTTCTTCATCATCATCAATGGGTGCTATTTGTTCATAGGTTTCAAAATTTGTATCATCATCATCATCATCGTCATTATTATGGTCATCAAAACTTTTTATAGATTTTAATGATTTTTTTGTAGACGACGATTGATCAAGTGACCATTCATCAAAAAAAGCATCTTCAGCACGATTTAAAGCAACTGATTGATCAGATCGCTGAAATTTATCAGATATCTAAGCAGCGAAGAAAAAAACAAGGAAAGATTTAACATTTGTTTGAATCAATAAAAATCTACTTTTATTTTTTTTACTAAATTATAACTTTGATCCGATAATTGTGAATTAAGTTCTTCTTTTTGACATAGACTACATCCAGTTGCGTTTATCATTATCGTTTTAAAACATTGAAAACATGTTGTATGTCCACAAGCATCATTCACTGGCCGATGAATACCTGCTATATCAAAGGATATTTGACAGATTGGACAAAGTGTGTTCGATATTGGCCGATCATTTTTTGAATAAGAAGATGACGAGGAAAAAGAAGAAGATCGATCAATCGTTAGAGATGTTGATCGATGTAACGTGGAATGATTTGAAGATATGTGACTTGTTGGTAACGGTGATATTGAAGAAGCATCATTTATTGAAGAATTTCGTTGTAGGTCATCTATTTCGTTTGATGATTTTTTAAGAGAAGTTGAATCTGTTTTTGGATTTACAGATAAGATCTGTGATGAGATTGTATGACGACGTGCATTTGGTGGTACATCGGGAAAATGACGAAAAGTCAATCTGATATGAAGAAATTTTTATTTCAGAACTTTCGAAGAACAAAAATCGATAAGAAAAAATCTCACTGAGATAACGGTCGATTTTCCGTATTATTCAAACGTTCTCGTGTAACTTCTTCTCGATAAGCATAATAAATTTTCAATTGTTCATTTAAATTATTTTTAATCACTGGTCGACTAAACACATCTGTATTAATGGTACGATTTGTTTGTAAAATTCTATTATTCATCTCTCTTATATTAGGCAATTCATTTTCAATGATCTCAAAGAGAAATAAAATATTTTTCTTGATTGAATTTTCCAAAGGGACTTTTGTTTTTTTTTAGTAAGAAAAAAAAAGTTAGTGAATGTTGTTTGAAGATGAGACCCATGAAGAAGGTATACGTACATTAATGTTATAGAGTACAGAAAGAAAAAGAAAAAAAGGAGGAGTGCATTCATAAAATTTCATGGTATTCAACTGTGACAAAGTAGAAGAGAAAAAGAACATGACACAAAAAACGAAGACATAGTCAAGTTTTGTTCCAATGTTAGCTTATTTTTCCTCACACCATTCGTTTTCTTTTTTGATTTGTTCTTCCTAAAGAAAAAAAGAACAAGAGTTTATTTATTTTATTTATTTATTAAAATAAATCAAACCTCTTGAGGTGTGAAATCATTTTTGATATTGAATGTACGCCGAATTTCTTCTGGCGTTTTGCCTTTGATCATGTTTGCAACTGTTTTGCATGTTACATCAAGTAACCCTTTTATATCTAAGTAGTTAGCAGCCTGAATATTAAAAAACAAAAACACTTTCTAAACTATCAAAAGAAAAAAACTACGAACCAGAATAAGTTCAAAAAGTGTTCCTTGATCAACTTTTAGAAAATCTTGATCCCATGATGAAATATCATTTGTATTTTTTTCACGATTTTCATCATCTTCTGGTGGTGGTGGATCATCTTTATGATGAGTTGCCCATTGAATAACCTAAATTTCAATTATGAGACACTTTTTACTTTTGCAATATACGAATCTTTTTTTATTTATTTTTGATTATTCATTCTAATCAACGATAAACCAAACGAACAAACTTCATCTATTAATATAAAATTATTCAGAACTACTTTTTGGTTTTATGAGATTTTTATTCTTGACCGAATAAAACAAAAACTGATTTCTAACAATATGTGACATAATAAAGTTGAAAATAAAGAAATCATACAGATCTCTATCGTCCTCAACAACGTTTTGGTTTTAATAATAATAGCTATCATTTGTACAGAATTTCAAAATAACCGAATATTTTCTTGGTTTATTCAAAAACAATAGAATCTTTTCATTTATCTTCATTCAATAAATGAAGAGTTATGAATTAGAATTATGCATCAATTTTACTTCGGTAATCAATATTTAGCTAGGTATGTTTATTTTACTATGATGAACTTTATTCTCAGACAGCTGAGTATCATCATCATCAAATAAATAAATTGATTTAATCTAAGCAATATACAAGAACTGTGGATCAATTTATACTTGTTTTGTTATATGTTGAGTTGCGTGTCATTTTAATTCTTACAACTATTATGCAAATTCATGTTTCAGACTGTATAATGTGAAAATAAAAATCTGCTATAACATTCTAACTTATTTTCTAGTTCCTTTAGTTAACAAAAAACTTTGTATCTATTCAAATAAAAGAATAATTTTTGTATCCTTTAAATTCTCTTTTGTTTGTGTTCTAATCTCTTTCTAAGCGTAGGAATTTAATTAAAATATTTACTTTTTTTAAAATGGCCGAATTGACGTTTGGTAATGGAATCACATCTTCTTCTTCGTCCATTCCAAGATCTTTAAAAGATTCTTTGTTTTTGATATAATAAAAATTAAAAACTTTTACCTTCTAACATAGTTTTTATTGTTGCCGATTGTTTAGCAATCTCAACTTCAACATCAAAAGTATCCCCGTCACTTGACTGTAATTTTATTTTATGTCCAGCCATTTCTTTTTTGTTTTGGTTTATTTAATCGAAGTAAAGAATCTAATAAATCTAGAAGTAAATTAAAAATTTTGAAACTATATAATTAACAGACTTATTATTAAATTTAACTATTATTCATAAAAATTTATATTTGTTTCTATAGTTCATATCTGAAAAAAAAGAAAAAAACAAGCTTCTTTTTACTGGACGTTATGAAGATTTTTTTTCTTAGATATGTGCGTGCCAGAGAACAGAATGAGAAAAAAACAAATGCATCGTAAAATTTAACTACGAAAAAATTTGTTATTTCTTGAAGTGAAAAAAATTTCAAGTCTGTGAAAACTAAAATAAAGTCGAGCAACATCCGTTAGTCATTTTGAAATCAGAGACAAGAAAATCATTATAACTTCTATCGTATATTCTCAAGGCTTATAATTAGTTCTTAATACAAGAAAAAGAAATTATAGTTTTAACTATGTGTATATAAAATCGTCCTATCTGACAGATATGTTTAAGAAAGAGACAAATCACTATACATATCTGAACAAAAAAATAATAATAATAATAAATTAATTGTTAACAGATGAAGAAAAAAAACAGATAACTATGCCCATTTATACAATCGAACTTGATTATCGGCTAAAGCACATAAATGTTGACGAGTTAAACATACATCAACAATATCACATTGTGTAGGAACCTTATAAGAAGGTGTCTCCGATGGTTGACGGATATTCCACAATTCAATCTACAATGTAAAACAATATATTCTAAATCCATATTTTTTCGTTTATAGTAAATGATAGACAGAACAATTTCATGTGATCTCTCCGATAATTTTAATTCTAACAGAGATTAAGCAATATTTCATATTGGGCTATGTCAAGCAAAAACGTCGTCAGAGACAATTGATGGTCAACATAACATTAATGATTTTACAACTCGAAAAACATACTTCTATTTTTCTTTTTTCAAAATCAATCCATTCGATCAGATATATACTCAAATAAAAACATTACATATTCAAATTCATTTACAATAGAGATTGATTTAAATAATAATATTAGTTCCCATTACAATAGCTTTGATCAAGGATGGAAATAACAGAAAATGTTTTATCCAGCGTAAGTACCGAAAGGTCGATGCTTCTCTGAAGATTAGATGACGCTTTCCATGGTTTATTATTATTGTGAAGTCTGCAGTACGTCTATATCACTAATACCTGCTGTTGTTGTTCGTCCATTCGGAATAAAGAATCTCAATAAAAAATTGGCAATCTATCAAAGAATCAGGCAAGTTTTTATTATTATTTTCTTTAGGCTTCCTATATTACTCAATGTGCAATTAAAATCTTTAAAAAAATAACTGAATCTCTGTTAGGAAAGTAAATTGATATCGGATTTAGTAAAACATCGGTAATTTGTAGTCTTCTCTTTTTGCTTAGTTTTTTTTGAAACTGCTTAATCAAATTAAGAATTTGATAAATTTTTCATTCATATGCATAGACAAAAAGAGTCATTATACGATATATTATTGATAATAAGCCACAACTTACCCCGTGTGATCCATTATCTGATGCGACAATATAAGTTTCAAAATTCTTATGAAGAATTTTTGATCTTGATAAAACAATATTAATACTTGAACCAATAAACGTTTGAATTAATTGTAAAGAAACAATAAATGATTGTTCAGAATCTTCAATAGGTCGTGATATTAATTCATATAGTTCATGTCGTGCTGGGCTTGATTGTGGACGAAATGATGCCAATAAACGATTTGTTATGGAGTCATAATGAAGACTTGACAAATTTTCTATGAAAATAAATAAAATTTTTATTTGAGAAAGAAAACGAATGAAAATTTACTATCAATAGGTAATGCATGATATCGGTATTCACTATTTGGTATATGTTCATAGAAGCCGCTTTTGTCATTACTTCCAACAAGCAATCCACTTGACTGAAAATTTGAATTTCGTTGAATATATTGAAGACCAACAATAGGTGATGTTGTTGATAAACTTAATGTTTCAATACTTGATGATAAGGTTGTTTCTCCTGTTTGAACTTGTCGTCGATCAAATACTTGTACACGACCGTTATTTAATCCAGCGTAAATTATATTTGGATCATCAAGATTCCATGCACAACTCCATACTTGAGATGCACATTCACATCTTTTCAAAATTTATGAAAAAAATGAAAATAAAACAATTTTTAATCGAAAAAAGCCTAAATAAGAAAACAATTAATTTACAAAAGATTGAACGTATTTCGTGTATAGTCGAATATACGCATTGTTTTATCCCAAGCACAAGACAATAAAAAATCACCATGTAATTGAATATCACGAATTGGTTTTGTATGACGAAGTGTTGTATATTCTGGAGCACGACCACCATCAATAAGACTTATCTATTCATAAAATTATTCTTTTAAATTTCTCTATCAATCGTACTGTATAAATCACATGGTTTAGTTATGTTTTCGGGTTTGGTGGAAAAGGCAGAAAGGGAAAACGTCGAATGAGAAAAGTAGAAAAACGAAAACGCCGAAAAGGAAAATGTCGAAAATTGAGTTTTTTGATAATTTTAAAGAAAAAGAAAAATTTATTTTCTAAATTGGTGTACACAGATACGTCGCATCTATGTTCAATACACGCCCAATACTTTTTTGATGAGAACATTTTATTGCATGTGAACATATATGGGTTAAACACTAGTAATGGCTTACCTTTATTAGTCGTCAAGAATGATATTTCACTGTCCATTGCCAACGATTGAAAAGAGAATTATTTGTTAGTTGTTTTCGCCAGACTGATTTATATATATATGATACACGCTAACAATGAACAAGTATAGACTAGACGAGGAGGACAATGAATTTAACTTATCCCACTAACAACCAATACCAACTCAAAAAACAATTTCGTTATCTATAGACATCTTTTTCATTCTACGTTTTCCTTTTTAAAATTTTTCTACTTTTTCCTATAGCATTTTTTCTTCGATACTTTTATTAATTATACTTTTTCATTTCGACATTTTCCATTCGACGTTTTCACCTTCTGCAATTACTAGTTTCGGCATTTTCCTATTCGGCGTTTTTCTTTTCTACCTTTTCCAGCAATTCTATGTTTCTCCATAAAATACAAATAATATTTAGATTTTATTAATGAGAATCTCGCCAAGGACGTTATGATAACTTAATGATGAATTGAGATCGACTTTCAAGAGAAACCTAACTAACATCGAAGAATTACGATAGATTACTATCTTTTCTTTACTGAATCGCTTTTAGTTTGTTTCTTTTGTGTTGATCTAACATCTACATCAGTCTATTGTTTATAAACAAGCAACAGCACATCGATGGCAGCATTGAAAAAGCTGATAAAGTCAATGAAAATGAGTTTAATCTATGAAATAAATTGTATTGATATCAGATAGAAAATATTATTGGAAAATATTCATTATCTTCTTGCTCATAATGGCAAAGGATTTGCATTCGAGAAGAAAACTGAAATGTAAAAGCGAGTTTTGATTTCATTCAGAAAAAAAGGCTACATGTTTTTTTTCTCGATGACGATACATCAATGATAACCACTTTCGTTTTTGTTTTAGATTAATAATAGTACTCACGAAATAACACAGAAAAATTCTAACCTTTTTAATTCCATATCCAGGGTATAGACTATTATTTGTTGGTTGGCTAACGAAAAGCCATTGATGTGATGAAGCATAAGCGAGAACACGACACATTCCCTAGAAAATTTTTATGATATTTAAAATCATTGCAATATAAATTTCATGTTCTACCTCTGGTATTTTAATAACGGTCTCTAATCGTATATTAATTGCAGGTGGAGGTGCAAGATTTCCTATTATTTCTGACGAAGTTCGAGTAGAATCATCTATTGTTTCACCAAGATTGGTTAAACCATGTGATAATCTATTTCGCGATAAAATAAAAAAATTAGAATAAAATTATTTAGGAAAATAAAATTTTACTTTAATAATCTATCATGTTCATTTTGTAAACGTTTTAATTGATCTTTAAGAATATCATAAGCTAATTGTAATTCAGCTTTTTCATAGGCTATTTTCTTCCTTGACTTTTTTTCTAAATCTCTTTCTCTAATAGCATTGTCTCGTTCACTTGTATCTAATACTTGAAGTGCACGACAATAAATTCTTCGTAAATCTTTTTTCTTTACTGTTGATTGACATTGTGGACATTTAGGCGATGTACGAAGCCATTTTTCAATGCATCTAAATTTAAAAAAATGACATATTTTAATAAAACAAATAAAATATTAACGAACATTTTGCCAAATAAATGGCCACATTCAGTAGCAACAATTCTATGTTGACCAGAATTAGTCCATTCCTCAAGACAAATAGGACACACTTCAGCATCATTTTGAATTGTTGTTCGTGATAAATCTTCTTTATCATCATTGTCGTCATCAGTATTACTTGATTTGTTTTTTTTTCGTTTATTAGATGATGTGATTGGTCTCGGTAGTACTTCTATGTCTTGAGAAGATGCTGATGATGAACGATCTCGACGATTATGAGAGGGATCGTCATGAGAAACATCAAGATCAATTACTTCAGGAATATTTGTATTTGCACCATCATCTAGAATTACTGAAATATTTATCTAAATCATTATTTTTTTTTCTATTAACTTACTCATAGTAACGACGTATAATAAATAATGATGAAAATGTTTTATATTATATTTATTGTTCAATCAAAAGAAATTTAGTTATTTTTTTAATTTCGATATGTCTGAAATTGTATATTTTTAATTTCTATAAATATCAAGAATAATATTTAACTATACATGATAACAGAGAAAATAATAGCTTATACTGTCCAGTAGAATAAAATAATGTTTGCTTTGGTACACATATCAACATATGTAATTTCTGTCAGTGATACCTATGCGAAACCGTTAACCAATGAATAAACTCAGAAGATTTTTATATAGCATTATCCAACATTAAAACATAATCATCACAAGCGAAAAATTATTTTAGTTTCACCAAGGACGAATTCAATAGTAAATTCGAGGGAGTAGTACAAACAAAAATGTTTTTATTCTATCGCATAAGCTTAAAAGTCTTTCCCGAATGGATAATTTCTTATTCGATTGTCAACTAAATTTACAATCCTTTTATATGAAAACTATCAGAATGAATCCTTTGGTAGAAAAGCGTATTTCGTGTGAATAAGTGATTCAGAATCTGCTGACAAAGACTGAATTTTCCAGTCACACAGCATACCAACGAAAAAAAGATGAATGATATTTGTTGTGACGAACAAATCTATGACAGAAATTGATTTGTCCAATCAATATTAAGAAAATAAAATTGCCTATAAAGAATGACGTAATAATTTGACGGAGAAAATAATTTTAGGTTAACTATAAATTTGTCAAGAAAAACAAAAACAAAAATATCCTTGCTGTTATTGGTGACTAATGACATCTATGAATCACAGCTCAAACGTACATAGTCCAGTGGAACCATTTAGCCTATTCGCGTACAGCTTCTTTTGCTTCTGGGGCAACAAAGCCATACGTTATGAATAAGTTTTGAAAGCTTCACAGGTCAAGAATATGAATACAGAGTTCACCTCGGGCGATATATTGTTATCGTTTCGTTTGCATGATTTTCGATGGAATATGCAAGTTTATGTCATCGAATACATTCTAGGGTACCTAATTATAGGAGTAACTGATTACCCAGGTCGATCAACCTGAGCCGTAAACGGCCGTATACCTATCATTCACGGTGAAAAACGGCAACCGTATTCTGTAGTCGTTTACTGTTGCCGTAAACGAAGTTATACGATGAAANTGATCCGACATTTACCGCGGTAAACCGCCGGTTTTGATTAATACCGCGGTTACCGCTAAAAAAAGCGGTTAACCGGTCCATCTATAGTTTTTGACAGAAAAAGTCTTCCAAATCATCAATTAAACTATTTTAAAGATCCTTTTTTTTTACTTTTACGTGTGATAAACATGCGCAAAAAACCGCCGGTTTACCGGTCCGGTTACCGGCTCCCATTACCGCAGAACGGATAAATACCGCAGTTTACCGCAAAAATTGATCCGGTATTCGCAACATGGGTTCTTTATTCGAAGTGAGCATCTAGAAATTCAATTTTTCCAATATCAAGCATCTCTTGCGGATCGTCAATAGAAAAATACACGCCCCTATTTAGATTCTGACTTCTGATCTCGCTGCTATTTCTTTTTTTAAACAAACAATAATTATTCAGCAAATCTTACGGAGTAGTAAAAAAACGCTTCTTTCCTAGACGTGACATCAGGACCAAAAAGGGTAATCAATAACGGAACTGTGATGTAAAAATAAAGTTATTCCGGCCGTTCCCTACCTGTGGCACATGCAGGAAGCCTATAGATCTTATAGACTTGCTGAGATTGAGTTCTTTTTATCTCGGTTACGTCTCTCTAATGAATCCCGTAGATCTTTCAATTGTTATGCTCAGTAAAAATTTGTTTGGCAAGATAAAATGCCTTTGTATCTTGCATTCAATTGAAATAAAGTGTTTCTATCTGTTGTCGATGTATTCGAATCAATTGAGTACATTGCTATGAAAAAAATACACATCAACTCATCCACAAAAATTTATGAAGTTTGGTCGACTTTTTAAGCTAATGATAAGGTCTGTGCTATTTTTACTCGTGTATAAGTATATTATTTAATATAGAGATTATTATTGTAGTATAAAATCATTTTAGTACTTTTCATAGTTTTTTTCTTAGGAGATAATTCATTGAGATACATCTAAGTTTAATATTCGATAAGAAATACATTTAATTTCTTTACGAGGCAAAATTCTTGTATCATCTTTTTGCAGATTCTTTCTTAACAATGTTCAGTATAGGATTTCTCGCTAATTGATATGATCAAGCTAATAAGATATAAAATCCAGAAGAGAAAATTTTAACCAACAACACAAGAATCTTCTAATTAGGTAAAACTCATGCATGCACATAATCTAATCCTCAAGATTCTTTTAATTGTAATTAGTCAAGGATTGATCTCTTCAATTGTCTAGCACAATTATTCTTCTGCTTTACTCTCACAATAAATATGAACACGCTATATTGTTTTTTTCTTTCCTTCAATTGAATTGTCAAAGTCATCACAACAATTCATATATTAAAATAATGTGCGATGCTAAAGCAATGTACAAAAAGGATGTTAAAACAGAGAACGTTTTGGTTAGAATTAAGAAAATTTATTTTTCTTCTTCCGCATTGTTTGTCATTGACTTGCTGTTTATCGTACATTTACAAAACAGAGTAAAAAAAGAAATATCTTTTAAATAGTAGCAATTATATTGCCTTTCACATTTTCATATAGTCTTATTTAAATGATCTAAATCGATTCAAAAGTAGGCAATGAGTGGCTCACTTTGAATTTTTGTAAGATTTACCTATTGAATGACAACGAATTATTTTGTAATCGATTAAATAATTATTCATTAAATATGTTAGTACAAAAATAGATACACAGACTGATTAAATTTAAGCAAAGAACTAATAAAAATTATTAGAAAAATATCATGATTATCACTTTCGATAAAAGAATTAGTATTAAAATGTAGAAAATTTTATAATTTATCACTGATTTTCGTTACTTGTAATTGGTTGTGCTGTCTAATATGACAAAAAAAATTTGGCTTTTAAAGAAATCAATTAATAATAAGAATTACAGACTTGTAATGGTGGCAAATCATTTGGAATATTGAATGTTTGTCGAACCTCTTCTGGTGTTTTGCCTTTAATCATGTTTGCTACTGTTTTACATCCCATGTCAAGTAATTCTGTCATTCCTAAGTGATCAGCAGCCTAATAAGTAATTAAAAACATACAAAAACAATGAATGCAATATTACAAAGAACTTAACCTACCACAATAATCTCAAAGATCATCTCCTGTTTAATGTTGAAAAAAGTTTTATCCCATGGTGAAATCTCGCCATGGTTTCGGTCATTTTCACTATTGTCGGCGGAATCAGCTTCGTCTTGTTTATGATGATTTGACCATTCAATAATCTATGATGATATACATATATAGTTACGTATAAACACAACTATAATATTTAAAATGAAATAACTGCTTACTTTTTTTAAAGTTTCTGTACTAATAGCATCTAAATCAATAGGATTTTCTGGTACATTTGTACTGTCCAAAACTGAATATAGATGATAAATTATATAGAGCAAATAGAATATATTTAATAATAATTCTACCTTCATATATAAGTTTCACGGGTTGCCATTGTTTCGCGATGTAAAGATCAACTTCAAGAATGTCACCATCACTAGTTGCTACTTTTATCTTATCTTCAGCCATTTGCTTTTACTTTTGTTCAATTTGTTAAATTCTAAAATTTAATTTAATTTTTAATTGAAGATAACTAAATAGCTGATATTTAAATGAATTCATAAGATCATTTATTTGATCAATTCAAGGCCTAATAATCATAAATACATATATACATTGAGGCATTGTCATTGTATCAGCGCTATCGTTTCGGATAATTTTTCCACATAATATTTATTTGAAAGTATAAGCGAATGAAGAATAAGAAAGTTAAAAAGAAATGTTTTGTCTTTGTTTTTAAGCTAAGGGATCTTTCCAACAGCTATGTTGAGTCACTTCAGTATAGATTACGAGAGAGAAACAAAATAAAATTGTAATTATTTCGCATCATTTCTCACTAGTGACATCAATGTGAAAATTTTTCTTCAAATTATATTTTTTTCTATTTTTCTACAATATTTTTTTTCATAGAATAACATTACTTTATATTGTTTTTTCTTTTAATAATTATTAGAATAAATTTGATTTAATCTGAAGTTCATGTGTAATGCTGGGTAAAATGTAGCATTAGTCCATTGACATGCATAGTTTATAAAATATGCGTCGTCTCAAATCGTTGGTCCCAGTGGACATCGATGTTTATTGAATTTTTAAAAATGTTTTTCTTATTATTCTTTCATACCTTTTTAGACTAGTTTATATATATACTTGTTTCAATACTAAAAGAAGAAGAAGAACCAATATTATGATGCGAGAGGCTAACATTCAATGAAATATAATAATATCCATTTTTCTTCATCGACATCTTTGAAGGATGTACGTCAAGAGGTAGCATATCTCAATAAAGATCTTAATCATATTAATTTATTTATACATTTGCTTTTGCTTTTTGTGTTTTATATCAGAGTGAAAATCTTCTTTTAGAACCACTTCTTTCATCAAGTCAACAAACGAGACAAGTAAGTTTTTCAAAATAATAAATAGTTTTGTTTGAGCATATGTCTATGCCATAATTATAATTAATTATAATTCAGTTTCTCCTCTGTAATTTTTGATGTTAGTCTACTAGTGATTTATTCGTAAGTGAAGAACCACGAGATTTTCGATCCACTTGTTTTAATTACATCTCGAGGTTGAAACACTTGTGTAAGTTCTCGAATTTCTATCGCTATTCTACTCTTTATGATATGATTTCTTACGTACTAATCTGTTTTTTTTTATTAACTTTTATTTACTTGAATATGCTTTCTAATTAACATAAATGAACAGACGAAGATTTTTATTAGAATAATTGTTTAGATTGTACCATGACTATTCCATCATCAAGTAAATATTGTTATGATATATTAAAATGGATTCCAGTCATTTTTATTGTTGGAATTCTCGGATGGTCTTATTATGCTTATGTTGTACAAATGTGCATTTGTAAGTTTATGATAAAATAGTTTTGTAAATACTATTTCCAATCATTTAGTAACTATTGACAACGTTCCTAAAAAAGGTAAGATAAATATCTTGAGTGTTTTCTATTGATCTGTGAGATAAAAATCGTACCAGAAAATACTCACTCATTTTTTGGTCAATCAAAGAAAACTGCACATAGCTTAAATTAGAATTAGTACCGAGCAAGATTATATCGATTTCGGATTTTTGAATAGCGAAACAGTTGTTAATGGAACGTTATTGTACAAATTAACATTCTTTACAAAGTGTGCTAGTAATTTTTAAATCGTAGATTTGCAAATTGTAATTTTTTTTGAAATACTATTTCTTAAAAACTCAATTTTCATACTTGTATACATTTCTATACGAATTAACTCATGGATGCAAACATATATAAGAAAGTTTGCTCATGATATTGTTTCATTCGAATTTATCAGAAAATTCAATGTTCAACAATAATATTGGGTTTAAGTTGTTCTCGTGTTTTCATTTAATTTTTTTTTCAAAAGAAACTCTAGAGTTTCGTAAGAAAAATGACTTACAATTGTTAAATCTAGTTTCAGAAAAAAAAGCTTGAACATAGTGTAGAAAACAAGGAATGACTTTTAGTGTAACTGATTGATTCTGGCGAAATAAACGCTTTCTTTTAGTAGCTAAAAAATGAATGAATATTTAGTAGCAAAGCTTTCAAAACTTCGTTGATTTATTATAAATAAGTTAATGATAATTTTTAGTGATGTACTTATGTGTTTATCATTCCTTATTAATTCTGTTTTTGTGGTCATATTATCGAACAGTATTTGAACCTTTACGTGGACCAACTAGAGAGGTGAAAATAATTTAATGATGAAAAAAACAGCAACGCATTCCCTTGTTATTTTTTAGTTTTACATTGGTGAAGTTGACGGTGAACATATATCTGCTGCACAAACAGTTAATGAAAGACGCACGGCTCTTGTGCGACTTTCTCGTGAAGCAAATTTACCATTGTTAACTCGGCATATCGATGGAAGTATGAAATTAATTTGAATTAATAAAGAACAAAACAAAATATATGTTTTTCATAAAGGTATTCGTTATTGTTTCATATGTCGATGCATAAAACCTGATCGAGCTCATCATTGTTCAGTCTGTGAAAAATGCGTTCTTAGATATGATCATCATTGCCCATGGTAAAAATATTTTTTTGACTAAAAACAAACAATGAATTTATTTTAATTTTAAGGACAAATAGTTGTATTTCATATGGAAATTATAAATATTTTATATTATTTCTTGCTTGGTCATTTATTTTTTGTATTTTTGTGGCTGGAACATCGTTTGAATATTTTATTCTATTTTGGCAGGTTAAAGCGTATTTTTCGACCTCAAACCTATATTCTAATTGTTGTTTTGCTTTATTTAGAGTGTGACGAATATGGATCAAGTATGCTATTTTTTATTAGAAATAAAACAAGAAAAAGTTATTGAAATAATATCTATTTCTCTAATTTAGACTCAAAGCCATTCAATGTCATCGAGTGGAAAATTTCATTTACTTTTTCTTTTTTTTGTTGCAATTGTCTTTGCCATCAGTATATCATCATTATTTTTTTATCATTTATTTTTAATTGGAAAAAATCGAACGACAGTCGGTAAATAGTTTGTTTTAAAGTTTGTTTTGAAAACGAATTTTCGGATGAAAATTCTTCTTCTTAGAATCATATCGAACTCCAGTATTTACTAATGGACCTCAAAAAGACGGTTTTGATTTGGGTTTTAAACAAAATTTTCAAGAAATATTTGGAAACAATTTTATGAAAGCGATTGCACCAATATATACAACGTAATGTTTTAGTATTTTAAATTTCATTTTATTTATTTGTCTTTTTTTGATTACGTAGTCGAGGTGATGGAGTTAATTATCCCATAAATACTATGATATTGGAAGCTTTGGAACAACAATCTAGAAGCCCCAAGTATGTAATACGATTGAATAGTAGAATTCAGAAGTAAAATTATAATAATTTGATACCACCGTTAAGTTGAAACCGAACTAAGTAGTACACAAAACAAATTGATTCGTGGAGAAAATTATTTTCTAAATTTTTTAATATTTTAAAGAGTTTTAATTGTGACAAGAGTAAAAACAGCTATTTTAATGATGCAAGCAGTAGTGTATGATAGAGTTTAAACAATAAATAATAAACATAATGAAATGAATTTTTCTCAAGGGAAATCTTTGTAGAGATAAAATAGTTTTGTATGCATTTATTATTTTATTATTCCGTAAATTCTAATATGTTGTCTTTTCTTTTAGTAGAGATATTATTTTGCCTCTTGATACGCCATCAAGTTCAATAAATAATGATCGAAATCACCTGTTGACTGGCAATACGAACAACCAATAAGAAGAATAACAGAGGTTATTTTCTTGCGTTATCTGATAGTGAACTTGTGCAAATTTAATTTATTTCTGTATAAATACATATAAATGAATATTTATTTATTTTTTCTCAATAATTTTATCAGCGTGGTCAATCTACATTTTGATTGTTCCTATTTTTGATGCTTATTTTCTTTTCTTCTTTCTTTGTTTATTTGGTTTATTTATTCAAATTTTAGCAACGGACAACTGTAGATCTAAATTCGTTTTGTGTATTACAGAATCCAACGAATTTAGTTTATTTAAGATTATAAAAATACCTGATCTTCCGAATGGCCAATAGAGAAAGTGGCAGCAACAAAAAACAAATAACAAATGAAGTTGTTACTCGCGAATACACGGTCAATTTACATAAACGATTGCATGGCGTGTAAGTTCAATGTAACTTTGCTATGAATGTTTACTCTTTGATTTGTATTTGAAATAGTGCTTTCAAGAAGCGAGCACCACGTGCAGTTAAAGAATTAAAAAAATTTGCTGAAAAAATGATGAAAACACCTGATGTTCGTATCGATTCAAAATTAAACAAGGAAATTTGGTCACAAGGAATCAAGTTAGTTTTTGAGATTTTGTTTTTGAAAATTCTTTTTTTTTTGTATTTAGTCATGTTCCTTATCGTGTTCGAGTTCGATTAGCTCGGCAACGTAATGAAGATGAAGATTCACTACATAAACTTTATACATTGGTTACATTTGTTCGAGTACCTTCATTCAAAGGTTTTTTCTCTTCTTGCATTTCATATTTAAATCTTCTTTTTTTCTTCCCTTTTTAGGATTACTCACTGCTAATGTTGACAATGAATAAATAAACAAAACAGTAGATAACATCAAATAAACAAGAACGTTGTGATTTTCTCTCGTTGTTTTGTTGAAATAAAATGGAGAGAAAACGAATGTTTTCACATTCAATCTAAAATAAGAATAAATAGTATCTATTAAAAGAAATCATTTGAGAATGCTTATTTATTAAAGCCTATTCAAAAAAAAAGTATTTAGAAATTTTCTCAGCAGGTGCACCGAAAACCTTGCGTTGAGTTTTCTATAGTGCTAAATTTCGTCTTGTTTGTAATTACTATTTTTTTTTATACATGGCAATAGATATGCCTTTCATTCATTAAACAACAATAAATTACTGCTGGAAGTTTTAGTAATTAAAATGAATTTCTAAATAAACGTTTTCAGAAAACGAAATACTTCGTTGTATATTTAAGATTTGTATCGTGAACTGAAATTTATTAGTAACAAGAGATGATGAAGAAATATCTGTTTAATTCTATGTGCACAAAACAACTTGACATTGATTGCTTAGCTATTCGTCAAGACTATTTCCCAAAAGACTACTCGTTGCAAACGAATATACGCACGATGGTCGATCGGTTCAATCATATGCCGTTCTTTAGTCTTGTAAAAGCTGATTGTTGTGTGTGTATGTGTGTGTCTTAGTAATTATTCTCATGTGATTGCTCTTGCAGTCAACGACAGGAAATTCTCTCTCTCTCTCTACAAAGTGATTGTATTAGACTTGAGTGAACGAGAAGAACAGATTACTAAACGGACTGTTGCGATCATCATCATTGATGAGTCTCATTGGGAGAAGACGATAGAGAGACAGAGAGAAGACACATTTTTTTATTTCTTCTTCTCTTCATATAAGCCGATTTGGTTGGCGAGTCGAGCTGTTTTTTACGCATCAGTAATACAACTAGCAACATAGGGTACATCACAACTAATACAGGGACCGCGCAGATTGACAAGATTATCGAGTTCGATGGAATCGATTGAGAAAAATATGAACAACGACGATCATGATCAGACAACATTAATAACAAATAATAAAAGAAAACAAGGTGAGATTTTCAAGGACATTAAGGCAATTTTTTCTTTTTAAATAGAAATAGTAATGTTTATAAAAAGAAAAACAGAATTTATTTTCTTATCTCTATTATGGAAATGAGATCTATAGATGAAAGACACTTCATGATTTTGTACGATATATATTCAATAAAACACTTACAATCTGGATTAGTTTAATTTACTATAGTAGAAAACGAATATAGAATAGTTATTAATAATCGACTCTTCTTATGTTTACATATGCATATAAATGAAATAGAAAGTAAGCAATTATTTTCGTTTAATTAGATTTTCTAAGATTTACTAATATATGGATCATCTTTAGAGTTTGCTATAAATATGGAAAAAAAAACAAATATAAAATGTAAAATTTGTCTCATACAAACGAAAATCTGATATAATAATCAGAATTTCGGTTCGAGAATATCTTTAATTGAATCGATTGCATTTTAGGCGACGATTCGAATCAATCACGACAATTAACCTCGAAAGTATTTCGATCTGACTCAACATCATTACCATTTGGAATTGCTAATGTTCTTCAATCGACAAATGAATCTTCAAAAATCTATCCAACACCTATAGCAACATCTATATCATCAGTTAATCCATGGTTAATGGCTTTACATCATCTATCACAATCATCATCAACAACAGCATTAGCAAATGCATCAAATTGGTGTGCAAAATGTTCAATACAATTTCGTCTAACAAGTGAATTAGTTCATCATATTCGTGTTCATCATGCAATGCGACGTAATTATCATCACCATCACCATCCTCATCAAATTTCTACAGAAACAACAACGACAACAACAACAGCAACAAGAAAAGCGTTTGCAAATTCAACATCGTCAATGAGTCTTATTTGTCATATTTGCTATGAAACATTTCGAGAACGACATCATTTAACACGTCATATGACATCACATCGTTAGATTTTCTATCAAATAATTATATGATAAATTCTTTTTATGGTAATGTTTACTCTATTAATTAATTTTACGATCGTTTCGAATATTCTTCGGACAATAATTATTTCATCGCCACATATATATCTGTGCTTGAATCTATTTTCTTCTTCTTTCCTTTCTGATATGTTTTATTTTGTATTTCTACAGAAATGAAGAAACAGAAAAGTGTCTTCCAATTAATAGCTTGTTTCATTCTAGATTCATAGAGAGTTAACAACAATCTAAAATATTCCTATTCGATTTTCAGACATCTCTAATATAAAGCTAGTATAGGTACATTTCTTTTTCAATAATGTTTTTCAGAAGAGTATCATTATAATTAAAAAAAACTACATGAGCATGTATATTATCAAGATCATGAACGAGAGTGGCACTAACTTCTGATCAAACTAAGTCAATTCTACTAGATTATTCAACATTTTTTTGCAGTGTTTTCTTTTTCTGAAATTTGATTTCCGCTGACGGTAACAGTGTTATAAAAGATTAGATGAATTCAGTCCGAAAAGCAAAATTGAATATTTTTTTTCAAAGAATTCATGAACTAACGCCTGGGCCGAAAGCTTCTAGACAAAATTAAAACGTTAATTTTTTCATCATCTTGTGCTTTTATTTCCTAATTTTTTTTATGAAAAATACAATGACATGAGATGAACAAATCGCATATTTACAAAATCGAAAAAGGTCAATTGCCTTCAATTTTTCGTAATTTTCCGCGAACGTCATTCATCATGGTCTGGACCACTTTGTGATCAATTTCTTTTAGCTGTCTTCTAATTCTGTTGGCCAATTATTTCTGATTCGTAGTCTCCCAACCTCCATTGTACACCTGATCAGCCAATATTGACCAAAAGTCCTCGATTGGTCTTGTCTTGGGAACATTCGGCGGGTTAGCCGCTCTCGGTACAAAAGGTACGTTCTGTTCATTGAGCCATTCGATTGTCTTCTTGGCATAATGTGAGCTGGCGAGATCAGGCCAAAATACATATTTATCATCTTGATGATGTTCATAGATAAATGTCAATAGTTTTGGTAAGCATTTTTTAATATATATATCGCCATTGACAGCTGGACCTTTCGTAGTTCCAATGTATGGTGCTGAGATACCTTTGCTAGATATTCCCAACCATACTAATATTTTAGGTGCGAATTTTTGTTTGGATTTAAAATTCACTTCGGGTGATACATGTTCTTTGTCGCCAGACCAAAATCCAGCATTGCTAGGCATATTATCACCAGAAAATGAAAAGTATTTTTCATCGCCCATGATGAGGAATGTTTTGGGATCTGTAATTTTTCGACGTAATTTTCGGCACTTTCCTGGTATTTGTTCGAGTTGTTGTGGCGTATATTTTGGTGCCCGTCGGGTCCGGGTCGGTTCCGGGTATAACATCTTGTTTCCCGGGTACGTAATACATTATACTCATGAGAAACGATTTACGACAATGAAGAAAGATATGCATGCAATTTTTGAAAGAGGATTTCAAGGCTATGGCATAAAAGCTGTTAGACTCATTGTTGGCCATCGAAACAGTGCCAATTCAGAATGTGAACTGACACATAAACGGCCACCTCTCGAATATCTTAAATTAAAACAATAAAAGGCAAGTAATCATTTTCATTGTAACAACACTCATCTTTCTTTCCATTGCATAGATATGATCATCCATATCCATATTGTACTAAAATCATCACCGATCACCGCATCAACACCGCATCAACACCGCCAACACCAATGCTCATCCATCATTGAACAATAATCGCCTTATAACACATGTCATCTCTATTAGCTACGGTCTATTTCAGTTTTTTTTCAATCTAGTTCAAATTTTTAATGATAATATAAAAGCAGATATTCGCCCTAATCAAACTCTTTCAACGATAAACATTAAAAAAAATTTTCTTTCATATAATTCTCATTCTTCAAACTTTAATCATCGTCAAACAATGAAACGAATCAAGGAACTAATTATTCCATAGACCAGAACACATCAATTCTTCAAGAAAATTTTCTTTTGAATTTTTTCGTTACGAGTGCCATTTGAAGAATTTCGTTGCTGAGATGAAATATCGATATCATGGTAGCTTAGCACACACACCCCACACCCACACCTTCTATGGAGCGGTCGCTCCAGAGTCGGAGCTGCCCATCTCTGGTTAGAATAAAAAATATGTCGTTTGACCTAGCTTTGTTCTAAGTTTGTGGTAGATATTATGCTATCGGAACAGTACCATTATGTGATAGAATGCTTTCTTGTTTGCTGTCTCTTCTTATGTATACGATCTGCGACATCGATACAACAATGCAACAGACACTACACTCGCTATCCATCTCGAGCGACTGTCAATAAAGACAAGTTGATGAAATCGAAATGATCGTGTGATGCATAATTTCTTATTCCACTAAGTTTTCTCATGCTTTTTTTATCGAACTTGCGAATCAAAAGAAAAACGTTCGCAATGCGTTTTTATCTTCAGAATGTTGTAACTGCAGATCCACGCCAAGATCCAACTTTGTTTTTGTCACTGAACCTATCAGTAATTAAGCATTTTGTGCTAAGGAATTACTTGAATAATGAATTTTGATTGGAAAAGGTTTTCTGATAAAGATATATCTATTTTTATAAATCTTTAATCTTGATAGATACTTAAATTTGAAAAACTCAATATATCATTCTGCTTAATGTTAAGATTTTCATTTCTCGAAACATACTTATTATTTTTCCTATAAAATATCAAACCAAATGATTTTACTTAGATTTCCAATTTTATTGAAATAATAGATAACAATAATCAACATAGTTCTGCACAAGGAAAGTAATCTTTTATTAAATCTAGAGATAATTCTGGTTGAATGTCTAAATTTAGATATTTAATTTTGGCACAATTCATTCGTGTAGTATCACTTGTAAAATTATCGGTTACTCTTTGTAAGGAATCATAATCCACAATAAGATAAATATTATTTGATAAATACATTTTACTACTATTCAAAAATTGTTCCAAATAATTTTCATGACAATGACTTTGAGTAAGAACAAGTTTAGTAAGATGAGGATATTCTATAATTGAGCATTGTTGTTTGTCATTATTTTGTGGTTCTCGATTATGTATACGTAGTTCTCTAACAAATGGAAAAGATTTAGCAATTTGAAGAAAAAATTCATGTTCGAAAGGACGTTCATCAACTAATGATATTTTACAAACATGTTTAAATAATCCACCACGAAAATTGTTTGTTATATAATTATAATGCGTCAATGAATATGGATATGAATAAATATGACAATGAAATTGATTTAATTGTGGAAAACCATCAATATATGAAATAATTTTAGAGCTTTTAAAATTTTTAAATGTATTTTGAATGTCATTATTTGATGGTAAATTAACTTGATTATCAAAAGGAGTAATTGAACGAATATTAAATTTAAATTTTTTTAATTCCGTCATATAATCCAAAATATTTTTTTCCAAATTATAGCCATCAATAATTTCTGCATTTAAACTGTCAAAATACAAACTGAGTTCTTCTAAATTTGACATTCGATGTAATTGTGGAATAAGAATATTATTGTACACTGATAACACGGACCTATGAGTTAGTGAAAAACATTTCAAATTTGGAAGTTTTTTCTACAAAACAAAAAAAGGTATTTAATGAATGAAACTATTATTCATTTAATCAAAACATATTAATAATTATGATTGATTTACTTTATTATTGACCACTGGTAACGTAGGTACCTTTGACGAACAAATGGTAACATAGATTGTATTAAGTTGATTAAAACGACCATCAAGTAAATAAAGACAATCTTCATAAAAGTCAACGACGACACGTAATACTAATAAAGTTGAAGATAATATATTTGGACGTGATTCACGAAATGTTAATCGATCATAATGAGAATCATCAAATGGATTGAACTTGAAATATTGTAAATTTTTGAACATTTTAAAGATTTGTGTAAATATAAATATATTTATATCTTTAATTGAACTTGTTGATTTTGGACATTCGTTAATATCAATATCAATAACAATTGATGATAATTGATTTTTGAAAGTTCGAATGAAATAACTTTCATCTAAATAAACATTGAATATTTTTATGAAACTATTTTTTTGTTAATTAAAAATATTCAATTCTTTTTTCTTATTTATAAATCAATAATGTTCTATCCACAATGATGTTTTCTTTTTATTCTACAGATTTTCTCCTTTACAAACATTACAAAATAATATTTGAATTTTATTCAAATTTAGATTCATCGATGAACATTATGATCAAAAGTATTTTATCAAAAAAGGTCTACCTTAAATCATATTCTAATCAGATAAAAAAATAACTTATTTTAGTATTTTCATGTAATTAACTATTTAAAAGAATTAAAGAAAATATCTTACCAGTAAAAAGTTCGCTCGCTTTTTCTGGTATAAGTTTGTGTAAAGCTAGTCCAAGTAAATTAGGATAATTTGTTGAAAGAAGAATACGATCCATCGATGATAATTCGAGATTGAGCCATAAAATTTTGTGACGAATTTCAGATAAAATTTGAACACAAAATCGATTAAGTATTGGTTCAGTAATTCGGCTTAAATCATTGCGAGGTGTCATAAGCGTTAAATATCTTGTAAAAATTGAATCTTTCACAATAGTATCAAGTCGTTTATTAACACCTATTAAAGAATAGAGTACATCAGTATTGGGCAATTTTTTCAAAATAGTCAAAAGAATTTCATCAGGTAAATCATTCAATTGAATAAATGAATTTTCCATCTTTATTTTCACATATTTTATTTTTGTTTTTCCTTATATATAAATATATCCTAATGTCTGTTAGATGGCCGATGTCGTCAATGAAAACAATGATATATTTTTGTATAGTATAAGTTGATCACGAATGAATGAATAAATCATTGAATGACATTTTCTCTCTGTTTTTATGTAAAATTTAGTTTAATGTGCCGCTAAAAATAAATAATGAAACTTTTTTTACTTTTGATTATGTAGAATAGAAAATTCTTGTATTTTAAATATCAAGTAAACATTTCCAAAAAGGAAATTGAATTTTTTTGTGAATTTGAGATTTCATCATATTACAAGTTCTGTAAAAGGAAAGGCTCTAAATGATATTTATTCATTGTAAAATTGAGTTTCCATTAGTATAATAAAGAAATTGTTATGACTGGCGTGGTTCTTCAATTTATGAAAAGAACATATTGACAAGAAGGCTATATCCAAATTGCGACCAAAAATTAAGCCCAATTAACACATAAGTAGTCGCAATTCGGAACACAGAATTTTTTGTTGATCTCATTTTATATGTGTTTCCAAATTGCGGCTACTCATGTGTTAATTGGTTTCATTTTTTTGGCCGCAATTAGGAAGCTACGGAAAAGAATATTGATTATCTGTCACAAGTGAATATATGACAACAGTATATGAATGTTTCCTGACTCAAATCATAGAGATGAAAACGTGTGAGAAGATAATAATTTTTGTCAAAAATGATATTTTAAATGAAATCTAACACAATGCAAGTTCTAGCTGATATTCATAGAACTACAAATTCGCAGCTTTTCAATATAATATATTAGCAAAAGCATGAAATTCAAATGATCAAACGCACAATTATTAGATGAGCAAAGTACAGTTTTTACTAGAATTGTATGCGAAAAGTGAAAAGAAAAATAGTATCTGAATTTTAATACTACGAACAGCGATACAAAGGAAAAAGGAAAAACGAATAACAAGATTGAAAAGAAAATATGTAGATGATAATGATAATTACAATTGATTTGAAATATTTGAATTAGGGTTTTCATTTTTTACATATTGTAATTTTTCAGATTCCCCATAAATAAACTCTTGAATACATGCATTTGTTGATTGATGTGGTGGATTCGTATAACTAACAGATTTAAGATCAAGACCCTAAAGCAAAACAAAATCTGATTACATTTTTAAAATATTCAGAAATCAAAGTTTTTTCGAGAAAAAGGATACGACAGAATCAATGGTTGATTAATATTTGGATCATTACTTTCTCAGCTTTTATCCTATTAAACTGATTCTTTTTCTTTTCTAAATTGTTCCGTAAGATTTTCAACAAAATCATGTGATTCATTTCTTTCTTTTCAAATGCAAAAAAACTTTGGAATACGAAAAGTAAGAACTAACAATCTATCGTACTTTCCAATTGGACATGTAGGTCGATCAGCTAAGTTACCACCACCACCATGAATCCATACTTCAGTTACACCTTTATTTCTGAGTACAAAAATGGCGATAATACATCGGCGATATATCATTATTCACATGATGACATTGATCTTAGAACTATTGGAAGATGGTGGAAAACGATCAGAGCGATTAGTTCATTTGATTTAATTAGTTAAGTTTTAACTTCAAAGTATCAAAGACACATCAAACTTTGAAAATAAATCCACACAACAGTCACAAATATTCTTAGGATAGATGATCCTTTTTAACTAATTTATTCTATTGTCAACTTTATGTGAGCTCGTAATTGTACTAAAGTGTGCCACAATAGATAAGAAGAATTAATTCACAACAAGAATGGAAATGAGTAGTAATGTGACTCAACTTGATACTATTTATCAGACGAAGAGTAAAAAGTAAATATTTATAATATTGTGGAAGAATTCTGATAGAACTTAAACTCATTTAAAAGCATAGTTCTTCTGTATAGAGAAAACTGTAGTTTTTGTGTCGTTCTCTGTTTTAATTTTCTATTTGGTATAAGAATTTGCCATTTTATTGTCTAAAGTGAGACTATGAATATATGATTAAAGTTAGGATGAAAAAATAAGACTTCTTTGAGGTCTATTATGTAATCGTTTCTACATTTTTTCTGTAAATTGTTTATTTCTTGTAATAAAAAAACGGCATATTTTACTCTTTGTTAGTTTTAAAAGATGAAAAAACTGACAGTAGCTACCAACTCCGTTGTTGATATGAGGGGGTTTGTTCGAATGGATAGAAAAACGTCGAAAGAAAAAATGTCGAAGGAAAAAATGTCGATAAAAAAACGTCGGAAAACAACAATCTGTGACCGTTGCTCCCCTGGCATTGACTTCTGTGACTCTTGCTTCCCAACATTACATGATCCACAGAAAAGTTCGATATGATTTTCAAAAAGTACAACGTTGGTAGCAATTAGAACAAAGTTAAAATAATTACAAATCAATGCGAAACTTAAAACCGGGGCGAAATTCACGAACCAGTTCCAGATTTACAATCAGGCTTACTCTATGTGGATCAGAGCATGAATAAATACAAGTATAGAAGTGCAAATACTTTGAATGATACAAAACAAGTAGAGTATGAGGATCTCATAGATCGACCAGAGGATCATCATAAAAATAAAAGAGAAAGCAATAGTGTTTGCCTTTTCTTATATTTTTTTCTGAGCTGCTTCTCCGTTGTCATATTTCTAACTTGCACTAAAACAAATTAATTATGTGTGTTAACAAAAGCAGATGATCCAATTAAACATGCATCAAAATTTAGACGACATAAATGGCACACAATTTTGGAACAGAGATTGATTAATCTAATCTGCTTTTGTATAATTAATAAGAACTCTATTATTCTAATGTTAATTTCTTCATCTAAACTCAATAAATGTATATATGGTTCTTACAATTCATAAGAATTCTATCAAATATCATTGGGGAGCACGTGTCGCTGGGAAGTAACCGACGGGGAAGCAACAGGCGTGTTACCGAAAAACAAATATGCAAAAAAACAATATCGAAAAATAAATGCCGAAAGCAACTTTGGTCGAAGAAAAAGATGTCGATCATATAAGACGTCCAAAATTTCAAGATGCCATTATTAAACAACATTGATTTTCTTTCCTTTTTGTTCTGTCGACGTTTTTTTGACATTTATCAATTTTGTTTTTCTTCGATATTTTTTCTTTCAGCGTTTTCAGTACATACCGTTTCTGTATTAAGCCATTTTTGTTCTTTATCACAATCATCATCATACGTGTACCATCTTGTGCTACTAAAAGCAGCGTCATTTTCTTCTTGTATGATCTTTTGTGGTTCCGAATAATTACTATTTATGTAATACACCACATTATCTGTAGCATAATAGATGGCCCGTGGCACCGCTATTGTTTTGGTACATTGTGCATCAGTATGACATAAATAATGCCTAAATTTTAAAACAAAAATAACAATAAATTCTTTCTTTTTATTTTCGTATCAAATTCTTACGTTAATATTTGTATTTCATTTGATGTAAAACCAATTTCATTATATAAGACTTGATAAAGCATTGGTTTTCCTGTAACATGAATAGATGCATCAGAATTAAGATAAAAATCAAAACAATTTGGCGAAACAATATCTGTATCAATTACTGTTCCTAAGATTAAAAAAAAAGAAATACTCGAATAACAAAATAAAATAAAATCAGTTAACCTGGCGGAACATTTGTTACTTGATTTGATTTGTCATCCCAAGTAAAAAAAACGTGTATTATGATGTTTTTTAACAAGAACAATGCAAATGCGAGGAATTTGATTATGACCATACAATGCTATAGAAAAAAAATAACATTTGTTTACTTGATTTCATTGTTGAACAATCATATTTACCTTGACATGCTTCTTCAATCGCTTTTAATTCATGATCAAGTACTGTTTGAAATGATTCATTACCAAGATCAACTTGATAGAAAACAAGTTTATTTGGTAAACGTAAATTATGTTGAAAAAATTCACGTATTAATTCACCAACATATATATGAAAATCTTTTATCATTGAATAAGAAATTTTTCCTATCGGTACAACTTGTTTTAAAAGACGAATAGAATATTTTGAATTGGTTGAATCTGTTGATTCACAAATAAAAGCAATTGATGCTCGTTCAGATGAAAATGCTATATGAGTATAACCAATACCGAAGAACATAAATACATCTGAACGAGATGTTGGTGAATTGAAAGAAGATACTAATGGTATAAGTTGATGACAACCATCCAATAATATATTTAATTTTTCACTAAATTCTTTAAAAAAAATTCTTAATTAGATTTAAAAAACAGATGAAAAAAAATTTACTTCAATACAATTGCTCTTATTATATGAATAATTATTGACCAATTCGCCGAAAGGAATACATTTAGTTATCATACCTCAAAAGTATTCTTTTTTGTTTTCATAATCAAAATATAAAAAGCTGAGTTTTTATAATTTGAATCTATACCGAGTGTACCAAGAGTTTTTCAAGGTTATTTATTTCGCATATACCTTGACTTAAGAAACTGATAAAATCTTGATTTCTTTTTTGAAAGATATACTGTGAAAAGCTCTACAAAAACTGTTTACAGAAATTTCTATTAAATGGTTCTCTTGGTGTTTCCTATAGTCAACATAAACAATATACATGATAGTGTAATGTTCCATTGTGTTGAGTATGATAAAAATGTTTGAAGGGTCTTTTTTGTTTTGCATTAGAGATTTGTTCATACATCTTATGTAAACATTTTTCATAACACATCTGTCAAAAACAAAAATGAAGATGCGATCATTTTCTCAAGCCGAGATATATGAAAAACAAAAAGAACCTTCCCAACATTTTTATTATGTCGGAAAGTAGCACTGTTATGTAGGTTGTTTATGTTGACTATAGGAAACACCAAGAGAACCATTTAATAGGAATTTCTGTATGCAGTTTTTGTAGGGCTTTTCACGGTGCATTTTTTTAAAAAAGAAATCAAGATTTTATTATTTTCTTAAGTCAAGATATATGCGAAATCTAAAAAAATGCTACAAAACTTTTGGTACACCCAGTAAGTAAAGTGCTTTGTTCATTGATACCAATAGACAAAAAAATGATTTAATGCATGCAAAGTGATTATCAGATTCAGATAAGAATAAAGCTTCTTGAAAGTGAGTTTAGAAGATGATCAATAAAGGGAATCGGGATTCAAATTCAAAATATTTAATCTCCACTAGCTCTAGTCGAGATATAGACTTAATTTAATTAGATTAGTCATTTTCTTCTATATAATACAAATCTTACCAATTTTTATTTTTGCAAGCTGTTTTACTGCATTATACATTTCATCACCAACTTGATCAAGAATATAAATAATAACTTCACATCCTAGCATTTTAAGTTCATCCATACGAGCTAATATGGTTGGTAATATAGCTGCATCATATTTTTCAATAGGTGATGAATTAAATTGAACACCATATTTTGACATAACCTTGAAAAACAAAAGAACAAAAAGATATTTTTTTTTATTGATGTCTAAGAAACTCAATTAAAACCTGTAAAATTCTTTGAGTGAAATCTCTTGTTAAACAAATTTGTTGATCCTCAGGTTTATGTTGACTAACAAGAACAATAGTCCATGTACGTATTTCACGTACTTTTTTAAAAAACTTATTTAACCACCATCTACCAATTTGTACTCCTTCGATAATATCATGTTGATTAATATCTGATAATTTATATTTAATTTCTGGTGATGATAAAATTCTTCCAGGTATCCATAACATTTCATTAACATCAACAGTAATACCAAATTTTTGTAAATATGAATCGTGATCAAATTGACGTTCATCAACAACACGTTGAATCATTGTATGACATTTATCAGGATGAACAAGAGTTTTTCTTGTTGCTTCAATATGTTGTTCAGTTGTGATTTGATTGTAAATTTGGTTGTCCTTCATCAACAGCAACTAATTCCATTGGTAAAGTATATGATCGATTGTTATCATTTGGATGGTATAATTCAACAACAGGTAAATGTGGATAACGTAATGGAAATTGTCATCTATCATTAAAATAATTAACAGCTGTTAATGGTTCATCGCCATTTATAATATATTTATGTTGATTTGCTGGACGACCAAATGATTTTAAACGATATTGACAATCATCTTCTTGATATAGCATGATAAACCAAAGAAATTTTAATATTTTTTCAACAAGTAATGCCTGATCTTTTGATGAAATACCTAAAATAATAATACAAATATAAACAAATGTGAAATAATATTATCTCTTCTTTGCATTCCTCCACTTAATAAATAACAGAACAATAGGAAAATAGTGACTCTTAGCATGAGAAGAACAAATGATTAGAAAAGCGAGTCTTGTAATCCATCATTGGAAAGTCGCAAAGGTCGACATCTGATGGCTCGGCTGTTCATTCATGAAAAAACTTATGTTGTCTAGGATTGAATCATGAAAAACATGACTCATAACCAGGAATGTGTCCATCGGGAGGAACAGAGAGTCGTATGTCTCATTTGAAAAATTTTCATTTTTTATTTTTTCTAGCAAAAGTTTGCTTTTTTATCCAAAAAAGGTCTTAGAGCCGAAAGAGCTGTTCAAAAGTTCGTTTGATAGAAGCTGAACTTTTTGAACAACTCCTTTCAAAAAGAGCTGAACTGTTACAACCCCAAGTACGACTCCTAGATGATCGTTAAAAAGTTAAAATTACAAGCATCAGGTAACCCCTGAACAGTTCTAGGTACTGCTACTGAATAACTCATAAAAAGATAAGGATTTCACCCATAAATAGTCCTTAAAAAGCTATGAAGGTCACTCTTAGACGCCCTTGAAAAATTATAAGTGCTATGTTGAAGTAGACCCTAAAAAGTTCTGAGTAGCATTTTTGACTTAATGTCAATCGGTTTGTGAAAGAGAGCTCGTTCGAACAGTTCAGATCTTTTAAAAGGTACTGTTCAAAAGTTCAGTTCACCAACTAGAGTTGTTCGAGCAGTTAGTTCTTTTTTAAAGGTGCTGTTCAAGCAGCGCCTTTAATCGGAACTCGAGTTGAACTGTAACACTCCTTGTCCTTCCCTTAAATCTGTCACTAGATATGAGTTCGAGTCTTCAAAATCTTGAACTCAACCATTTCTATTCATAAGGAACAGTGATCAGAACATCATACACTAAAAAATTCATTTTTTTCTTTCAAAATTTCAATAGGAAATTTGTTATGAGAGGAACCACGAATACCTTAATCTGTTTTCTCTTTTCTAAAAATCAAAAGAATCTATCAACATTTAGTAGAAAATATAATATTAATATTAATCGATTATCTTCGTTGATAATCAATTCTTCAAAAACAAAAATAATAATAAAACTATTTGATAAACATAAAATCACGAACCATTTTTTTGAATATCATGACCCATATAACATGAAAGAAATTGAACTAAATTATAATTTTGATAAAAAGGCACAAACGATTTATTTATATTTAATGTTAAACCACGTTCACAAAGTACAATTGATTGATAGAAACCTGATGCTAAACCAATTGCACCACCTGAAAAACATCAAAATAATTTTTTTTCAAATAACAAAAGTTTTTTTTTTGGCACCAAGATCATCTAAACCTTGATGTTTTCTATATGATTGATTTTTAATAGTAATTATATCTGATCTTTGTGTTTGTTTAAATAAACTTTCAAGAATTTTAACAAGACCATGTGGTTTAATTGAAATTTTGTTTTGAATAAAATCAAATATTGTTTTTAATGTATATATTTTAACAAGATTAAGAATTAAAAAACGAAATCTATTTGTTTGTCCAGTATTTTTATCATTTATTTCACATTGATATTCTTTTTTTCTTAAATTTAACATTAAATTTTCAATTGAATATAAATTTTTTCCTTCATCATACCAAACAAGTGGAAAATTTTCTTTATTAATTATTTGTTTCATAACTTGTATACGTTCATCTTTTCCGCATGAATACCATGAACTATCAGACATTAATATTTCAACGTCAACATCAAATTGATATACAATCACTTTATTTGGTGGTGTACAAAAATTAATTTTAAAATGATTTACATAAATTTCAATTCGTTGACCAGCTAAAAGAGAATAAAAGATCAATTTAATTCAATCAAAAGAAAAGAAGAAAAACAGATAAAATACCATTTCCTGTTTCTGATGGTCTTTTAGCAATTGTTGTTATTTTAGGATTTAGTATAGATGAAGGACCTGTTGGATGAACAAATAAACGTGAACATTTTTCTATATAAATTTCAGCATTTGAAGCACTTATTGATGCAACATCATGTGAATCAATATTTTTTTGTTCATCATGAAATGATTTTTTATCAACTATTCCACGTGAAGAATATGATCGACGTTGAGAATAATCAGATGATATTCCATCTATACGACTTTTATGACCTAAAAGACATTTTCATAGAAGTAATTTTTTCATTTATAAATAAATCCTACGTACCATTTTTATGAGTCATCATCCCAATACTTTTGGCTTATTTTGAATGATATGTTTTTCTTTATTTAGAAAATTATTTGTTTTTAATCTAAAAATAAATCAAAGAATATTTATTTAAAAAAACAATGTATTCAGCTATCTTATAGATTAGAAAAATAAGAATGGTATAGTAGTCGATCTATTGACTGAATTAAATGACTATTTATCTCTCTAACTGTTAAGAACATTTAATAAGGGAGAACGAAATAAAAACAATATGATGTGTATAGAATAAAATATAGAGAAACTCGACGATATCTCACAGTACAAACGGCATATCAACTGATTCGAAATTTTGAAAATCGTGCGGATTTGATAAAAATTACATCGTTCAAAAGAGCTTGAAAAACTGAACAAGGGTATCGAATTTTCTCGGAGAGGTACCCTCTAGTCCCCAGCATCATTTTTTAAAAATAGATTATCCAGTAGAACTAGCTACAATATTTTGTTCTCTCTATTTCTCTCTGAATAATCGATTTTTTTTCTCTTTGTCGTTCTGCCTTCGAGGACGATGAGCGTATATGCATGTTACTGAATCAGACAGAAGAGGACAAGGAAGATAAATAAAACAACACGTTATTCAAAAAGAAACAGAAGAAAAAAAGATTCCATTTTTGTTGAGAGATTCATTTTTTTAAATTGTTGTTGATTCTATTTAAACGAAACAAAGAAATTTCGAAGCAGTTGATATGTCAAGTACATAGCGGAAGAATATTATGTAAAAACGAATTGTTTTCGATCAATTCAACAAAAAATCTTTTTCATAATTTATATCAACGGAAATAAAAATGAAAGACATAGATCCTTTTAAAACAATAAAAGACAGCAAAACATATTTTTCAATGATAAGTAATCTTTCAAATATTTAGTTTTACTTGTGAATATTTCTCTTTCATTAGGAATGCAGTATGATTAGTTTAAGACCCTCCCCTACTCAGGAATCGTTTTTCGTTATTCGTGAGTCGGTTTGGCTGAAATTTTCAGAGAATATGGGTGTTGCGTTAGCTTAATTTCTTGCAAATTTTTGATTCATAAGATTTTTCTTTCAACGAGTTATTGACAAATTGATCCTCAAATGGTGATCTTCGTACGGTACCGATTTCTCGGATTGTTGAAAAGGTAGAGAGCTAGTGTTTATTTTAGATGAAAGAGATGACGTGAATCTACAAATGTATATACTGTTTTTTCGAAATTCGATTTTGTTCGGATTTCAGAGACATTTTTCCGCAATAACTCGGAACACAGCGCTTTTTGGCATCAGTGTTATCCAGTTATCTCGACAAGGAAATTGAATTTCGAAAAAACGCTATATATTTCTGGACATAGGTCTCTTCTTTTATTTAAAAAACAGTAGCTTGCTACCTCTTCTACAGTCTGAGAAGTTGGTTCCTAACTATCCAAAAAAGTGATTTCGAGAAAACGAATCAGCAAGTTTGGAAGATGTGTAAACGGGTGTGAATGCGACAAAATTAATCAATGTGATATATATTTGAAATCAGCGTAAAATATTCTTTTTAAGTGACATAATTAAATAAAAATATGAAACAATTTTTTATTTCACGATGACTGTCATGACCCCTATACTGCAATTTCGTTCCAAAATCTGGTTATGAAAACCCGTCATATTGCTCTAATTAATTAAAATAACAGAACGTATATATATGTTAGCGTGCAATCTCGGATTCAGGCCAATCTCAGATCCACCTAGGCCAATGTCAGATTAAAATTTTTTTTATTAAAATCTTCGTAACTACTTGATTTCATGTTCAAAATGAAAACTATTTAGCATAAAATATTAATACTATGCTATTGGAAGATTTTCAATTATTTCAAAGGGTACTAAGGTTGAGTTGGACAATTTAATCGTGCTTTTCGTAAAATCGATCATTGTTCAAAAAAACATTTATACCATCAGAAAACCCATTCTAACCAACATCCTCATCCACATCTTTGTCCTCATACCCTCTCCTTAAAACAGAATTCATTTTGAACATAAAACCAAGTGGTTGCGAAGATTTTAATAAAAAAAAATTTCAATCTGACATTGGCCTGAATCCGAGATTGGACGCTAACATATATTTCTCATTTCGAACCGTCTACAAATTTGTTGACCACTGTCACATTCCCGTAACTATCATCAGTTATCAACCCCTCTCCTTTGTCAAATGCCATCATGTTAAATTTTGCTTCTGAGAAGCGAAAATGATTGAAATACTCTCAAGTAGATTATGTGTAACAAAAATAGCTAGGGCGTTCGCTTTACCAACATTTTCTCGCTGAACGTTCGCTTCATCTGCCATACAGATAAAGCGAACACCTAGTATATTTAAAATAAAATCAATCAAAAATCAAAAATGCGTTTGATTGAGCTGAACCGCTGGAATTAGATAGAGTTCAAGGAGAGGAATCAAATCATGTTATGTAAAAAAAGAAATATTGAAATTTTCAAGGAGGAGTGCTTAAATTTGCTAATTAATCACATTTTTGCTTGTTCTCCGCTGGAGTGTTTGTTTTACCAACAATTTTTTTTCTTAGCGTTCGCTTTACCAACATTGGCTCTAAGTAATTATGAACTGCATTCTGTATTTTTTGTACAATTTTTACTATCCTTGATAATTAGAAAATGGGAAATGTGATCAGAAAGATAAATAGTTTGACTATAGGGTTGTTGCGTCATTGTTTCTCATTTTTATATTAATGGTGATTCATCATGTATCGAATTGTAAACAATATGTTTCATATTGTATACAGCACACTAGAGCTATTTTTCAACATTATTGCTTGAAACATATAAACTATCATCACTTGATTACTTGTATTGCTCCGCATGCTTCAGCACCAGTAACTCTTCATGAATTTTACCTACCTTCTTGTTTTAAATAGGCCAAAAATGAAAAGAAAACAACAGAACTTCTTTTAGCAAGGTGAACATTGCATTCTCAGATATTATCTAGAGGGAAACAGCAGACTTTTGGACTTCAAGTTACTTTCAGCTACGTTCAGCTACTTTAAGCTACTTCAAGTAGTTTGCTTTGAAGTACTTTTCAATTTCAGATTTATCTGAAGTACTTGAGATTACTTCAAGCTACTTCAGCTACTTGGTCCTACTTTGAACTACTTCAAGCAGTCTATTTTGACGTACTTTTCTACTTCAAGTCTGCCATTTCCCCCTAGGGTATTATACACCATACATATTGATATAAAATAAAGATATATAATAAAATTGAAGTGTCGGGTTACACAAACGAACATTAAACTCGGAATTAACTATATTCGAACACATTTTCTTCATAAAAATAGGCACAATCACTTATAGTTTACCCATTTATATTGCGAATAATTCTTTTTCTACGTAGTTTCCTACTGATAAAATTAGAAATCAAGTGTTAAATCTCGATGGTGTGGGTATGAGTATGGGTTTGAGTGAAGATACTACCTATATCCACACACACCCACACCCTCACACACCCCACATTCAATCTGAAATAGTTGTTTATAGATATTGTGGAATGACAAATTGTTGTTAACGTCTTTTGTATTTAATAAAATGGAAAAGAAGACTGCTTAAAATAATTTGACTCGACTCGACTCGACTCGAAGATGCTGATGACTCGACTCGACTCGAGAAAAAGCTTGACTCGCCCATCCCTGTTCTATGAAAATAAAATAAAAATAGAACTGTAGTCAGATTGAACGAGTTTTTCTTTTCGTCTAATTCTGGTTATTCAGATGATTTCTATAAAAAAACAAAAAAAAAGCGCGCATCATGAAACAGGTCAATACTTGTCTTGGCCTTGTCCACGCTAGAAAAGTTTATGCTAACTTGATAAAACCGTGATTCGTTGAAAATTTAAGTCAGATTTAATGCACTAGTGAACGGCGCATTACAGTTAATGCATCAATCGAGAAAGAACTTGATCGACTAATTAAAATCATGAATATGCCTCGTTGAAGTCCCTGTTTATTATTGATAAATAGATATTTTCAATATGATGAATTATCGAATATTGAGAATAGACATTGAACCATGCCGACTAGAAACACTATAATATTTAACGAAACTACTATTGAAATAAAAGGTAGAATAGTTATCTTCTAGATATCGCTATTTAGCATTTAAATGAAAAAAATGATGAGAAAATCGTCTGAATTTGAATATGTCACAAGAAAGATAAAATATTCCGTTAACTCACAATCAGAAACTACGCATATATAGCTTATAATAGAATTTGTCTATGTTTAGACAAAATCACATTAGTGATTGGAAAAGTCGAAAAACAACTCACACTCTTGAGTAGTAATATATGAGTTGGATGCATCTCTATATCATTCGAACCAATCCAAAACCGACGGTTAACTGCGCGCTTAATCGTGGTTTACCGGCGGTTTTCGATCGAATGTAAAAGGTTATTTGTTATGATCCGTGTTCAGACACAGATCATTAGCACTATGTACCTCGATAGCATTCTAATTGTCTCGCCTATTTTCCTCCACATACTATATCATTGATTATTGATTATCTCATTGGAGATAATCGAACTGAATATATCTGTCCCCGTTATTGTTTTGAGTTTATTGTTTTATTATTGCTAAATGTATGTCTTGAACCTGCTAATGAACAAGTATTGAAACATCGGAACCGAAATATACACCTTAATATTATTAAAGTTAATTTTGAAAGTCAGAGATAATTTAATGTGTATACAAAAACAGTTTTCGAATGAAAATCCAACGTATAAATGCTACGATAATAGAGAAAAATGTGAATCAAATTAAATTTTTACCACTTACGCTGTAATTATTGATGTTTTTATTGGCACTTTAATCAGGGTATAAAAATTTAGTCAACGATTTGAGTTTCATGATTCATTAGCATCATAGTTTCATGGGAAACTTTTATTGCACCAGCAACCACTAAACGCGTGTTTCTTTAGGTTAGGCTATGCTAAAAAGTGTTTTGAGAGAAAGAAAATATAATTAACTAATCTGTTCTATTAAATATTTGTGCGAGTGATTATTTTCAAAATGTAGAAGGAGCTGTAGATTAAAGAAAACTCTGAGATGTATTTATCACGATGTATCATCTTGCTATTTGATGCAATCTATCAATATTTTTGTTATCATGAATATGTCGAAACTCTTAATCAAGCAGATAGTCAAATAAATAATGACACATTTGTTTTAATGGAAAAATAGCGTTCTCAAGCTGTCAGAAGAAGCATCTGATTATAAAATCAGAAACGTAGCTGCTTCACATATGAAACTTCTCCTAGCAACACTATCGACTTCAATGACATATGAAAAAATTCAATGACCAATAGAAGTGTTCAATTGCTCAATGAATGTCTTTGAGAAACTCAATAATTAACAATGTCACTCGAATCTGTAGGAGGGTTTATTTATATTCAATCTGCGCCAGCACATACTTTTTCGTCTATTATTTTTTCAATTACCATCAAATTTTATTTCAAGTATCTTCAGTTTTTTTCTGCCTTTCTATTAGTTGACATCTGACGGAAATTCTAAATCGACTTGTCTTTCTTTGTTTTGCTCTTTTTCTTCTTCATATTTATTGATCTTTCATTCGCGTTCAGTCACTTTCTTAAAATACACCTATAAACGTATAGTAATTCATATATAATTACTAACAGCAATGTTTACACAATCGGGTATGCAAATTGTGGTAATGACAATAGTCTATCTCTGCATAGCTAACACTGCACTTGCAACATCAACCGATATGGAACAAGAAGATCAACAGAAACCTTCAACACGCTTATTCGGACAATTCAATGCTGAACCCAACTATATTTTGACTGATCGTCCATATTACAGCAATGATGTCGATACAGATGCGATTTTTCACACAAAACGACAACTGAAAAAGAAATGGGCGAAGTATATACAAGGATCTCAGTCACCTTATACTATTGCATTTCCTGCTCTTATTCGTACACGTCGATGGATCGACCAAGAACAATAATATTTATCCACCGCAAGATGGATACATTCAAGTTGTTTGTTCTTCTTTTTTGTCGAACTATGAACAAATAAAATAGCAATAAAAAATGATTGAGACATACACTATGTTCACTTTTCCCTCTGTACAAAACAGCAATACATAGAAAAATTGGACAGCAATGAAACAAGGTGAAAGCAAATGATCGAAAAGCTCTGACTATTGGAACATTTTACAACAAACAGGAAGTTTTTCAATTGTGTTATTTGAATTTGAATAGCTTCAATCAATTTCTTTTCATTGTGAAGTAGATGCTCAATTCATGTTCGAGCATATGAAAATTTTAAAAAATATACCCATAATTAGACAGCAAGAAAGTAGAAGATCATGTTTTTTGAATGGTCAAACTTTGACCATAGTAGCAAAAGATAACTTCTCTCCGAATTCTGAGCGAAATTTCTAATGGTGGTAGCTTTGCATCATTATGTACATAAAAAGAATAGTGCATTGCAGTCATACCAATGAAGGAGATGCTACGCTCTTCCACACCGCGAGACTGATATGAAAGGCTAGTTACCGAAGGAAATGTTACTTTAGACAGCAGAAATACATATGTTTATGTTCTGATTCAATTAGAGTAGCGTTTTTATTATTTCCAATAGTATTGCAAAATATAACTCTTGGCGGGCACAAGAAGCATGCTACCTGCAGCATCCCACTCATTGATTGCAGCAACTTGGATGGAGACTCGAACATTGAAGATGATTTGTCTAGTATTTCCGCTAATTTTTAGCATTCCAGTTAGGGACACTTGCAACTTGAAATAGTTGACGATTTATTAGAAGCAAACATCAAAAGCAAAGCAGACTGAAACTGGAAATATTGGTATTCGAGTTTGCAATACTACTCGAACATATCTAACGAAGACGCGATCATATATCTGTATGGATGAAACTCGATAGTATTTAGTCGTTTCAATGTAAAAATTTTGATATACCAAGATCGAACAAATAGATTTCAGCACATAAATAAATAAATGAGGGAACATCGGATTCACATCCGATTATTATGTGTACTGCAAAAATTGAGTCGATTTATATATATTGTGAATAATTCTAAGAAAACAATTTTTTTTTGATAAAATCCCTGTACCCCCCCCCGCCGTAGAGTTGGGCTGGTCATTACTGGCAATTTTTTCGATAACTCAGCCATTTCTTGACGGATCCTTCTCATCTTCGAACTCGCCTGAGATATTAATGAGATCATTATGTGTGCAAAATTTCATGACAATTAGATAAGGCTTTCAAAGGTTATCGTGTTAACGGCCGGACACACTGATCGAATCTAGAGTGTACTCACTTGTTTTGAGTACACAAAAATGATATTTTTCTTCTTCGTGTCGCTTTTTGAAATGTACAATTGACAAGAATTATTTGAGCTAGCATATCAATGGTGAACTCAAAAGAATTTAGGATCATGAGTATCCACGAATCTCTCAATACTGACACTGAATAATATCATATACGTAGTGTAGAATTTAGAATGATTTAAATACTTTCTTGTTACTTTTAAATACACATGCCGATAGAGTAAAATTTATTTTCAAAAAGAGTTTCACAGCAAATAAAATGAACAGGGATTCATTGAGGTTATTTTGCAAAATTCTCTACTATACAAGGACTCCGCTAAATAAAATGCTGAGTATTGGTTAAATTTCAAGTACGGAAATTTATCTTTTCGTAGATTACTTTAATAAAGAAAAAGTGTATTTTGAAGAGGTATGATCTATAGAAATAATTATCCAGAGATTCTTTTTATACCCATTACATCAGGTCGGATTGCATTAAGCTAAAATAGGTTTTCGCATTAAACTTTCAATATATCAAGTAATTCAGTCAGAATCAATAACTGAACTCGACAAAATCAACACTTCCATAACATACTTGTATTTTTACTTTTTATTAATCCACACATAAACTTTTTCTTGCTGAAATAATATGTTGATGACAATTTCAAAAAAAAAATCTTATTGGTCTATATTCTATACGAGACTGATTGTTTCCCATAGCAACATGATTTTTCTTCATAGCACTTGAAGCCAATCAAGGTTGATGACTTTTTTTTGTCATCACCAGAAGAATTCAACCTTGACCGACCTGAAATATAGCTGTCATTATTCGCAATTCTGGTCGAATCAATAGCTATGAAAACAATCACGACTGTTTCTTCCCTTTATCTGCATCACCCATATTTCAGTGAAACAGAAAGAAGGATGACAATATCTTGCTGTTGCACACATTAAAAATGCAGAAAGAAAATGTCAAAGAATGCAAAACCAAACAGTTTTTATTTTATCGTAGAAAAGAACAGAACAATCATAATAAAAATCAAATGTATGTGTGCTTCGCTTGTTATTTTGCGCATTTCATTACGACAGAAAAATACGTATTTCGCTTTGTATCCTGATATTGTTAGATAACTATTTTGTAACGTGTTGAGTAAATGGATAATTCTCCTCCTGATCGTCAAATAAAATCAATTCCATATCCGCGAGTTAGCTTATTAACTGAAGACGAATTATTTGATCCATCTTCTGGTTTACCATCTATATCATGTTTAACAAAACATCTACAAGAAGAAGGTCGTCTTGATGAAAAATGTGCTTTGCGTCTCGTTGAACTTGCTCGAAAAATATTCGAACGTGAGCCAAATACATTAGCTATTCAAAGACCATTAACAATTGTCGGTGATATCCATGGACAATTTTATGATCTTTTAACAGTATTAGCAGCTGGTGGTGATCCAGCTAAAACACGCTATTTATTTTTGGGTGACTATGTTGATAGAGGCCAATTTGAATGTGAATGCATATTTTTATTATTTGCACTCAAAATTAATTATCCACAAAATGTTAATTTACTTCGAGGGTATGTTGTTTTCTTTTCCCAAAACTAAATACTACAAAATTGATTCGATCATTTACAAGTATCCACAGAGTACAAAAAAAGCCACACTTCTGAAATTACTGTTAAGATAACACGACATAAATCTACATCAATTCTATGTACTCTGCTTACCGAAAGTTCAACTTTCTATTTTTTTTCAGATTCTAATAAACTGAATTCTTTCAACTATAGGAGCTTCAAGTGTTCAACTCATCTAATTCATATAATTTTCATATATTTCGATTGTTATTATTTAGACAATCTTTCATAATCTAGAAACAATAAAGTAACAACATGTAGCTATACGTTTATACGTATGCATATGGAAGAAAATCAACAAAGAGCATAGGCGACACACCATGCATGCGGGGGGAAGCAATTGCTTTCCCTGAAATCCCGATATTCAGATAGTTTCTTTTTGTAAAATGTTTAGCTGCCGTGAAGCTCATTTTTTCTTCTGAGACTAATTACATCGTGTATGTCGGACATTTATCTTCCCTAAGAAATTCAAAGTCGATTAGCACCACTTGACAGGACCAAAATAAAGATCAGCTGTTGCTTTTCTGGGATGCAGAAAGAAACTTTCAATCAGCTCTCATCATTTTGTTTTCTGTTCGATTTTTTTATAGTTTTGTTTACTATGTTAATATATATTTATATGATGGTGATGTTGTAGCGACCACATTATGTGCTAAAGATAGTTTTCTTGCTAATTCATTTTATGCTGTGTTAGATGTAATTATATTATCAATTAAAGAAAGATTTAATCCCAATCGACTCTCCCTCGCAAAATTACCGTGGAGTCCTAAAAAAACTAGGAAATCCCTAGGAACTCCCTGGAGGCTCCCTAAAAAAATAGCTAAAGCTCTCTGCGGAGTCCCTAGAGAATCTCTGAGGGATTTATCAGGGAGTGTAGGAATATATTTACCGTTTTCTTTTGCGCTTATGGAAGTATATAAGAAACTAAAAATTAAGAAGAAATAACTGTTTATTTTTAACATCAAGTTTTATCCAGATGATAAATATCATTTGGACTTCGACCTACGCCCGTTTAGTGATAACTCATTATTTTCAGGTGATTTAACAATCGCAGGAGTTATCCACTGAGACGTGGTCTTCTAAATGGCTTTGGTAGAAGGTCCTGTTGGACAAAGGCAGATTGGAAAAGATGGGTTTAGGTTCACGGGAAGCTAACAAAAAGTTAAACAATTTAGAAAAGCCTAAGAAACTGTTGAACTCCTGATAAATGCCTGATCATTTCTGGGGACTTCTTGTCATGAGTCTCCAGGGATTCTTCTAGGGAGAGTGGACTAGGGTATTCCGTTTATCTTTAATAAATATTGAGCGTAGGTTTGACATTGATTTAGATTCTGGTGTAAAAAAAATTGTATCGAAAAATAAAGAAAGAAAAAAAATATTTTGAGGATAAATAAGTTGATGATATATGAGTTCTGAAAAAGAAAAATTTTTATTGTTATCACTTTAAAAAATTTATTGCTTCCCCTAGAGCCTTGAGCTTGGGGGGGGGGGGGGGGGGGGGGGGGGGGGGGGGGGGGGGGGGGGGGGGGGGGGGGGGGGGGGGGGGGGGGGGGGGGGGGGGGGGGGNATACCCTAGTCCACTCTCCCTAGAAGAATCCCTGGAGACTCATGACAAAAAGTAACATATAAATAATTTATACAGAGGAATAAAAAAAACGACCATATAACTCATGATGCAGACTAACTATGACGCAAAGTTGCTTAGTTTATGAAGTTTATGAGTTGGTAATCAGTTTTATTCGTCGAGGATTTTTTCTTTTCTGTGATTTTTCGTTCAGTAGCAGAAAAGATCAACATTTGCTACATTCAGTAAAACGACTGCTCAGTAAACACTGACAGTGTTAAATATTTATTAACATCGGAAAGTAACTCAGATCATTGGCTTGGTTCGATTTCTACGTCTATCATTCTTGTTAAAAGAAAGAACATTTTTTACTTATTTCTTCTTTTAGAAATCATGAAACCCGTCAAATGACAAAAGCCTTTCAATTTAAGTTAGAATGTAAAAGAAAATATGGATCATTAGCATTTTACGATGCTTGCATGCATGCTTTCGATGCATTACCTTTGTGTGCTCTGGTCGATTCACGTTTTCTATGCATGCATGGTGGATTGTCACCTGATATTCGTACTTTATCAGACATTGCAAGTCTTGATCGTTTTAAAGAAACATCATATTCAGGTCCATTATGTGATTTACTATGGTGTGATCCCAGTGAAGATTTTGATGATATTAATGATGAACAACCTGACTTCAAACCAAATAAGGTCCGTGGATGTGCACATTTTTTTTCATATTATGCTTGCCGAGATTTTTTATTACGAAATAATCTTTTATGCATAATACGTGGTCATGAAGTTCAAAAAAATGGTGTTAGATTTTTTCGAAAATCATCTCGTACTAAATTTCCTGTACTGATATCTCTATTTTCGGCACCAAATTATTGTGATACATACAATAATGTTGCAGCTATACTTAAAATTGATAGTAATCAACAAATATCTGTTGTGCACATAGAAGCACACTCTCATCCATTTGTCTTGCCGAATTTCGAAAACGGTAAAATAAACTAATTATTTTCTTGCTTTGTTTCTAACAAAACACTGTTTCTTATGTCATAGGATTTCAATTCGGTGAACGATTTATTCTTTATTATGCTACTCATCTTCTTTTATCAATTTTTAACATATATTCACCAGAAGAATTAGCTTCTGAAGATGGTCGTCAAGATAAAACGGCCATAGAATTACTGAATAAAAAACGACTAATTGAAACAATGGATCACGCTTATAGTGACTTGAAAAAAACAAATAATATTGCACTTAACCTACGTGGTCTTACACCATCTTATAATTCTTACAAAGAGTTGCTCGCTCGGCCTGATATTCAAGCATTAATTAATGAGGCTGAAAAAGGACTTATCAGCAATTTCGATCAAGCTATTCAGTTAGATCAAATATTTGAGCGACGACCAACGAATTGATCATGCTGACAAATAATTTGAACTTTTGGAACAGAACTTTCAGTGTTTGTATTAACATGAATTATTTAATATTCAATTTTTTCAGTAAAATAATTTTTCAAATCGACTATCAAGATAAAGGACACAAATATAATCTTTTATTGTCGAATAAAGTATTCAATTTCGTTTAAAAAATTACAATATCATGCGATAATTACTCAAGCTCGACTATTTCATGTCAACTTTGAATATTCTTTCAGTGAATAACACACATGTTTTGCCATATTCTAAGATGATCTGACTTTTTTGTATCAATATTAATGAACGAATTGAATACTGTATTGCTTTTGTGCAGAAGTAGTATTCGATGAAGATTATCTCAGTTTGAGAGTAGGTAACACATCGTAGATGTATCCATTGTTTCGTTAGTTTAGATCCCATCACACCTCTTCTATGTTGCTTTTATTCATTGCTGAAGTCGTCTACATCAATTGATGAATCTTTCTTTTTTCTACATTTCACAATGGATCTATTGTATTTTTCAATAACGATTGCATTAATTACAGGTCTCATGAATGAGAAATATCTACATCTCTTGCACGATTGTATTATATTTCAGAATATTGATGCAAACGTATATAGAGAAACACTCGTTATTCCTATAAAATACTTGTACTAGTTGAAGTTTGAGTAATTGTTTTTGAGAAAAATTAAAAATAATTATCAAACTGAAAACAAAAATACACATTTGTAGAAAGCAATATTTGAATATAGTTCAATCAGACTTTTAAAAACATACTCTTAAATTTATATATTTTTAAATGTTCTTATCTATGAAACCACGATGATACATTTTGCTGATAAATATTAATTATATTAGAAAGAAGCTACTCCATTCAATAAAATAGAACTAGTTCATCACTGAAGATAGTTTTTTTAACTTATTCACTCAAATTGATTTATGTTGCGGATTAATATCTTTACAAAAAGACAATCAACAGATTTCACTTGTTCAGTAGCTACTCTACGTAATATATATAAAATGTAATAAAGCTGGTATGTTGGTCTATTCAGATTCACTGAATTGTTAACAGATTAAAGTTTGTAAGATTTAAAATGTTGTAAGAAATAGAAAATGTTGCAAAAGTACAAATAGGATCAGTTGACAGTACGAATAATGTTGATTCTATTTGACTCACTCATCCATATCTTTAAAGGTTTGATTGTAATCGTGTAAATTTCATTCGATTTAATTTAGAGAAAGCCTCTGTTATGTGCTAAATCATAGATTGAATATATTCTGCAGTATATCGAACTAAAACAAATGACGAAACTTTAATTACTATACCGACACGTATGATCGAGAAACTTATCAATAGAAAAAGAGTTTCCAGGTGCACCATAATAAGTGTCTTAAACTTTAGAAACTATATTTTGATCAGTTTTTAAAATGTGAAATATTAAAGATGATGTGAAATGTATTTAATCAAACACACTTGAAGTGCTCAAATTAGAATCGACAATCAAATCAAATTTTAAAAAGTAACTCCTAATTGATTCATTCATCTAGCATTAATCTTCTAAAGACGTCAGTCTTGGTTACCACTTTTTTGAATCATATTTTGATGAATTAACTTATGATTGAAAAATATTTCGATAGATCCATTTAATTTCAACAACAAATGTTTGATCTAAATAGTATTTAGTGCCATTGTAAAACTGGAATAAACTGTACAAGTTGCTTTCATTGAAAAGAATTTGATAATCAATTTTATTGTGATACTAGAATGACAATTAAGTGTTAAATATAAATATCTTCGTTCTCTATCATAAATACTAGTAGCTAATTATTTTCTACATTTTCCCTAGCCCTTCTTTACGTCATCCATTTCATATGTAATAATGGACTGTTTATACAATCATCATTGCAGTTTTTTGATTAGGTAGAAGGATTAGTAACATTTTTTGCAAATTAGTTATGTTCTTTACGTTATGGCAACACATAAAACTAGACAGATACATCGTTCGAACACTATAAAATTCAGTATACTGCGAAAATTAGAATCATCAACGACGACCAGCTCTTATTCGTATGTTTTGATTTCATTTACAATATATTCTACAAGTCCTTGTGTTTCGATGTATAATCCTCGGTAAATAATCTTTAATTAATGATAAATAGAACCACAGATGACATGTTTATAGCAACAATATTTATTGCGAAATATATCTATTTATCTTATATGCAACAATAAATCGATATACATATATATTTTCTTTGCCGAACCATTGGATTTCTCATAAGCAACTTAATTTCATTTGAAGTTGACTCTCGCATTGCGTATAGTATGATACATGCATGTGATTCAATTGGATTTATCTGAAACAAAAACATCAAACAATTTATTAACCTATCTTGAAACATTGTTTATAATTCAGCTGTGTTTCCTATTTATTTGTAAAAAGTAGTAATCTAATTCTGATTGTTCAACGAGACTGGGTGCTTGAGCCATAAGATCTTTTCCATTGCCTGTTTTTGGAAAAGCTATTACATCTCGTATATGTTCTGTTTCGAGTACTAAAGCAAGTAGCCGATCCAATCCAAGTGCAATACCACCATGTGGTGGTGCACCATATTCGAGTGCTTGTAATAAATGTTCCAAATGTTCAATTGGTAATTGAAGAACATCATTAAGAACAAAGCGTTGTATAGATGAATCATAAATTCGAATTGAACCACCAGCAACTTCAAAGCCATTTAAAACGAGATCATAATGTTGACCTGTAATATGTGGCCAATCTTTTTTTGATGATAAAAGTGATACATGTTCATTGATTGGGGCTGTAAATGGGTGATGTGTTGACTCAAATTTTGTTCGATCATCTTCCATTGGTGTAAATAACGGAAAATCTATAATCCATAAAAAGTTCCATTGACGTCTTTTTCTTAATTCAATTCCATAATGTTTTTCGAGTACATCAGCTAAGTTCAAACGAAATTTGCCCATTTTAATTAAACATTCTTGTTCATTATTTGTTTTATTTAAAAGAAATTTTCTATTATTTGCATCATATTTTATATCATTGTCACCATCGATTAAATCGTTGGCATTATTTATTGGAATAGGACTTGTTATTGAAAGTTGTTCTGAACTATGTTCGATTTCAAGACCAAAACGTGTATCAGGTTTATCTGTTCCATAACGTGACATAGCTTCAGCAAAAGTTAAACGAGGAAATGACACTTTTTCAAGCTTTTCCGGCCAACAGGCAACTACAAGTTGTTCAACTAAAGAAAAAATATTTTCACGTGAAACAAAACTTAGTTCTAAATCAATTTGAGTAAATTCAGGTTGTCGATCAGGACGTCCTAAAAGAAAAAGAAATATCTAAAAACGTATGTGCAAAGTGTTCGCAAAACATATTCAGTCATTCGAGATAAGTAAACTGTGATTATTTTTCTTTTTGCATGATGCTTCAGAATAATTCATTTCGATTGAAGACTAACTCATAATGAAGAAAAAACCTTAACTTAGCGAAACGATGCCTATCTTTTTAAATTTCTGTTTAGATACGATTATAGTCGACAGAAATTTCGAGTTCATATTAAATTATCAAAAAGGACTTGAAGTAAAATTGATTTAAACTATAAAAACTGCAAATAAAAACGTGTGTTTATACTAAAATGTCACATTCTGAGACGATAGATTTCGTGTTCGATGGTTTAAATATTTGATACATTGTTATTGATAATATCAGAGGAAACTGTATAATAATAATAATAATAATAGGGATAAAATGTTAAAATTATTACTAAACATGAAAGTATAAACGTTGAAACAGCATCTTGTCTTGTAAGAAGCATTAATGTTTGAGTATCAGAGACGGAAAGTCGAGTACGTCAGAAAAAAAAACTATTTTCAATCTATAATTATGACCAACTGGTTTTGATTGACTACTTTTGATTATCTCCATTGACTGAATATATTGCACAAAAACGGATCATCTAATTCAAAAATAAAAAAACCTGTTTCATCTCGAAAACATTTTGCTATTTGAAAATATCGATCAAATCCTCCCACCATTAAAAGCTGTTTAAATTGTTGTGGACTTTGTGCTAATGCATAAAAAAGTCCACCCTCGTTTAAGTGAGTTGGAACAATAAATTCTCGTGCACCACCAGGTGTACGTCGAAATAATGATGGAGTTTCAATATCAACAAATGAATGTTTTAATAAAAATTCTCGCACTTTGGCAATAAATGATGAACGAAAACGAATACGTTCTTGCATTACATCACGACGAAAATCTAAATAGCGATATTTTAAACGTGTTATTTCATGTGATTCATGATATTTCGTTATATTGACTGGTAATTCTGGTAAACAGGCGTTTATTACTTTGTAATCGGTTACATGAATCTAAATTCAATTTTATAGTTTTATCTTAAATTCTAGTCAACTTACTTCAAGATGACCTAAAGTCATGTCTGTATTAATATCTCTTTCAGGTCGTTTCTTAAGTATTCCTTTGACATGGATACATGATTCAAACGGTGTTTTTTCTAAAATTGTACGCTGTTCTTTCATTGAGATTGGGAGAATGAATTGAATAAGGCCTGAATGGTCACGAAGAACTCCAAATAATTTCTTACGACGATGTTGTAGCCATCCATAAACGGATACCGATGTATCAATCAGATTTGCATTAGATAAATCAGACACTAAATATTGTCGATACGAAAACTTAGTTGTATAACATGATGATGTTGAAGCAAACCGATAATGGCGTACTGTTGATGAAAAATGTTTTAAAATATTAGACAGCATATCTTTAAAAAAATCGAAGATTGTATTTAAAGTTGAAACCTTAGAAAATATAATACCACATAAAGAAATTCGTTTAGCTAAATAAATCCGATTTGTTTTCTTCATAATTATATTTCAGTCTCTCTATTCATGAAATACAATATATATTCGATTTAAACTACGAATACTACTGTTAATCTTACACATTTTAATGTGTTAAATCTTCTAAGTGATAACTGTGATGAATAGAAATCAACAGTTCTTCTATCTGAAACGCATTTTTTTTGCATGGCCGCTCAAAGAAATCATTACTCATGCATTGGTCGTGCCATTAACGAATCATATCTAAGATGATCTTAATAAATCACACAGTATCCTTCTTTGTAAATCTCTTAACTTGATTTGCTTTAATATTAATCAAGATTAAAATGAATAAAATAATGAAAACAAAAAAGAAAGGCGACATATTTATTTTCATTGGCTAATGAATGTGTATCGAGAAAAGAAAAGAAAAGAAGAAGAAGGAAGAATCTACTCTGCTCGCTTATTTATTGGTCTTCTTGTTCAAGGAACAAAGACTATTTTTTTTCTGCTCTTCAGATGTTATCTTTGTTTCCTGTTTTAGATCAATAATAGCAAAAACAACATGTCAACTGCACAAAATAAAAAGTGTGGAAAATGTGAAAAAGTTGTTTATCCAGCGGAAGAAATAAAATGCCTTGATAAAGTAAGTTTGTCATTTCGAACTTTTTTTGACGCCACTTCAACTCAGTGCTAATGATAATTGATTTTTATCATTAGATAAGAACGTAACATCATATATCAATTCATTATCTGTAGGTTTTCATTTTTGAAAAGCAGTTTTGAATGGAAATATAATGCATGTATTTCATGTTCTTCAGCAAGACATATACACCTTATTCATGAATTGCTTCAATTGTACTGATATAAACTTGATCTCATGATACAAAGCATTGCATGTGAAAGAGAAAGTGTGTGTATCTTCTAGAAGTATCGAATTTCTTTCCGTCATAAAAAAAAATAAACTGCGTTTTTATTTACTATTAAATAAATTTTGTTTTTTTCAGTTTTGGCATAAAGGATGTTTAAAATGTTCAGTGTGCGGAATGACACTTAATATTAAAAATGTCAAAGGCTACGATAGAATGCCGTATTGTAATGTGTATGTAGTTGAGATAATTTATGTGAATAAGAGTAAAATATTTCTTTTAGACATTATCCACAACCAAAACCTACCGTTATTGCTGATAATCCAGAAATGCAACGTATTCGATTACTAACAGACATTCAGAGCAATGTATAAATCTTTTTTCTTCTTTGAAAAATTGAATAGTTAAAAAATGATTCTTTTCAGGCGAAATATCATGAAGATTTCAATAAAAGTAAAGGAAAATTTACCGTCGTAACTGATGATCCAGCATTAATACGAGCTAAAGAACAACAGCGTATTGTGAGTCAAGCAGAATATACAGGCAAACGAAAAGATAGTACATCACAAATGCTCGCTCAAGGTTGATAGATTTATTATAATATATTTCTAGTTTTAATCTTTTTTGGATCTTTTTAAAGATAGTTGTCAACCGTCTAATGGAAATAATACTAACAATCGAGGTTTAAAAGCAGCTGAGTCAGCAGTAGGACGTGGTAAGTTCATCTTATTAGTTTCTTTTTGGCGTTTTCTATTGAATACTTATAGTGGCTGATTATGATCCGATGAATGATGATCGTGGTTCATTAGCAAGGGGTTATGAGCCGACATCAAAAGCCATGCATACCACTAGTAAGTATTTCATGTAATAGTAACCATGATACATGTGGTAATAGAAAATAGAATACAGTAGAAATTTTCAAAAATGTATTTTTGAAAACCGAGTACATCCTACATAATTAAGATTTTAAAAATTATCGAATGTCAGATCTTCAACAGACTTTCACAAGTCATTATATTAGATTCTAGTTGTTCATCTAACTATTTGTTAAGCAATGACATTCATGAACAGAAGGTAGTGTATAATTATTTCGTCTTTTTAGTTTAAGTTAAGTCTGTTTCTAGATTAATCGAATAAGAATTCAAGAAAAGAAGTTTACCAAAAATGGCGATTACGCAAATCCTTGTCTCAATAGGAATTGAAGTTTAACCGTCTGCTAGATTAAGTAAATTATATTATAAATTGTATGAATCAGAATATGATTCAAGAGCGTAACTCAACAGTTCATAGTTGTTCTATAAATAACAATACAAATATCGAGGAATGTCTTTAAATGTGGTGTGAATTAATGCTGGAATAGGCTTTTTTCCAGACTGAAACTAAATGAAGTTTGTCTCTCACATCGGTAACCATCTCATATTCTAATCAGATCGCTTTCATTTTACCATTTAAATATTCTAGTTTCGCGCATACTGATCTTATAGAATGTAAAATAAGCACATTTTTTTATTGTTTAAATATAGCTTATGACGTAAATCAAAAAAATGTTGCTCAATCCAACACAAAAGTCGAGAATAGTACCATCAGTGGAAACGGAAATGGAAACAAAAATTCATATCATCAACATCAAGATGAACAACAAATCTCATCAAATAATATTCATCATGTTGATCAACCTGAACAATATTCACATGGTGATAATCATCCAACGCAGGTTAGTGTCTTTTGCTTAAAAAACAAAAAACAAACATTAATTTCTGTTTTATTTAATAAATATTTAGGTGAAAGTTCGTGCACTTTATTCATATACAGCAGCTGAATCAGATGAAATAAGTTTTACTGAAGGTGACATTCTTGTTCAATGTGAACATATTGATGCGGGTTGGATGCTAGGTCGAAATCCTAAAACAGGTCATCAAGGTCTACTTCCATCGAACTATGTGGAAATTATCGATTGAGAATTATAATATTTTTTCTTTTTCTTCTTGTTTTCATTTATTTGGGGATTTTCTTTATTTCTCATAGAGATTTGTAAATAACTCTTTTCTCTTCGTTTTTTTACTCTACACCAGCAACATTCGAATCTTATCTGATTTTTGCGTTTATTTGCCTTTCCCCCCTATTTTACCGTGTGTGGACGTGTTGTTACAGTTTCAACAGAACTCATTGAAGGCAAACAGTTTTTCAATAAAGATAAGAATCACCCAATAATGGTTATCAAGTATCTGAATAAATTTTTTTCCTGACTCTTAAACATTCGGTTTTATATCTAAACAGAAATTTAGCAGTCTTTTTTATGGACATGATGGGACCATAGTAAATAAAATAAAATGATGAAATAGTTTTATTAGAAAAAGAATGATATATTCTATTTCAAATTCTTGTTGAGACAATGAATATTTTTGTTAATAAAGAAGAATTTTATCTTTCAAATTAAGCATTAATAAAATGGAACAAAAATTGAAAATATTATCTATTATATGCAAAACTATATTGCAATATGAATTTTTATAACCTTCTAAATTTATTCAATTTTGACGTTACAGAGTTACAAGTCATGGAATTTTTTTCTACATTGATCAAACACTACGATTCAAAACAAATATAATAGAATTATGCTAAATTTATAAGAGGAAGGATGGAAAAAATTCAAAAGATTTTTTTTATAATTTTTCACAATTGTCTTTCTTCATACTTGAAAATAGAATTTTGATAAATATCAATAAAATATCTCTAAAATAATTAAATGGACATGTGTGAATTCTTACGTTTATTTAGTATCTCAATAGAAACCACTAATAAGAACTTGAATATTTGTGTTGATGAAATATCATCGTAAAATAATAAACGATTCGAATGATATATTAAACTAAATTTTTCATGTGGGCATAAACAAACTGATATTGAGACTGATGCAAAACCATTTGATCCTATTGATGTAAAATTAATTATTTAGCAGAGAAAATATCAACGATGAAGCAGATTGTGTACTATGAGACTGAGATATTTTAGTTTAATAAATAATAATTAAAAACTATTCAAAGATGTATACTAATAGAGATTTCATTTAATTTGTTATCAAATAAAATCTAGTTCTAATTATGGCTGAGCTAAATTCAGAATATTGAATCATTATTAGTAATATAGTTTAATTATTAGTTTAGTAATATTCATCAATACAGAAAAGTCTTGAGCATGCACTCCGCTGAACTTATAATTTATGTAAAAATTATGTACATCAGACACATCATTTCAGTTCTGTCATGCAAAAAAGTTGCTTACATAACACAAAAATAACTATTGAGACAACATGATTTAAAAGTGTAACAGATTAACTCGAGATGATCAACTAAAAAAAATACCTAACACTCATTATACATAAACAGTCGACATCAATAGACAAATATTTTTCAGTTTTAGTGCTTCATTATAGCATAAGATGATTTTGTTTTCATGAATAAAAAAACAGATTTGTTTGGTTATACATAAAAATATTTCAAGTCAATTGAGTCGGTTTATATTTATATATTTTTTTCATTTTAAATATCCCGTCGAGAAATTTCAAGCGAAAAAAAAACTAATGCACCGTGCATATTTTTTTATTTGCATTCAACGATAAGAGAAGTCATACGCAATCTATTGACGTGTTTAAAAATTAATCAAAACTTGAAGATCCATTTTTCTTTCCTATGTGAATATACAGTTTTAACGAACAACAAACAAACGACGACAAATATAAGAAGAAGCAAAAGAAATTCAAACCAACTAAAGATTTTTTTCTCTAGCTATGGAAAGAACGAGCAATAGTAAATTGATGGTGTTTATGCATTGACAAGAGTTCATTAAAAGCTCTATTTAACTTCATTCTTCGAAAATCTAGATCACAAACACTAGTGAGTAGACAATAGAACAATATTTACATCGGCGAATTAGATCAAAAGAATCATCAAAATATCTCATATGGAACCATTGAATATTAACCCCAATTTACCATGTTTACGTGCTTTGACAAATTCTCGCAGAGGAAAACGACGTTTATCATGTAGTAGTCCATGTTCTAGAAGTACTCATTCGTCACCTAGGTTATCTCCAACACAATCTAAAAATGTTATTCCAATACCAATTCTTATCGAGTTATGCATGTATCCGGATGAAGATTATTCATATCAAACAATGAAAATTTTACTGTCACCACGTTATCATTATTCACCAAATGTATGTGATGAATTTGGTTGTAATGTACTTATGTATACGCTTCGCTATCAACGTTATGAATTATTTGATTTTTTATTAAATGAAGCATCATTTGATATTGACCTTCGGTCGAAAGATCGACAAGGTAATACAATACTGCATTATGCTGTTATTTATGGAAAAGATGCTACACAAATAATAGAAAATTTAATTCAAAAATTTATGAAATTCGGTATTGATGTTGATGCGAGAAATATTTTGGGATTTACACCATTACTTTTAGGTAAAACTATTTAAAAATTTCTATTCAGATATTAAGATTTCTATTGATGCTGCTAGCGATGTTTTGTGGACGATACGATGTTGTTTTAACTTTATTAACTAAAACAGATGCATCGCCATTCGTCGGAGATTATGTTCAATCAATGAATATACTTGACTTTGTTGAAATCGATAGAAAACATAAAGCACTTCTCGATACAATTGAAAATAGGTCTGTTTTACATTGAATGAATAATAAGTAGATTGTATTCATGCTTTTCAGTCGTCCACATTCACAATATCCTCGTATGAATCGTGAATTGACTCGTTTAAATATACAACTTTATAAAACTCTTCCATGTCGATCAGAAACTCTATGCCAAACTATTCAAATTCATCATTCGGTGAATTTTTTTAAAGATATTTTTCCACAAGCTGTTCATGACCGTTCAGGCCTAATTCGTTTAACAATTTTAAAAATGATTGATAAAAAATACTCTTCATCAAATTTAACACACCTTGTTCAATATGTAAATCAACGTTATCCACACATAAGTACGTTAAGAAATTTAGATAATTCACAACGCAAACCAACACCAAAATTAGTAACAAAAATTGTTTCTCAATGTGAAAATTCTAAAACAAATGTACACAACATTTTCAACTTATTCGATCCTGATTTACGACCTAAAGCTATGATGCCAAAAGTGTTAACGACAGCACATTCACAACTATTAGCAACAAATGCTAGAGCACCAAACACATTCAAACGACTAGGCACTAAACTAACAGTAATTGCTGCTCTGTCTCGATCTCAAACTACCAATAAAGCGTTTGACTCGATTAAAACAGGCGGTGCTAAATAATAATTGTTCTTCAAAAGATGAATGGCGTGTTTTTTCTTTTTTATAAACTTAACAATATTAATCATACTTGGAAAATATTGACTTGAGAAAATATTTTTATTAAATTTAATATTCTTTTATATTGAATTCCGATTAAAATTTGGTATACTAGCTAAAGACTTATGAATGAGTATGTACTCTTCGTAGAAACAATGAAGTAACGTGAGTCGCAACGATCTATGCCTCAAAATCAGGAATTTCAATAGAAGTCAGAATAGTTTAAGCCTTATTATGATAATGATGTCCTTTGATAAAAATTTTATGAAAAAAAACAACTAAATTGATGAAATTCGATTCAAATTAGCATCTATGTATATTTAATAAAAAATTAATGATCAAGGATAACTCAACCAAGTAACAAGATTTATTGTCAGTGCTATATTTCCAAACCTTGTTTTATTTTATTTTCATTCCTTCTTCATCAGAGATATAGCATTAGTGGATGTTGAAGATGTATGCATTCTAATTAATTACTTGTGGAGAGATTTTAGTTTACTTCTAATTGAAATCAAATTTTTTAGCAGAAAAAGGTTGTAATATGTAATAAGAAAAAAAGAGTTCGTCAGTGTTATGCTATTAAAATAAAAATATGTACTTTGAGCACTCTAAAAAATTTCTTTTTTCATTCATTTCACATTGTTTTTCTTGGTCACATTCTTTCTCTCTCTCTCTCTCTACACATGTACAACTAACATTTTATTGAAATATATTTCTAAATTATATGTTGCATCAAATACACATTTTAAAGTATTAAAAAGTACAGAAGTGAGGATATGATATATGTTGGTGGTTGTCGTTGTGTTTTGAAGTGTGAATCTTTGCTTCAATATGATCTACATTCAGTCAGACAAAGTCAATAAAAATAATACTTAAAAATATATGTACGTTTCGTGTCTTAAAAACAATTCTCAGAACTAAATTCAAAAAAGTTTAAAATCAATAATCCCTGCAGACTTGCTGTTTTAGAAAAGTAAAAGCCGTATTTTGACGTTTTTTGCATCATAAGAAGCGCATCTTCTTACGGATTTCCGTAAGCTTGCAAGTGAATAGACACTAGTTCAAGAAATTCATTGACAATAAACAAATCAATTAATAAATCTTAGTGCTATCAATGAAAGACAAAATATTGATGTTGAATATAAACAGTTGAAAGATGAACAAATCCAATTCGTAAGTAAATAGACGTATTTTCAAGGAGAATGCATTGAAACAATTAAAACGTTAGAATCAAGACGTTAAAATACTTTCTACAATCATGATTGATAAGAAATTGCATGATAGTCGTATCACTGAAGTGCTTACAACAGTTACTGTTGTTAAAAGACTTGCTTTGAAAAATCAACTATTTAAAAAAAAGATGAAAATTTGGGCTGATGACCGGAAAAAAAACAATGTATGATTGAAATAAACACAATTCGAATACACATAAGCCTTTTATTTTTGTTCTTGGCAAAGATCCTTCAAATATATCGTTAGAAGTTTTAAAGAAACGATAAGCATAATAAAATGACATCTCGTGATAACGTATTGATGATTTTACGAAGAAAAAAACCCATTAAATGTCAGAGTTTTCAAATGAATACCAGGAAAACAGTGAGCACTTCTATGATCACTGAAAGATCTGATTATAATAATCAATACTAGAATAAAATATGCCATGTGGGACGTGTTCAAAATCGTTTTAGTTAATTTCCAATGAATTTTATTTACAAAATTCACTGATATCTTTGTTACAAAGAAACTGAAATTTATATACTAATCTCACAAATTTCAAAAAGTCATATTATCTACGTTACGTTAGGTACGAATGACTTACAAAAGGGGTTTTCCAAGTCTTTATTGTTTATCTGTAACTAAGTAGTTTATTGAAAACGAACAAAACAAGCTATACGCAATTTTCATCATAGAAAAATTGTAATCAATTTGAATTTTCTCGTTCATCAGTTAAGCACGTCGAGGTACATGTTATCTTTCTAGACTAATTTAGATCCTTTGACCTTTTCCCTCTCTTCCGATGAACTATATCACCCATCAAATTGATTCTAAAAGGTTTGCCTCGATATATATTGTTCGATTATTTAAATGCACTCATTCTGTCACCGTTTCGAATTTTCGCGATAGTAATAGAATAAACGAGTACATTTACAGAATAGTGAAACGTAATATCCCTGGATAATATGTATTCCTTCTATGATGAATCACATATTCAGCTGCTGGACGGTCGTCTTCTTTCTAACGATATGCTATTTTCTCTCCGTCTCTTATTGTTCGGATGTGTTCTTGTCGTTATTTTATCATTTTTACCTTTAACTCGACGCTCGATCACGCCCAGCGGCGGTGACGAGTTGTCCGTACTTATTCTATTAAACTGATAAATATTGATCTTCGATTTTGAAAAGAAAGTTTTCAAAAGCAAATTCTTTCTCTGTGTATCATCATAATCTTCTACGATTCCAGTCTCGATCAGAGTAAATATTTCATTTTTTTATAATAATAAAACTCAATTATTATTATAACCCTATTTATAGTAATGCATTCGTTAAACTCCTCACATCGTGCATCCGGAGATATTCCGTCGTCGATGTCATTGAGAGAAACACATATTGTAAACTTTTTTATTTCTCATTTTGTCTTTTTTTTTATTTCAATTTGTCGTCTGTTTTTTAAACTTCTTTAGTACGATATCAATAGTCTGTCGGACAAGGACAAATTCAAATTATTATCTGCTAAAGCTCTTGATTATGTTAGTATAATTAATTGAAATATAAACATAAACATAAACAAAACTAAATAATTCAATTATAGATTGATCAGCACTGTGTTGTATCAATTCGTCTCGATGGTACTTATATTCCACCAGAATTACGACAATTGCTTGATCATAAACGCCCGCTTCATTTAAATGTTACAACTCAAGATGCCTTTTCTTTTGAAAGTAAGGCTTGCTTTCTTTTATATATGTATATTTATATTGAAAAAATTATTTTCTAAAGCATTTAAACGATGTGTAACGACATTTTTATCAAGAGAACGAGAATGCGATGAAAATAGTAATAGTGGACATGGTAATTGGAGTATTATAGATCAAGAAGTAATTTCTTCTTTTTTTTTTAGCCAATATAGTTACTTCATCGAAATATTTTTTTCTCTTAGTATCAAACAACAGTTATTATTGGATATGTATTTGATGGTATCAAAGGATATAATGCTCCGAACTATATCTTTGAAAATTTGGTAAAAATAAATTTCATTGGATTATATTTATAAAAACGAGTAAAATTTAGGCTTATTTTATTCGGTGTCTTCGACAACAATATCGATGTAAAATTACACTTTCATGTGAATCACCGGTTGTGAAATTATCATCAAAATTAACAGTGTCTATCACGTACATTTTAAATTCTATAATTCATTTTCTTACTTGTTTTTCTTTTAATTTGATAGACATGAATCACCAATAATTCGTCATTTGGCAGCAACTTATATGCAAAAAATGATGATAACAGCATTGACACAATGTGAAATGTATCATGTTAATCTGATTTTACATCAAAGTAAATTTTATTTTTTACTTGCTTAATGTAATTTTTCTTATCTATTTAGATATGTCACCATCGATTGGAACACCACCTCGATTAGTTCAACCACCATCGTTAAATGATGCACGTCTTATTATTCCATCTTCATCACAAACTATTAGTAATAAATTGAATTCATTATCATTATTAGATGGTAACTGAACTTATTTTTCTATGTAAAAATACACATTTCATCGGATCATTTTTAATTCAGGTTCATCGATTTGTAATGATCCACTTAATTTCAATGATATACTTCAGTCTGTTGTACCAACGACATTCGGATCTAGTTCGATTCGTATGTGAATAAATATATATAGATTTTCTTTGATAAATTTATTATTTTATTATTTTCAGAATCAACACCATCAATTGGTCATCCAGCGATGACTCGTCCATATCCATCGTCTTCATTACTTCATAATCTTACTGTAAACTAATTTAATTGAATAATTTACTTTCAGTTTTTTCAAAATTTCTTTTCTATAGAATAATCTTGAACCAATAAGACTTGATGATTTTCGTCTGAATCAGCATTATTTATCTGTAAGACTAATACTTTGATTTTTATGTATATTTTTTTTTTGTTAATATAATTAGACAAATATATCTAATAATATTGATACAATTAGTCCAACAGTTACTAGTAGTGTAGATGATTATCAACATGAAATTCGTCAAAGATGTGTACCAGTTGATCATGCTTCTCAATTAGGAGCTATTTCAGATGTAACAGATGAAGAAGACGGAAGGTAAATTATTTCAATAAATGTCTTCAAAAGAAAGTCTTTCTTTTTGTTATATGTTTGAAAATAGTACTCGTCGTGTTGATCAACTTCCTTTCTTGGTACAAATTCGTGCACTTCAGCATCGATTTAATTCATATGGTATTCGTGTTGGTGAAGAATATTCTCGAATAACATCGATTCTTAATATTCCGCCATTGATATCAATTACTGAAACTGCTCGAGAAAGAAAAATTGGTACTAAGAAACAGTGGTATTTTTCACTTTTACTTGATGGTCATTTGATGTTGGCATATGTATGGGACTCGAAGAAAAATGATGCCAAACGACGTGCCTACGATACAATGGTACATCTGCTCAATACAACACATGAATTTTCCATAAAGCCAGTAAAGAACAACAAATGGAAAGTTGTCAAAGCCACTCGACAAAGATGAAAACTTGAATTTTTCTTTTCACTTTTCTTTTATATTCTTTTTCTTTTTATTTATTTAATAAAAAAAACCGTATTGAACAAAAGTTGAAATTATAAATTGCTGTTTTTTCTCAAAAAACTCCCAGCTCGAAATTTATATGAAATAATTTACAAACAAACATTAATGTTTGATTCATATTTTTAACGACAAAAAGAAATGAA